TATTGATAAACCAGGAATTGGACAATTAGATATGAGAGCTGTTGTTGGACATTTAACTAGAAAGATTAAGATTCAAGGAGGAGATAGTGTTCACGGTTTAGGATGCAGAGTCTTGATTTATCAATTTGAAGAACCTGAAGCTAATTTGGGATTCCCAAGAAGAGGATACACTGTTTTACATGGTGTTGAATTCAACAATTGTGGTCAATATGATACTTAAAGAAGTGGTCTAGATTTTAGAAATCTTAATAGTGATATCATTAAGACTCCAAGTGAAGTTATTGGATGTTCATTCCATGATACTACAGGCATGTTGATGACAATCTAAAATTCATAATACATTACAGTCAAGAACAACATATTCTTTACTGGTATCAAGGCTTTGGTTTAGATTAATAACAGTTAATATGTGAAATTCTAGGATAATGCATTGATTTATGTGAAGAAGAGAATATTAAATGAAGGTGGTCTTGCAAATTGGGCAGTATTTGGTAACTTTGTTTACTAGGATGAATTAGTACCAACTTAAATGACAAGAGATATTGTTGATGTATCAGGAAATGTAGGATAAGGATCACAAGATACAGGTTTCTTTGTGATGGCAAGTAAATGCTCAAATGCATATTAATCATCATTCTATAACAATCATTGTTCAGGAACAGTGTTGGCTTGCTTTGGTATCAGATAAGACCCAGATGGATAATGCTCATACATTTCAGGATTGTATGCACATCACAGTGAAGTCGGTATTATGTATGCAGTTGTCAGTGAATAGATTTAACTTGAGAAGTCAATTGTGGTTGAGAACGACAGAGGAATAGCTTTGAAGCCTGCTCCTAATAGCATTTAAGAGAATAAAATGAAGCTAAATAATATATTCATTTCAGCCTTGGCTAGACCTGATTGTGTGAAATGCTATTCAGCTTCTCTTAATCCTAACTGTTAGGGAAGTATGGGTATTCAAATGGGTTCTTTATCATCATCAGCATTCCCTCCTATTTCAAATAAACCATCTTCAGCATTTGATACAATTTGTACAGTATAGAGAGTTGATCTCAAAGTTTACTTAACAAATGTTGAATTCCATAACTTTAGATTAACCTATGATAACATACCTAGATGTTAGAACAATGCTGCATTCAGATAACACCATGGAGCACATGATATGACAGGATAACATTACTTAGTGAACTCTCCATGCACTAATTGTGAATTCAATGCTCTCTTATACAAGACTAGAAATCCAGATGCAAGTAAATTAGGATGGTTTGGAGGATGCGGATCATTTTTATGCACAGGATAAATCAACTTTTTGATAGAAGATTAAACTGGTCACTTCTTTGGATAAATCGGACAAGGTATTGGTAATAACACATACTTTGGACCAAATGTCACTTATTGTTCAAGACAAGAATTTTGGAATGGATATTGGTGTCCAGGCAGATAAGCCACTGTCTTGATGTTTATGAGTACTGCTGCAGACTACAACAAGAGATTATATTCACCAATCAAGTTGACCGATGGATTATTCTTTAATGAAATTAACAGTTATGCTGAATGGAATTGGGATGGTCCTGAACCATTAAACTTGAGAGAATCCAAATTTGTTAGTTTAGTAACTGTGAATACAGTGATCAATATGACAAATGCTGGTATGAACCCAACCGCTTCTGAATATTGGTTATCAAAGAGATCAGAGGCAGGTAGTCCAGAAGATTGGGTCATCTTGAAATGGCAATTCTCTGTTCCATAAATTATTTAAGTCATGGTCAATAATAAAGTTGTGTAACCTGGACTCACAACTAACAATAAGCATCATGATCTCATGACAATGACTAATCAATGTGGTGCAAACAATTACTTCTTTGAAAATAGAACTATTCACTTTGTTTTGACAGGTAAATTGGATTGCAAGATTAGAATAGCATTGAAGAATACTCTTTAAGTTTCAACAAGACTTGAAATAACAACATCAGAATTCTTTGGAGATAAGTTCCTATAATATGCAAGAGCACAATTGGGAGGAGATCCTTACAACTATTTCATCATTGGAACCAAGAAATACAGAAGAAGATTCTTAGACGAATCCACAACTTCCTCTGTTGTTATCGATTGGGGTATTGCAGATTCTGCTGAGATTGGTACTACTGAGGGCAAATAATCCTAATCAAGACTTGCTGAAATGGCTACTAAACTAGAATCCTTGGGAGTTTCAGAAGACTTGTAACAATTAGGAGTTGTTGGTCTCAAACATGAATCCACTAGTATTTCATCAATTTCAGAACTTAATTTCAAGAGCACTGAATAAACATAAGGTATTATTATAATTTATATTTCTTAGAAATTATTTTAGTTCCAGGAGGTAATACAAATAATAACAATGGATAAGGAAGCAATAGTGGCAATAACAATAACAATAATGGCAATAACAATGGTAATAATAACAATGGAAATGGTAATTCCTCAAATAATGATGATGATTTGGTACTAGTTACTGACGAAGGAGTAAATCAATAAGATACTTCAAATAATGGAAATAACAATTCTACCAATCCAGGAACTATCTAGAAATCGATTAAGAAATCAGAAAATAGTTCTACAACAGTGACCATCGTAGTAGCTGTTGTTTGCTCTGTCGTCGGAGTTTCATTGATAATTGCCGCCCTCCTTTACTATAAGAAACTTAAATTGGCTAAGCTTATGGCTGCTAGAAATCAAAAAGTAGACAACGAGTTCTTTAAAGCAAATATTACAGATTAATAACCCATCGAGGCTCCACAAGATTGATTAAATTTAGAGAATAAAATATTAATACAATTTCATAATTTTTATTATATAATTGGATTATACTCCAATCTGTATTCCTATATATATCAAAAAGTATACAAATTCTAAACAACCACATTGTTTATTCATTTGTATGGTAATTATATTGTCATTATTGTCAAATTTAATTGTGAAAAATATGTTAGAATAATAATTGTCATCTTAGGCGAATCTTGAGCAAATCTCAATAAAACAATAAGCTATTGGCACATCTAATAATTTGCAAAATGAGAAGAATGTTTTTAGTATAAATTACAAAATAAAGTAATAAATAAAATTTTAATAAATTCTTAAAAAATTTTTGTTGAGTTTTTCACTTTAACTTTTGATCTCATAAAGATATAGATCAGTAATTTCTTAATATATATCAACTTTTAACATTAAAATAAGAACTATTCGAGTATTTTAAGAATTCATCAAATCCTAATTTAATTAAAACATGATATAAGTTAATTATCAACCATCAACTGTTGGTCTATTTTTACCATTTACAAGATCTTGCTAACTCTCATTCAATTAAATATCCTATGATATATCTGTATTTTAATTATGCTTCAATCGTTGTAGATATTGAGAATCCTTCTCTGACTCACTTTTTCTCTTTTCTTTATTCAATTCTACCCATGGATATATATTTTGAATTTAGATTCTATTAAATTCATTTCGACAGAATGGACAATTTCTCTACTTCTATAACCAAGAACTTAGGCATTAAAAATGAAATATATGAAAACATGGAGTAACTGAGCATAGATTCATTTCAAAGTTAGTACCATTTTTTAAAGATTCTAGGCAAATCACACAATCTTCAAATTATGAAAGCCCAGGATAAGATTTCATCACCTCCTAAATATTAATGGGATCAAAGTACTCCTTAATAAATTACTAAGTAAAACCTTTATTAGAATAATTTAATACCTGAAGGTGATTTAAATGCAATTTACTATATCTCTAAATTCTATTCAATATTTTCTTCATGTTATGCATTTTAATTTATTCTTTAGTTATTGAAAATACTTAAAAAAAAAGATAATAATAATAAGACTCCAACAACCGATCCCACTATAATAAGTATCAATTTATTTCTTTAAGCTTAATCATCATCATCAGAAGAAGTTGTTACAATACTCAAATTAAATTTAGCTTGAATGCTATTGTTATTGTATAATCCTATATATAATATAGTTTCGGTAGTTTCTTCTTTAATTAACTCTTATAAGGTATCAGATAATGATGAACAATTAGTTAAACTGTAACTGAATTTTCTATTCGGAATTGAAATCCATGGATATTGTCTTAAAGTTAAACTATATACTTTATTAATAAAATTATATTTACTTATATTTTGGTCTCTCTAATCAAGGTTGGATCGAAGTTCAATATCAGTATTTCTTATTTAATAATAAAAATATTTCCATTGATATGAATCTAAATTTACTTTAACCCAATGACTATTTATTAAATATGATGAATCAAGTTAACAAAATTCCCCTAATTTATCTAGTTAACATTCACAATCATTATTTGAACAATAGGAACCATTTCCATAACTTGTATCATTATAACCTTTACAATTATTTATGCAAAAGGGATTCAAATAATCTCCTAGGTATGTTAGTTGATAATCAATAAGGATATTCTAATCGGATTGGCAAAGTATATAAATCATTGAATAGTAAGGATATTGAACTAATTATGTGTCACTATTTGATTATATGCTGTGAACATCGTATGCTATATTGGAATTGACTATTAACTAAAGTTTTTCTAATTCAAAGGTATATTGTGTTAAGTTTTCGAATGATACAAAGCAACCAACAATTTATTAATTTTATCGAGCTATTGGCAAAAAAAACTTAATTATAATACTAGGGGCTTAATCAGTAAAATTTAAGGCTAAGTTTAAAGTAGTATTTGTTTGCAAATTTCCTTTATGATGAAATGCATTACAAATGACGAATAGTATTAGTAAATACATATTAAATAATTATTATTAAAAACATCTCATTAATTAAGTTCATTTTAGAAATATATTAATCGAAGCTTCTTATGATATTTCAATTCATTTTTATATCAATTAAGAAAAGTATTCAGAGAATTTGAGTAACAAAATTTAAATTAAATGTTCATTTCAGGCATAAAGTGGCTCGTTTAATATTAAATGTTTAACGTGTATTTTTAAGATAATTATATCATACAAACTAATCATATTTTGGCGTGGACTGAAATAGAGATTTAAATTTAACCATTCTCCAATTTTATCCATCTTTTTCGTTTGGGAATTCCTAATTGATGTAAAATTCATACTGATGGTTTTGTATAAAATTTATAGGCAGAATCTTTTGTGTTTTTTGGAATTTTATGGTTTTATATTTTTTTTTTTGCTTTTTCTTTATTTTTCTTTTCTTCTTCTGGATAATAAGGCAACTTGTTCTCTCTTAGCTTAATCTGATATTATAAGAATTCTGATATTTGAGACATGCTTTATGTAAAAATTAAATAAATTAATATTATAAGTTTCATTAATAATTCTTCAATATGTTATTTTGTTAATCTCCTAAACCTAGTTTATAAATTCATTTAACAAGTAAGAGATGTTATGGAGTTTATAATTCTTATGGATTAATCATCACAAAATTAATAATTTCTGACATAATTATATATTGTTTCATAATTTAAATTGAGGATGTATTTATACATATGTTGAAAATTACATGTAAAATTAATTTATGCATAAAATGACTCAAAGATTTATAATAGAAATACCAGAACATGAATACATAGATGGAAAGGTGTTCTATTTGATCAGAACAACAAATATTGAAAACAATTGTACAAAAGAAGTGAGAAAGAGATATTCAGAATTAGAACTGATTCATTTGAGAATACTAGATTGGATCAATATATTCAAAATACAAATCCCCTTACTCTAATTTCCTAAAAAAAAAATTCTATTCTCCACCAACATATCAGAGGAAAGTGTAATCAAAAGGGTATTTAAATTTTGCTATTATAGAGATGGGAATTGTAAATATACTTAAATGAGATATTCCAACATTAGGATCTTTATGGACTTGGAGCTCTTTAAGAATTCTTACCTATAGTTAAGAATCCAAATGTATAGGAATCAAAAAACGCAAAATCTAATATAAATTGGCAGGAAATTGAAGACCTGAAAAAATCATATTTAGCCAAACATGAAAGTGAAGTGATTTCTTTGCCTTAGTCAAAATTTTTCAACTAAAACAAGTAATGATAATATATATATTCTAGATAATAATATACGTTTAAATTTGAAGATCACAAAATACAAGATCATTCTGCAATCTATATGATATCAATTAATGATCAAATGACAGGCAAGAACTGGAAATTTAGTTAAAGATATAAAGATTTAAGAGAATATCATCATTAGTTAAAGAAACTGAAATTGTAGTTTGAATTACCAGAATTTCCTGAGAAGAAATTCATAAATTTAGACGATGTTTCTGATTTATCAGATAGAAAGAGAGACTTGGAGAATTATTTAAATTAAATTTTTAAGTATAATATTGTTCTAAATTTAGATATCCAGAATTAGTTTAAAGCGATGTAATGGTGTTCTTTATTGCTAAAAGTTAATTATATTGCAATGAAATTGGATGTAGATCTAATGACTAAGCAAAAAATACATTAGAATTTTCAAGAATGAAAAGTAAATCCAACATAATATCTCCGAATGTTGAATAAGATTCGAAAGTTCCTCGAAAAATAACCTGTTGAATACTTAAAACTTATTTGTATATAGCTTTTTATACTTTACTTATCTAATAATTACACTTTTTTTTCACTTAATAATTAAGATTAACTTTCATTAATTCATAATTATAATTAAAATAATTTTGTTTATGAGAAGAACAATGGAAGTGGAAGAATAAAATTTTGAAGCTGAAGAATGGGGGATTGCCCAGTAAATGCAAAGAATCCTGGGAGAAATTCACTACATCATGTAAGAGCAAATTCTAGCCATTGAATATTATTCAAGCTAGCGCAGAATCTATTATCAAGTCAAAGATAATTTAGAAAAGAAAGAAGATAGCATAAATACGAGACTGGAAAATTATAAATAACTTCATCAATAATATATAGGAGTGAAATAAATCTATTAATAAATATTGCTCTTTACTAAAGATAAAAAGTTGCTTAACTAGAGAATCTAAAAGATAGGATATAAAGAGTAGCATTTTTAATTAGATAATCCAATAAATTATGAAATTGAGGAAGTGAAAGATCCCAAATATTTAAAGGATAAAGAAAATTAGATAATATATGTGAGGAAAATTGATTACAAATGGTTTTTTATTCGCATAATCAAGAATTATGAATTTACTAAATATTTGAATGCAAACTACATATTGGATATTGAAGCATTTTTATGTGATGGATCTTAAAAAATGGAAAAATAAGATCATTAACATGAACTTGAAATTATGAAATCAGTCAATTTATGGTTTAAATAATTGATATTTAATGTCTAAAATAGAAAGGTATTCAAAAAATAATTAACAGAAATCATTCAATATATAGAAGACACTATTAAGGTATTGTTTAAAGGACTTAAATGTTCGACTTGTAACTAAGTGTTCCTTTAGACTGAAGATGGTAAATTTGTTCAGCCTTGTGTAAAATTAAATGAAACCGATAATTTGCATCATTATTCTTGCTTATTTAATTGATTTATTAATATTACATCACAATTTCATAGCATTTCTATTTGGTCAATTTCAAGAGATTGTTTAACTTTATTCTCATTTTTTATTAATAAAATTAGTATTTTCATTAAGATTTTAAATAAATAAGTTAGTTAGGTTTTCAATAAATTATTGTTTGTTGATATAGATGATATATGTTTATAGAGATGATAAATAGTATGCCGAATAATATTATTTAAATATTATATTTATAATTTATTTTTGTATTGTAAAAATGTATTTCATTATCGAAGCCAAGGATGAAAGAACATGATTTAAGAAGATGGCCTCTCTAGTGGATCCCATTTTAGCGCGAAGAGAATAAAATCTTCTAACTTCTGCGCTTCATTTTTGTCAAAATTGTATTCTTTAATTAATGTACTACTTAGATTGACTTTTTGCAATTCCTTTTTAAAAATATACAAATACTTTGATTCTTTTTAAATTTCCATCAGATTCAAAATATAACGAACTTCTTTAACCTTTACTCAAGAAACTTTAAGAAGGAAGTCCAATCAACTCTATCATCATTGCTAATAGATCATCCATTTCTTCTTCTTCAGTGTCTCCTTCTGGTTGAAATAAGTAATTGTTTGTCAAGATTTCAAAAATTACACATGCTAATGACCAAATATCAGTATTTGTTTAATATTTAGCTTAAATAATAGATTCAGGAGATTTATATTCCTTAGTTTGAATTTCCTCAAATTATTAATTAGTTTGACAAGCATTTCCAAAATCAACTAATTTAAATTTAAGGTCAGTGTTTACATTAACTATTACATTCTCATTCCATACGAAAGTATCACCAACATTTATATTATTCAATTTAACTCTCTAAATATTTTCTCTTATTACTTTTTTTTCTACTCTTCAGACTCATTTTCATTAATTAACTACTTTAATTATTGTTCATTTAACTCAATCATGATGTTTTCTGGTTTTATGTCAGTATGAATAATTTAGCATGCATCATGAGAATAAATCAATCCAATCAATATTTATTTGGTTATCTCTTTCCCTAGTTAGATGCTTATGCTAGAATGCTAATCATAAGAATTTTTAATACTTTCTTTTCGTAGAATCTAATTAAATCCAATAGAGTGGGTCCCAATATTTCCATAACTACACAATAATGCAGGGTTTCATCAGCAACATGAACAAAGGAATCTATCATTTTTACACAATGCGTTGATGGTTAATTCCCGATGAAATTCTTTTAAATGTTAATCCATTAAGGTGAATTTTCATTTTGATTCAAAATTCTAAGTCAGAATCAAAAATACTTTAAAATTTCTATTTCCTCCATGGCCGCATCGGAATATAATGAACTTTATATCTTGAGAGCATAATGAACCGAACTTAATAAATCTTTCGCTAACCACACCTTTGAGAATGTTCCATCTCCTAACCATTTGATTATTTAATATTAATTGTTTTTCAGTTTCTCCCCTATTTTAGCTTCATACTGTCCTTCATTAATGCTATATTGATATGAGGATGAATCAGTCATAAAAATCCAATTATGATTAATATTAATAATGTTAAAATTATAATTATTTGGTTGATTTTTTGTGAATTATTAAATATCTAATGAGTTTATAGATATTTGATATTAAAAATTAATTCTAAAAAATGTGAAATATAAACTCATTTTAGTAATGCAACACTCATTTTTAACATTAATATAGAGTACTTTATGCAAAGGATGAATTCACGTCATCAGGTTATTCTTGAATTTCTAAAGGAATATTAAGTAGAATATTTTACCACTCATATTTAGATTCGGATGTTGTTCGGCATATTAAGAGGCTTCCTTCAATTGTAATTGCATGGATGAAAAGAGCTATTAAAGATCATTTCTTCCAGAAGTCATTGTGAAATCAGTGAAACATTTAGGTTGACTGCCTTACAGTTATGATTGTGATTATGATTAAGTGATGTTAATTTATTTTGGATTGTAAGGTTATTTCTTTTGGATTTATTGAATTTAAAGTGGCTGTTTTGACTATGAAATAATAATATGTGATTGTGTTTATTAGATTATGGGCTGGGTGGGTCTCTTTTAATCAAATGGTAATTGTTAAACTTATTGCTTTGGTATTTATTTTAATTTCTCATGTGAGATTTGCCTTCTTTTCTTGCTATATTAAAATATTTACATTTTCGAAATCTGATTAAGTCACTATAAGTTCGATCTAATTCTTCCATGTAAATTATTTATCATTTTGTCCAGGACTTGTCAGAGTACCTGGCTTTTCAATTGATTTTTAAATTACTTTTTTCTCTCCTGTTTAGATTTGATTAGGCACTATGGAACTTTTTATTGAAATTTGCGATGATGTATTCTATTTAGGCATTATAAGTTTCTTATCGAATTGCAATGGAGGTTTGTTAGCTTTTGGTGGACTCACCTTTGAAATTGATAATAAAATATTCATACTACTCCTTATAATTGAGATTAGGTAACTGATGGGGTTAGTTGCTATTTCTGTTAACCATTGCTTGATTTGATTATACGATGCTGTTGATTTACATTTTCTGAGGGAGGTATGATACTTCTTAACTTCCCAGAATAAACTGGTTTTCTGGGAGGTAACGGAGAAGTTATTGTTGATAGAGGTTAACCAGATCCAGGTCTCTTCTTTTCTTGCTATTCAAGTGCATTTTTATAGTAATCGGCATCAAATTTTAATTTTGAACCTGACAATTATCTTTTCCCTAATGACATTATTTATTTTTAATTATCAAAATAAATGCAGAATAAGTAAGTGAAACTCCAAGACTTTGAGATACTCTAAACTCTAGGTACTGGTTCGTTTGGCAGAGTAAGATTAGCAAAATAGAAATCAAATTCAAAGCATGTCGCTTTAAAGATGTTAAAGAAATGTGAAATTCTTCGATTAAAACAAGTTGATCATATCAATTCTGAATTCAAAATACTGCATTAGATCTAACATCCTTTCATTGTACTTCTAAAATTAATTATTTAGATTGAATTGTTAGGTTACACTTAGGATGAAAGATATTTATATTTTGTTCTAGAGTATATTCAAGGTGGAGAGTTATTCACTTATTTAAGGAATGCAGGCACAATCGAAAATGATGAAGCATAGTAAATTATGGAATACTATCTAGATTTTACTCTGCTTAAATTGTATTAATGTTTGAGTATTTACATTCAAAGACTATTGTATACAGAGATCTAAAACCAGAAAATCTACTTATTTAATAAAATGGATATTTGAAGTTAACTGATTTCGGATTTGCTAAAGTAGTCGAAGATCATACATATACTCTATGTGGAACACCTGAGTATCTTGCTCCTGAAATTCTTCTCAATAAAGGACATGGCAGACCTGTTGATTGGTGGTGTTTAGGAATCATTATTTATGAAATGTTGGCTGGTAAATGCATTCCTTTATAGGTTTAGGAATTGACCCATTTAATGATGAAGATCCTATGGCAATTTATTAAAAAATATTAAAGGGAAAAGTTAAGTTTCCTAAAAATTTTGATAATGATGCTAAAGAGTTGATTAAAAATCTTCTTGTTTCTGATGTTTCAAAAAGATTAGGAAATCTTAAAAATGGAGCCAATGACATTAAGTAACATAAATGGTATCAAACACTGAATTGGGATAGTTTGATAAAGAAGTAAATTAGACCCAAATACCTGCCATCAGTAAGGTAACTTTAACATTTTAAATATAACTAGAACTGATGATGATACTTCTAATTTTGCTGATTATCCAGATAGTACCGAATTACCAGATCCAATTAAATAAAAAGATGACCCATTCAGAGATTGGTGAATTTATAGTGAATATCACTTTGATTGTTTATGCTTTGCAACAACAGCAATTATTTTTTTAATATATCTTAAACCTTTGATAATATTATTCTTAAATTTATATTTGATGATTGAATCCACTCAATCAAAGTTGTGCGTAAAAAATAATAAAAAATGAAAATTTTTAAGTCGATTTTCTAAAATAAGAAGGAAGAAGCTAATCTAGACCTTAAAGTAGAATACTCTTCTATTTATGATGCCAATTCCTAAACTGTCAAGTTAGAAGACATCAAGGCTGTCATTTAAAATGAAAGAAAGCGAAAGCTACTATTCAGCAGATAAACCACTTCTATACTTGAAGAATTGAAAGTCTTGTACACCATTCATATGATGTTAATTGCAGACTAAATTAGTGATTTTGATTAAGTAACATTAAGCTTTCAGCAAGGAAAGGTACAGAATATACGCTAAAGAAGATAATTTTTGGAAAGTCTTAAGATCACCGAAACCTCAAAACTTGTTAGGCTAATCACACTGTAACCCACTAAACTCAACAATAGCAATAAACTATTATGTATTTGAATTCTTCAGAAGTATTATCTAATATGATGTCTAGTTTCCCTCATAATTTGATGATTTTGAAAAAGAATTGACCAAACTTTATTATTCCTATTTACAAAGAGCTGTGAATAATTGTGATATTTATTACTCTTCATAAAGAATGTAATATCCATACTAGGATGAATACAATAATAGAAGAGTTTAATATTTGTGGTTATTCAAATTATTAAATTTACTCAATTTTAAATTGGCTATGATTCCGCTCATTTAAAAGATTATTTCCAAATAGTTAATAATATCTGTATGACTCATCAATTATAAATAGAATATAGTGAAAGATATTACAATCCTAATTTATAAGGATTGTGTTAATGAGTATTTGTTTTTCAAGAAGGAAGTTGAAGAATAACTAGAGTTTTATTCATAATTTAGTGTTAAAGATGGTAGTTTATCATTGATATTCCATAGCAATTAGTTTTTATGAGTTATTTACTCAATTGAAATTTGTCACAGATAGACTAAAATTGTTTCATAATTTAAGATCATTATTTATTAAGCACGAAAAAATTAGAGAATTTACTTGGTTTGTTTTAGATAAGCAATTAGAAAAAGATATAGAAACCTATATACAGAAAGCAAAACTAATTAATACAACATAATTCAAAAACAGTTTATAAGTTCCAAACTAAAAAGCCGCATACGAACATCTGTCAAAGTAATTACAATAGCCTAAACCTTAAAAAGTAACATAGCAACCTACTTTAAAAGGACATCTATTAAAAGCAAGTATTATCTCCAGAAAATCCAAAGAAAAAGTAGCCGTCCAAACAAAATAGTTAGAGACTTTATTACCAATATTGATAACAATTAGGATCTCAAATATTTTATTTTTTTAAAACAAAATCACAAAAAGTATTATTATATATATTTAAGATCATTATTTTATTATAAATGATAATTTTAGGTTGCATATCACATTAGTTTCCATTTTTATAATTAAAAATTGTTTTTGTCTATGTTATATTCAGATTAGAATGATTATAATTAGTTTAGCCAAGTAGCCGATATTTCATTAAACAGTGTTGATTAAAGTTAAAGTCAGTATGATCGATTCTAAGGCAATGCAGAGAACAATTAAAAGGAATAAAAGGAAGTGGTCTCTGTTTAATCTATTAGAATTCCATTTAATAAAGTAGACTTCATCTAATAACCAATAATGGCAAAAAGGTTTCTATAATGTTTATATTAATAGGATCATGCCTGCATACATTAAAAAGATGGATAATTGCTATGCATTCTTTATTTTTGATCTATTGTTAATGGAGGCAAAAAAGATGGGATTATTTAATTAAAAATTCATTATTAATTCGGAAAGTAAAACACTTGTTGGAAAAATAAAAATAATTGATGGAGGAAAACTTTATGTTTTTTAAGATGGTGGAATGAGTCCAAGGAAATGTACAAATTAAGCATTTTACAGAAAATATTTGGGTAGTATTTGCAAATAAAATGAATTAAAAGTAATATTAAATTCATACTATAGTGTCACATTCCAAAAATAAATTAATAAAATAATTAAATTTATTCTTATTCTCCTGTCTATTTTAAGAAAAACAAAGAAATCATTTAGTAAAATAATTAATTTTTTGAATTTTACAACATCTTTAAGTTTTCAAAATAAAATTTATGGTCAATTCTATACAAAAAAGAACTCACATCAGATCATTTCTTGATAAAAATACAAAAAACGGATGAAAACACATTTGAAGTACTATATACAGCACCCATTAATCATTTGTAAGCCTTCCAGATTAGTATTTCTATAATACAAATTATTTCTTGATTATTTAAATATACATATAAAATATTTAATATAAATAAAAAAAATTTGATTAAGATAGAATATGAATTTGATACCCCTACTATGTTTANTAATTAATACAACATAATTCAAAAACAGTTTATAAGTTCCAAACTAAAAAGCCGCATACGAACATCTGTCAAAGTAATTACAATAGCCTAAACCTTAAAAAGTAACATAGCAACCTACTTTAAAAGGACATCTATTAAAAGCAAGTATTATCTCCAGAAAATCCAAAGAAAAAGTAGCCGTCCAAACAAAATAGTTAGAGACTTTATTACCAATATTGATAACAATTAGGATCTCAAATATTTTATTTTTTTAAAACAAAATCACAAAAAGTATTATTATATATATTTAAGATCATTATTTTATTATAAATGATAATTTTAGGTTGCATATCACATTAGTTTCCATTTTTATAATTAAAAATTGTTTTTGTCTATGTTATATTCAGATTAGAATGATTATAATTAGTTTAGCCAAGTAGCCGATATTTCATTAAACAGTGTTGATTAAAGTTAAAGTCAGTATGATCGATTCTAAGGCAATGCAGAGAACAATTAAAAGGAATAAAAGGAAGTGGTCTCTGTTTAATCTATTAGAATTCCATTTAATAAAGTAGACTTCATCTAATAACCAATAATGGCAAAAAGGTTTCTATAATGTTTATATTAATAGGATCATGCCTGCATACATTAAAAAGATGGATAATTGCTATGCATTCTTTATTTTTGATCTATTGTTAATGGAGGCAAAAAAGATGGGATTATTTAATTAAAAATTCATTATTAATTCGGAAAGTAAAACACTTGTTGGAAAAATAAAAATAATTGATGGAGGAAAACTTTATGTTTTTTAAGATGGTGGAATGAGTCCAAGGAAATGTACAAATTAAGCATTTTACAGAAAATATTTGGGTAGTATTTGCAAATAAAATGAATTAAAAGTAATATTAAATTCATACTATAGTGTCACATTCCAAAAATAAATTAATAAAATAATTAAATTTATTCTTATTCTCCTGTCTATTTTAAGAAAAACAAAGAAATCATTTAGTAAAATAATTAATTTTTTGAATTTTACAACATCTTTAAGTTTTCAAAATAAAATTTATGGTCAATTCTATACAAAAAAGAACTCACATCAGATCATTTCTTGATAAAAATACAAAAAACGGATGAAAACACATTTGAAGTACTATATACAGCACCCATTAATCATTTGTAAGCCTTCCAGATTAGTATTTCTATAATACAAATTATTTCTTGATTATTTAAATATACATATAAAATATTTAATATAAATAAAAAAAATTTGATTAAGATAGAATATGAATTTGATACCCCTACTATGTTTAGTTGAATAAAAATTAAATAAATGATAATGGTCACAATATTAACATATTTTAACCCAAGATTTTTAATTTTTGAGTACACTAAAATTAATCGAGACGAACCAATTCATGGTTCATACCATCGCCTCATAATTCAATAAATATGAATATTTCATGGAGAATGCCATAAAAAGTAATAATTTCAAATCCAAAACTGTAATTTAAGTTTAAGAATATGTAAGGATAAACTAACTACGTATGTCTTTGATTAATTCATAAAATGGGTCTGGATTGAACCTCGGCTAATTGACAGTTAATAATTTGCGTAAAGAATACGTAAAGATGAAAGTCTGAGATTATTTGAATTAAACGTCGGTTTTTTCATTAATTTTTGCAATATTATATAATTATAATAATAGGACAGATGAATAATAAAATAAATAAAAATTGCTAAGTCACTTAAAATGTAAAACAAACCTTGCGATTGGATTTGTGCTGAATGCAGGAACTTAAATTATTCATTTCGAAAAGTTTGCAACAGATGTCAATAATGCACAAGAGATGCACCTGGAACAAGATTTATCCCTAATAAAGTCGATTAAGGACTCTAAATCTTCTAAACTATCAAACTTCAAGAATAAGACTTAGGTGGAAGCAATCATAGTTCAGTAGAAAGCAATGATGATGAAGATGTTGTTTTTTCTTAAGCACTATTCCTTGAGGATTTATCAAAAAAAACAGAAAACTTGAATAAATCCTTTTCTTTCTAAAAGAAATGCTCAATTTGCTCATCCTAGAATTATTTTTACTAATAAAAATGCAGCCAATGTGGGTTCTCTTAATTTATATGATAAAATCATTTGATAAATTGATTTTGAGTCTATTTTTATATTGAAAATTATTTCAACTACTTCAATTCTAAACGTTTTCTCAGTGTAGGTTTATTGCCTAAGAAACATAAAAATGTCTTTCAAATTTATATTAAATGTCAATAAACTGAAATGTTTTTTAATTTTATTAAAACTAATAAATAATGTCCTTAAGTCAGAATTTTTAATTTTTTTCTGATTAAGTGAATCAAATTGATCTTCTTTGACTTTAAATCGAATAATATTCTAATAAATTTTGGGGGACAGCTTTGTTTCGTTTTAAGAAAGATAGTTTCCGAATTTCATGGCAATATAAAATTCATATATTAATAAAGTTATATTAGACGATACTTAACCTTCTCCAAATGGACCTATAACTTTTGGAACACAAGAGCTTTTCAAAGCAATAATTATTTTATGGACTTGAGTTGATTTAGAAATTTTTGATAATACGGCATTTTCTAATAGCCACCCTTGAGAACATAATATTAGACTGCCTAAATGGGATAGCAGGAACAAATATCTCAATATTTGATAAGATTATGGCTCATTCTTAATTTATATTGGGAAATAAAAATAATAAAATTAAAAATATTGTTGAGTTCTAATCGAAATATACATCTCATATTGTTTTTTTTGCAAATCAACTTTTACATTATTAAATAAGTCTTTATTTCAATTGTAATTTCTTTTATTGATGAATTTCTTAAATAATAACTGCTTTAATAAAATATTCTATAATTACATAATCAAAATGATTAATTTAGAAATACTTCTTCATAAAATTAGAATGAATTTTAATAAATATAGGATATAGTTTTATTAACTAATCATTTAACTTTATGGATTTTTATATATTACTCAAAAATAATTGCAGTTTATTTATAATTATCCAGAAGTCAAAAAATTGTATGCTAATTAAGAAATGATTATTAAAGATTTACTTTAGGAGAGTTCATATTCTTTAAAATATTCAAACATCGCTTTGTGAGTCAAAATGTGAATTATATAATAATATATACGCCTAATATGTAATACTTCTTTAGTGTGATGAAATAAAATACTAATATATGGATGTTCTTCTGAATTTAACATAATAATGGAAAAGAAGATTAATTAAAATGGATGTATCTTAATACATTTCATAAAAAAAAGGAAAGGAGTAAAAACAAATAAATACTTCTTTAAGTTTTCAAGTTGAAATTAACATCGAAGTTCATTCCTCAAATTACTATGTTTTGATGCCTATAAGTTATAAGAAAGATTTTTTATCAATTTTGTGCACAATTTTGATAAATTTTAAGGGTAATTTTCAAGTTTTCAGGTTAATATCCCTTATGGGCAAACTTTTAGGACAGGATAATTGATTTTAAAGTGATTCTCAAAATTTCTTATAAGAAACTTTGCATTTATTAATCAGGATAGTTACTAATTAAAGATGCTGAATTAATCATAACAAGAACGAAAATTTTATTAATAAAATATGATTTTGCCAATCAAATATGATGATTATAAAGAATTTGATGTAAATCGTTAATTGCAAGATCAAGCAAGAGATTTCAGATTGGTGTAATAGGAGCTTCTTAAATAGTAACTCTATGACCAGTAGTAGGAAATGGAGAAGAGAAAGAGATCTCTAACAACTCAAAAGCAAAGGGAGGAACTGTTATACTTGGAGAATTTGAGGAGAGAGAAAGAAATGCAAAATTTAATGGAAGGACAAAACAAATAGTATATATAGAAGGATTTATCAAAATGGTATGAAAATTCACTAACTAATTAAAGAATCAACCAGGAATAGATAGTAATGTTATCTATATTGATAGAGATAAGAAAGATAATAGATTGAATAGTAGATTATTGACACTGCAAAGCAAGGACAAACAATGGCAGAGTTCTTTGAAAAATAAAAGAAGGATTATTATAGAAAGGTGTAGGATCAATAATATGGTCAGGCACAGATTAAAAAGCTTAACGAATTGAATTATAAAAAGTTTGATCAAGCAGTTTATTAAGAATAACTACATTAAGAGAATACGAAAATATAAAGGAAGTTAGACAATTATAAATAAGTACATGATTAATGTAATATTGAAAGTTTTATCAGAATGTTCAAAATAGGTAGCAATAATTATAGGCAATGTACTTAGAGAATTACAGAGATCCAAAATAAGGATTAGATGACATCATATTAAAGAATGTAGTACAAAAGTAATAGCAAGATGAGAAGCAGTACAGATATTAGAAGGAATTGGAAGGCATTTCAAAGGAGAAGTACAATTCGATTCTTTCGATTCAGTTGCAAGAGTAACAGTATAAGCGAAAATAGAATAGATATGAGGCTAAATCGAATGGCTATCAACATGCCAATTCTGTTTATTGGTACAATTCTGATAGACAAAATAATGTATGAATATATGAGAGATTTAAGATTTCAACTCCTGCTAGAAGTGTGGCTTCAGATCTAAATCAATTATATAATCCACTTACTAATCCGAATCCAAATCAAACCCAGAATCCTTACATACTTAAATAATTGGGAATGAATCTGAACGATCTGCCTACTCCAGCCTATACTAAATCAAAGTTAGCTTCAATGGGAAAGTTTTGCATCAATTGATATAAATTAAATGCGTTATTATATTTTATTAAATGAATTAAGGCTGCTCATATAAATATTGCATCAACACTAGCAGTACTGCTGCAATTTACTCTTGTTAGTATTGTTAGATTCCCAAATATTGTTCCTAGAAGTGCAGGGATACTGATTGGTAAATTGAGATTGCATTATTGGATAGGGCTTTATCTCATAAGAATACTTGTCGTTCAATAAATGGGAAGAGTCAAACTGAACTGAATGACTCTGCGTCCACCTTAAAATCAATTCGCAGATAGGCTGAAGACTTCGAAATAATAATCAAGGATAATAAGATGGAATTGGGAAAAGGTAGTTATGGTTGTGTCAAATTGGTCAAGGACAAATAGAATGGTCAGATGTATGCGATGAAAGTGGTAACTCTTTTTATTGAAGCTAGATGAACAAGAAACAAATATTTGAGTATTGTTCTGTTGAAAATCTAAAGAGAGAAATTAAAATTTAAAGAAAATTATAACATCCACATATAACCAAATTATTTCATTACTTTGAGGACAAAGAAAATGTATTTCTTATATTAGAATTAGCAGGTATCATAAACATCCTATATATTTAAGAGAATGGAAGTCTGTTTAGTTATATAAGGAAGAGAAGGAGACTTCCGGAAAATGAAGCCTTTGTCTACTTCTTCCAAACTTGTTTGGGAATAGACTACTTACATAAGAGAAATATAATACATAGAGATCTCAAACCAGAAAATCTGCTCTTGGATAAGTAAGGCAATGTAAAGGTTTGTGATTTTGGTTGGTCAGCTGAAACAACTTAAAATGGAGTCAGAAGAACTTTTTGTGGCACTCTCGATTACATGGCTCCAGAAATGCTGACCAATAAACCCTATAGTTTCACATTAGATATTTGGTGTTTGGGAATCCTGCTATTTGAATTAATCCATGGTTTTGCTCCATTCAAGGGGAAAACAGAAAATGAAAAATGCAACAACATTATTAAGATGACTCCAATCGAGTATGATCCATTATTATCACTCGAAGCTAAACAGTTAATATAAGGAATACTCAAGTATAATCCTAATGACAGACTATCAATGAATCAGATCTTTGAGCATCCTTGGATGAAGAAATTCTATAAAAGTTATGGAATTGATCTCAGATCTTATATAAGTAAACAGGATAAACACAACGATTCATCAAATCGATCCATATCTCCATAAAATGATGATATTATTACTAGGTCTTTTATTAAAGGGCCAGCACAAAATAGTAACAACGACTTAAAACCCTTATCTAAATCTTCTAATTATATCTCTCAAAATAACAGCAATAATGGAAAATCAACTGCTTCTTCAAATTACAACTAAGAGGATGAATTTAAGGCCAGAGTAAGTAGACTATCTTAAAGATAATAAATGGTTTAAGGGTTAAAGGAAATTCAAGGATAGCCATAGAGACAAGAGGAACTCGGTTTTATGGATAAAGTATTTTCAGCATTTGGGTGTTTAAGTAGAGATAAATAATCAATATAGTCTCATAATTATTGAATTTATATTAAGTTATATTATGATATATATACATTACTTACTTACGGTTATATAGATAGTAGAATAAATAATTAAATAATAATAATAAAATTATTCTTGACATATTTTTGTTTTTTTGTTAAAGATTTATGAATAGCTTAATCCTATCCAATTCTCTGTTGAACTTCGCCTCTTTCCGCAGAAGATAACAAATACAGTCTAATGATGAATTATCTTTATTATTTGAATTTGAACTAATAATAAAACACTTAGAAATAAATGTATGATACTTAATCTACGAAATATTCAATTATGATTATTGCAACAGATTTAATGTTATGACACATTCATCAATAATCTATGAGATGATCGATGTGATTGTTTTATATTGCAATTGTTACAATCAATATATAATTATGTAAATTGAAAAGGAAGCAATAATAAACACTTTTATTATTAATCTGATTATTATACTCAAGCCTATCTATGCATGCCTATTGTTGTAAAAACTATTAGAATCACAGATAATGATCCGAATCCCAAAGGAACTTAGTGATATCCCAATTAGACAATCAGGGACAGAATAGTCACACAGCCAGAGAGTGCCCAGATGTACATAGTTGATAACTATTGATTGACCAATTCATTAATTGCCAAATATGCAAACATTTGGAGAATACACATGATTAGGATTTCACTAGATAGAGAAATATAATTACATGAAATAGGTCATATCGAAAACATTCTACACACCTCCACTAAAGAGACTCAATAGAATGTAGAGGGGCAATCCTATAAGATTGGTGTATAATTGCAATGAAAATTATTGTATTTGCCTAGTCATCAAATATTTAAGAGTCTATATAAATGCTAGACTTAATGGTTGTAAGAGACAAATCAGTATATACAAAATGTTTCCTGAAAATAAAATGGTTGAAATAGTTTGAATCAAGGATAGCAATAGATTTATATTGTTAGTTGGTTGAATGAGGAAATGCTGTAAAACTAGGATATACCCTGCAGTTAATTGATGGAATGTGCATACTTCTGAAAACACGAAGGTTTACATAGCAAGCAACCCCATCAGAGATGCTAGTACTTATGCAGCACTCATGAAACCAAATACCTTAATGTAGCCTTGATCAAACTAAAATTAGGAATTGTCGAAAAATTAGATATACAGCAATGTTAATATGATCGTGATTATGCATCTTTAAGTAGCTATTGTAATAATATCTATTTGCTAAACTAATGAGAATCCAATCATTAATTAAAGCAATTAACTTACTACATAAATCACAAAGATGAGGTTCTAATTGACCTTCTGCAGAATCTATGGTCTCATTCCTTCTTATGGTTAGAGAACGTGAAAACTTGTGGTTGATTCGTGCCTTCCCAAAATCTTCTCAGAGATATCCCTATACATATTTTTAAATTTTATATTAATATAATTAAATCACACATTTGCCACTAAATATGAAAAATCTTTGGCCATTCTAATCAAGCATTTGATCATTTTTTAATCCATTTCCATCTATTACAATTATTACCAATGCTATTTGGGCACATTCAGCAAATGGAGAAGATAATAGCTCACTAAACAAAACAGTGAGTTTGAATCCTATGATGAATAAACAAAACTCTTACCCTAGGAGTATATAGTATGTACTCTTGCTTAACCTTTTTGATCTCCTTCTCCTTCGTCAAAGCCTTGACTATGCAATCGCTATAATAGTGAAATTGAGGTTCAGAAACATATTATTCTAATTTTTGATTGATAATTAAGTTTCTAATTTAAATTGTACATGTTACCTTATCTACTCAATTTGTTTTTGTGGTTGATTAGCATTTTAAGCATCATTTTAATTGGTCTAGCCATTCTGATTGGCAGGCTCCTTCTACTTGCCTGATTCAGGCTCAGTGTTTCCTAAACTCTCAAGTCCAATTAAGCTGACTTCGATAGATTTCCATGCATTTAGATTGAGCTCACTACTCTCCTTATTATACTTCTGCTTTTCATATCTGACACATTTCAAGAGAACATTTATGAAAACAATGAATAGTAACTGAATATAGATGGAAGCTTACTTCATAATCGCTAATCATCTTCTCATTCAAACCATCTGTGAGATATTAGGGTTTAGAATTGTTCTCTGAAAAATCGATTAGTTTGGTTAGGAATAGTTTTTTGTCATTTATTATATTTCTGTTGATGAGAGTCACATCCAAAATATTGGAAAATAGTTCCAAGAGATCGCATTCCTTAATGAATTCTGCCTTTTCTTTAGTAAATTTTTCAACATTAGTAGGTGCTCTCACTGGTTCTCGGGATCTGCTCTTAATCTAATTCTTTAGAAAGAAAACATCCTCCATGGTGATATTTTTGAATCCAATTGATTTCTCATGTTTATTGGAATTAATATCGTAGGGCTTGTTGGCGAAAAAGATATCAATCTCGATTATTTTCTATTGGAAATGCTCTTTCATCATTCTGTTCACATTTACGAGATGATCCTAAAATTCTTTTACAAATGTTGGTATAAATGACTTCATAAATAACTCCTCTGCTTTTTGATGAGCATCACTCATTTTTTTAATTAGTTTGGATAAAATCACCTCTGAATTCTTGCTCTTCTATTGAATTTCATAATCTGGAGTACCATATTATTATTTATTACTATAGCTGCTCCTCCCCAAAGTCTGAACTTACTAATAAGACGTAGTTTAAGCCAAACTATATTATGATCGAGTGTCGTCCACAAAGAATTGTCGATTCGATCCATTTTTATATGGCATTTGCCACTCCCCATTGTCACATTCTTACTAAAAATCTGATTTCATAACGATCAAATATCTTACGCATCTTCATGTTATTCTTTCTCTACTCCTTACTCAAGATTCTTTCCCTCTCCTTTGGAAGTTGTCTCTCCATGGACTCTATTTGAGTGTGAACTATCTCCGATTATTACACTTGACCATAGGATTCATAAATAATACCACGATATTCTGGCTATTGAATGAACTCCTAATTCCTCTCGAAAGCACTGAAGTTTATTTGCTTGTAAGGCGACTTTATAATAACTTGTTTCTCATTCTTCTTCTTACACATTCCTTCATAAGCTTTCACTACAAACACTATTACTAAAAGCAACTTCAATATTGTGATGTGAATTTAGCTTTATATACTTGACTCTTACTTGCTCGAGACTGCAATTCCAAACAGCGAGAAGATGACGAAACCTCCTAAAGTTATATTCGTAAATGTGGTCGGAGCGCTCATTTTTTTATATTTAATTTAATTAGACCTCTAAATCATTCAGTTCAAATTCATATATTTTAAATTATTATTTATATGTACACTCATATCATGCTTAATCTATTATTGATTCTACAGTGAACACCGAATTAACTGTTAGAACTCATCTCCGACTATCACAAATCCAGTGATATGACTCTCTCTTTACATTATTCTATTACAATTCATATTATAATCTCACATTTCAATATTATCAATGGTCTTCCATTAATTAAACTGACATTATTTAGGTAATAAACTTCAATACTCTTTTGAATATTAATTATAGATTTTTTCATTAATATTACTAATTATGAATGAATAACCAATAAAGTAAATGGTATAATTAATAACAAAGAGTATCAAGTAAAATAGGCTGAAAATATTTGAGTTACTGGAAGCAGATAATGATATTCTCTTTGGGGAATCGTATAATCCTAATTGTTTGCAACAGTATCTAAGAGATTACCTAATTTAATGAATTATTATTTACATTTATTATTATTATTACATTAATTATGCAACAATATAAAAAGACACAATATAAATTGATTTTAGTATTGGTTGGATTGCCAGCCAGAGGGAAAACTCACATTTCTTACAAATTAAATAGATATTTGAATTGGATTGGATATAAAAGTGAAATCTTCTCCATCAAGGGAGCATAATAAAATGATGCCTAATTAGATCAAAATATCGATTATGAATTAGAAATAGATCCAGGTAATCAGTAAGTAAGATTTGATTTAATATTTAGTTTGCAGAAGTTAGACAGCATCTATCGTCTACAGCTGCTCAGCAATTGGTGACATTTTTATAAAGTGACGGAGACATTGCATTATATAATGGCTTAACAAGCACTAAGGCCGACAGACAAAAATTGAAGTCTTTTTTTAAAGAGACACTGAAATTGGAATACCAAACATTTTGGATAGAATCGATTTGTGATGATCCTCAAGTAATTCTTAATAATATTAATGAATCAAAATTAAGTAGATTTAAAGATAAAACAATTGAACAATTTATGAATCATATAAATGTATTGGCTTAACATTACGAGAGTCTCGAAAATACAGAGAATCTATCATATATCAAACTAATTAATATTGGTAAACTAGTGAAAGTGCATATGCTGGAGGGTTATTTGTGTTCTAAAATAGTGTCCTTTCTTTTGAACTTGCATGCAAACAATCGATAAATATATTTGGTAAGATCCTGTTAAACTGAATACCATTTACTTGATAAAATAGGAGGAGATCCTGAGTTGTCTGCAGCTGGAAAATAGAATAGTCAACAATTAGGTGACTACTTTATTGAAGAATTGAAAGGAAATAAGAATGTAAGTGCATTCCTAAACATCTTTAGATAACCTTATTCACCTCTCAAATGAAAAGAGGAATCTAGACAGCCGAGATTGTAGGGGAAAAACTAGGAATAAAAGCCTTGAAGACAAAAAATTTGGATGAGATTGATTATGGAATATGTGATGGATTGACAGTTAAAGAAATAGCAGCAAAATATCCAAAGTAGATCAAAGAAAGGAAAGCTAATCCTCTTGAATTCAAATATCCTCGTGGTGAATCATTTTTAGATGTAATACATAGAGTTGAACCTATAATTTATGAAATTGAAAGATCTAGAGATCCTGTTTTGATTATAGCACATGTTGCTGTTTTGAAGTATTTAGTTCGTTCATCTCATTTAGGTGTTTGTACGCTTATTACCATTGTAATTAAATAAGTGAAATACCGAATATTGATATTCCTATCAATTGTGTTATTAAGTTAGTACCCATCCCATACCATTGTCTTGAAAGTAGAGTAAATATTAAGTGACAAATATTCATTTAATATGTATTATATAAGTATCAATATAATTATAGATTTTATTAATATTTTATTTCTATTCAAATTAATGTAAGTTAAAATATCAGGCATTTTCAAGGACATTGCAAATCCATACATCCCATTCATTTTCTGGAATTTATTGTCTTTAACTTTGATTGAACATTTCAGAAATTAGTACATTTTGAGAGGGATGATTCACAGGGAATTTGTCTTTACATTTGCATGCCTGCAAGAAGAACTTCTTTTTTAATTGTTCATTCTCATTAGAGAACTTGCCTTTAACATTTGAAATATAGGTTTAGATTTTAGAGATAACAGTAGGTTCAGACTCTTTGATGTTCTCTTAACGATGTTGTTCAGTGTGAACTTTAGTAAGGTTCTTTGAATTTGATAATTAGATATAGGATCTCTTTTTGGAGGAATCATAATTATTACCAAATTCAATTCCATTTTTGTAATTAGCAACCTCTTATTTCACAGGCGATTTGTTCTAAATTTGGGCTTGTGAGATTGGTTTCGTATTTAAATTGGAGATTTTGACTAATTGCTTAGGCATATTTTAGAATGATGGTGATTCAAACAACCTTTTTCTCGTCGTAGTATTAGTTGCATAACTAATTACTGTTTAACGTCTAACAATATTACTATTTATGATACTCAATTAATTGATCCTATTGCTAGAAACTGATTTTGTTCTGATGTTGAATTGTTGATGGTTCTTTGACTTCCAAGTGCCTCTCTTATTATGAAACCATGAGTTGCATCTTTCTATTTGCAATTTCCTATATTTTTTATGCCACTGTCAACACATGATAAGCTTTGGCTAGACTTAATATAAGATTCTTATTTACTATTTTAAGTCAATTGAGTTTTCAAGATGTACAAATCTTCAACTATTTGAGATAGCTAATATTGATCTGTTACTTCAAGAATTTATTAAGTGCAGTTATACAATAGTTCGATCAATTGTTTGACATTGTCATCAGTGCTTGCTTCGAATCTTAAACTTAAGAGTTTCTTATAGTTCTCTAATTGCAATTGCAGTTTTTAGTCCTCTCCATTGCCATTAGAGATTTATTTACACTCGTTCATATGAAAATTAACTATATCTATGGGAATGAATTCTTCGCAAATCAAGCAGAATACATCTTTCACAGGTTGCACAGGTAATTGTGATTATTAAGTTTTCACTTATGACAATTACGATTGAGTTTCACATCTAAGATTTGATTTAGCCTTCGATCTGTAAGAGCATTACGACCCAGCCCATTTTGGTTTACCTGGACTATATTTAGATTGTTGCTTCTGTTAATCATATTTCTGTTTTCTTTTATTCACTTAATACTCTTTATCAGATGAGGAGGAAGAAGAAGAGGAAGAGGATTTCTTCTAAGAAACTATTGTAACTCTCTTCTATTACGAGTTGTTTTGCTTTTTGGGAATGGACATGCTGAATTTCTTTGGGATTTCACATGGCTATTCATTCTCCACTATGAATCGACCTGTCTGTCTTAATTGATCTTTAAAGGAATTATCGCTTTTATGACTTTCGTTCTGATCTCCCATTCGATTGATCAGAGCGTCTATCTCCTTCAATAGAATGTTCACACTACTATCATCAAAATTATGTGACATTAACGGTGTTAAAATATTTATTAATGTTATATTAGTATAATAATACAATAGAGAGTTGTTTGATTTACAAGATTTATGTAATTTAGACATAATAGAGTTTATGTGTTTGATTAACTAACTTTTATGAATTTAAATTATTTGTTTAAGAAAATTATTAATTTATAATTATACAAGTGTGATGAAGTTATACATTCTTATTCTCATTGCTTGTTTGGTCATTAGTTAAGCTTAGGAAGACATCAAATAAGCAGAAACTACTTAGTAGGAATCTGAAATTCCAAAAGATGACATTGCCAGCAACACTCCCACAGAAGGGAAATTAAAATCAAGGACCAAGGAGGAAATCATCAAAGAAAGAGATACTCTATAAACCTTATTGAAAACTTTGAATTACTCTTGCATTGTTTTGGCTAGAATGTAATTGTCAAGATATAAGTCTGAGTTAATGAAAGTTATTGAAAGGTAATTCACATCTATCAACTTAGTCATCAAACTAAACAGGAATAAAGCATTGTATGGAAGAAAATATACACTTCATATGTTAATTAATGTCAAAAAAGCATAACATATGATGATAGTGTCAAAGTAATATTATGGGATCTTATGATTTTAGATCTTTTCCTAAATTTAATCCAAAGAATTCAAATTTGATGATTACAGATTCATTTATGAAAACATGACCTTAGAAGATTATAGTAGTGATAAAGTTGATATGCACATCACGCAAGCAGAAGAAAGAATTTGGTCATATATTTAGGATTTTGAAAAGGCTATGGATTCCAAAGATGATGAAGATGATGATTCACAATTCAAAAGAAACTTTGATTTGGAACCTAAAGTGTTTGGATTTTCCCTTAAATCAGTCAAATCTTTGCAATACATCATGTTCTTTATATTTATTTCCTTCATTTTATTCTTGGGTTACATAGCATTTAAAAAATTACCCAAACAATATGAAGATCAAAAAAAGAAAAGAAGAAACTGATATCTATTGTTTTTAATTTATTTAATTCTAAAATTTAGAATATATATATTTGTATCTAATTGAGATAATAATTAATAATTTTTATGATAATGTAATGTAGTGTCAATTGAAAATAATCATTATTTACTATTAATTCTATATTGTATCTTTGATTCATTCACATGATTTTGATTATAAATATATATAAAAATGTTGAGGCAATAATAATTTTCAATTAAGGAAAGATAATCAATTTGCAATATATCCATAAGGCTTATTTAAACAATCAATGTATTTAAATATTTTATTAAGAACAAATAAATTGAAAATTATCTAAGAGTGCATAAAATAACAATAAATGATGTTAATAAACCCTTAAGTTAATACAAATAACCATATACTAGATTGTGTTGTTATGTCTTAATTTTTAGATCCTTATTTAAATTCAGATAAGAAAACATAACAAAAGTTGAGTTTATTAAAAAAACACAATGAAGAACTTCTTAATTTCATTACTAATAATAGATTGTTGATCCATTTATCTACTTTTCATTATTTATTAATTAGTGATTAACTATTAGATTAAAAAATGGCAATAATTGAAATCAACAGTTTATTGATACAATTAGTGATTATTTTTAAGTGGACATAGGAAGTTTTAATTAAGTTTGGAGTCTAAATTTGATTTATACAATTTCAAGGTGCGATTTTCATGAAATTGATAAAAGTTACAAAATGAGTTAAGATCAATATGATATGTTAAAATTAAGATTATCATTATTCTAGATGGCTTTTTTTAGAGGATTCGAGTTTCTCTCTTACTTTAGGGAATCTTCTCAATTGTTACTCATAAGTGTCTTAGACATATTTGTCAAGTGGGACTTCTCTTCCATGATGCAATTTGTGCATTCTCAGGATTTGTTAACTTGTTTTCTTGATTGTATCATCGTCATCTTCTTTGGTGAAGAGATATTTGATGCCCTTCTTGGAGACTTTAATTTGTTGTTCCTCAATAGGTTAAGGAGGTTCAAAATTATAGGTCTTTTTTAGATACTCATAGAATTATTTTTCATCTTTCTACTAATATAAACAGTATTTACCTGTCCGACTTTTTAGACTAGGAGGAAATGAAGGAAGTTTCTTTTACTCATTTCACTAAGTTGTCTTTTAATTTTGGGGTCAACCCTAATTAGATTTGGTTGAAACATGGAAGTTGTTTAATTCGCTTAAGTTTTGGGTGAATTGATTTTGGGGATGCCATTGATTGCTCCCAAGAAATGTTTCTCTTGTCTTGCTGATTATTGAGCATTGTGCTTTCTGACTTACCTAGCCATTTCTCTGGATTGGATTTGTCTCTCTAGAGATTGACTCCAAGAATGCAAAGTGCCACGAGTGTTATGGATTATATTATGCTCTGAACCATGTTGAGAGAATTAACTAAGAGTGTTTCCGAATGGAGATTGCAAATCATTCGAGGGCTGAGGAGTGAACCATCCCATTTAGGCTCGATTATTCATTTGGTTCATGAGAGTGAAGGTGGCCCTCTGTTGCTGATTCTTTTTATGAATATCCTACAGACTTTTCATTATATTTATTATTAATGAGTGAAACTAAATCAAAGGACAGCTATCAAAAATAGAACCTCATCGTTGTTGGCCAGCATTACGTATTGAAAACCTGCATCTACAGAGGCAAGAAACATAACTGGTATTTGGGTACTCTTTATACATTTATACTTTTATATTCGCAGCCCTCAATCAAGCTCAGCCAGGTAACTACTTCATAGTGAGATTGGTAATGTAAATAATTCTTTAAATTTTATTGTTAGTTCATTTACCTGATAGGCAAACACAAACATCGACAGTTTACAAGAGGAAGAAAAGCTCCTTAAAAAGTTGGCTAATGGTGAGTTTTTAACTAATAATGTTTTCAGTTCCCTACATGCCAACTCTCCAGATTTCAGGAGACGTTCGTCTTCAGAATACCAATTACTATTACTAAGTATTTGACAGATATGGACCAAGTCTTAAACTATGCTTCTAATTTGTCAATTATGAATTCACATTACCAACCATTTGTATGATTGCTATACAAATTGTAAATTGCAAAATCCCATATTTAGTTAAACATTCTCGAAAAACTCCACAATCAATCAATTGTTCATTGCAATCTCAGACCCAAAAAAATATTAACTCAACTTGGCAAAAATGATTTGGTACTGATTGATTTCTAACATTCTACCAAATACAAACACAAGAATGGTAAATTCATAGGATATGCATCCAAATTTTCTAATCTCAACAAATTAACCAAATACTCCAGTCTAAATCAGCATTTAGGTTTAAGTATACACATCCCTTTTGATCTATAGCTGCCTCCCCAAAGGATGACCTGGAATCCCTAGGATTCATATTGATGTATTTCCTCAAGAAGGGAGACTTGTTTAAAGTCAAAGAGCATGGATCAAAAATTAAAAAGATGGAAGAGCAAAAACTGAGAATGATTCCAGAAAAATATTGTAAAGATATGCCAATAGAAATACTCCAATATTTTTAGTTTATCAGAATGACCAATGTATAACAATACCCCTTGGGTGATTACGAATTCCTAAAGAAACTCTTTAGAAATTTGCTTCAGCAATTGAGTGTCAATGAAAAAGATTTCTAATACGATTGGGTAACATTATAAATTTAAAACATCCTAGATCAAAAAGATGAATTCATAACAAACAAGTCAACAACAAATGCAGTAACCCCAAAAGGACTCGACTAATCAAAACCAAACTTAAACTAAAATTGTTATTCATCAACCTCAAAATCTGGAGGGGATTCAAGAAGTACAAACTGAATTGGAGAGATCTTCAATAAAACGAGAGTTCTATAGGTAAATCTCATCCTTATGTATTTCTGATGAAGAAGACAAATAATTTGAGAGTGTTAGCACAAAAATGCTTCAACTCCCAAATATGTTTGATTTAATAAAACTAAAAAGTTGACCATCATCAATTTTGTATCTATCTATATATTTTTAAATTCTAACTATTTCCAATAATACTACTATAACTTACCCATCAATTAATAAATATTCTATGTACTGATATTTTATCATCTTTTCTGTATGTAAATAGAGAATTCAATTACTAATATTAGGATTACTTTATTTTATCATAAATTTATTAATATTATGTAATAATTTGAAGACATACAATAACACGAATAACAAGAAGATTAGGAACAAATAAGTTTCTCATTTCTTGAAATTAAATTGCCCAGTGACGTATTAAGTCAAAGCTAAGCCATAATCATAGCTTAATATGGTCCTGCATCTATCTATATAGATCAGCATCTTTAAAAATCTTAGGAGGTAGGATAGATTGTCCAAACAACATCCAATCCACTCAAATTGGCAAGCATCAAATAGATTGATTAATTGCTAGTGATTTCATTTAAGAAAGACATACGCTATTACTATTTCTAAGAATACAATTTGCTTAAACAATTGGAGAGTCTTGGCTTAAAGCAATAGCACATATATGTATTGATGAATGTCCCATCCTCTACATTAGAGAGATATTCAGATGAGAATTCTTAATTGCGCCAATTAAATCACAACATTGAAAGCAGTGTGAAATAATTGGAAGATCCAGAAGAATTGGAAGGATACTTTGGCGATTTGTTTTACTCTCTGAAACATCTAAAATCAATTGCTTACATTCTAGTGCAAACCAATTATGATATTTCACTTGAATTAATTTAGAAATATGATGAAATTAGAAAGCATTTGCCACAGATTCCAAATAGTGTTAACAAAGAATTCATAAGGGAGGAATTGAAAAAGTATGCCAAGAGTTAAAATAGAGATAATGTCCACATCTGAATTGAGTTTAAATTATTACATAGCACAAACATGTTTTTTCTTTGTTTTTTTATCTTTTGATGGATGTTTATATATAAAATTACAATATATAATCATGCATTTTAAGAGAGAGTAGTTTACATATTTGGACTTTATTATTTATTCAATTATTAAAGATTTGATCTTAATTCCAAATTTTAAGGATCTATAATAATTCTTGGTTTTCGTATCTTATCGCTTTAAAAAAGATGTTAGAAAGGGCGGACAGGAGCTGCTTGGATTATGTTTTGTTTTAAAAACTGTTTATATTTTGGATGCAAATAGGGCTGCTTATTCTAATCTTAAACTAATTTAATAGAGTACTTAAATACGAGACTGCATTATAAAGAGTAAGTGAAGTAATTACATTGTGATAGTCATGGTCTTTTTCTGGTTTCTTGGTTTTATCAACTTTAGGCATACTAATCTTGGGTGATTAATCCGGTTTGAAGTATACAAATAAGTCACAAAACTGCTCGAACTCTATATCTTTTGACTTCATCTAGTAGTACAAGTAAGTCAACAAAGTTTCTAACTTAATATGCAAGGGCAACAGTTATCTCTATAAAAGAGTGTAATTATCAGCCGCATCAGTGATAGGTGCAGCACTAATCCTTTCAGCTATCCTTCCTAATGCTTCAACAAATTCAATAAAAGTCATTCTGATATTTCTGTCTAATGTCAATTCATCAACTTGAGTCATCATTGAGAAATTATAGATGATGACCTATTGTTTCTCTGATAAATATTCATGAAGATTGAATTATCTGCAGAACTCCTTGAATTCCCTGATTGAAATCCATTTTAATTTGAAATACCACTTTCTATTAGCAATATCAGTGACATAATCATAGAGTTTTTTTACAAAGGGCATTTTAATTTATAACAAATGATCGCATTCTCGTGTCCACAGTCTTTAAGTTCTCCAATCTTATATTTAGTCAAAGTATTCATATTATTCCTTGAATTCCTTGAGTAATCTAAAGAGAGCATCAGCATAACTCTTATAAATATCATTTCTGACATATTTGTCATTGGCAATTCTGAAGAACATTTCCAAAAACTGGTACCTTACTAATGCTTTTTCAGGATTGTAAATAAACTTAGGATCGGTATTGTTTTTTAGTGAAACTATGTCGATATCAACATCCTGTTATTTCAACAAATCCCCGTCAATAATGGCTAATTTATTGATTAGTTTCATGTATTAAGGAATCTAAATACAGAAAACATCAAAGTTGGGAGGTTGATAGCCCAAACTCGAATAAAATTTGTAGACATCTTTCAGAAGTTAATAGCTAGATCTGAAATATTCTTTTAATTTTAGTCTTTCATACTCGCTTTTAACAAATCTACTGATTTTGCTACTATTCCAGTCCTATTCGAAACACTCATTTAATAATTCTTCAGTGTCTCCAATGAACGGTCTGAAGATGGAATCTTCCTTATTCCATTTAATGAGATGAGCCTGTTTTCTGACTAAACAATTAGCAAATCTCCTCAATACATATTTCTTCTATGATGATCTGGGGAATACTTTAATCAAGGGCTTATAATTATCCTTGTCATCGATTATGTATTCCTATCTCGAATAGATGTAATTAACATATTAGATCTTCCTAAAAGCCAATTTTGTTCCATCTTGAAATATGTGAATAGAGTGCTTAGGGTCTTTGCCCTGGAGTATTAAATTATCTAATGGAGCTGGCATGGTCATCACTCTGGGATCAATAAAGTATTCTTCTCGAATAGGATTGGAAAAGAAATACAATATCTTCTTCTTTGGAGGACACATTTGATAAGTGGTATAGTAGAACCTGCTCAACTCTTATATCATTTATTTGGTGATTTCTTCGCTCTTTTTACTGGTCTCCTCAGTATAGGCTTCTGTTATTGCAGCCAACGTTATCCTCTTTTCATTGTTGACCAGCTATTTCAATTGATGTATAATCTCTCCCGTAGTAAGATCTAGGTAACTGCTTTTCCTCTTTGATGCTTCAATCAATTATTGTCTTAATTCATAACTGGAGGTCATAGGAATTGGCTAATAACTAATAGTTAATCATACTATTACTCTAGAAAATCAAGATGGATGAATATTGGATCCTGATTGCTATCGTTCTCTGGATTGAATTGGAACCGATACTCCATCCACCCTTAGCAAATCCAACAGCAATCATTCCCAAATAAATTATCCCCCTATATTGGAATGTAGTTGACTCCATCTATAACATTTTTTTTTTATTATACTACTTTGAATTCTTCGGTATCATTTATAAATTGGATGAATCCATAAGGATCCACCTTAGCTGAGCACTTGTTGCCTTCAATATGCAAGCCATACAAGCTGTTATTTTTTAGCAAGGCCTGGCTGAATTACCTTAACTGCTTTTCACTCAATTAGTTATACGAGATATCCAAATGGACTAACGAGAATTGTGAGTTGGTAATAGTTTCACACCAACATTGGATGCAATTGCTTCTTTCATTCTATCCCAAGTGATTGTAACTTAGATCTAAGACTTTTACTGACCTATTTTATTGTAAACCTTTTGCTATCATAGTTCCAGTGGTCGGACCCAATTGATTCCAATTCAACACTAGATTTTCAATAAAATTATTCTACAACAAAAACTGATAGAAGACAGTGGAGCATGAATCAGTAATTTAATTTTCTGACAAATTTAGTTTGATGATAGTCATATTCCTTTGAATGCTACCTAGTAAGAGGGTCACGCCTTTATCTCCTAATAAATTATTTTAGAGATTCAATGATTTTAAATTCAGAAATTTTGAGATATGACTTACAATGATGCCTGCTCCTCTTCTGCCCAATACATTGTTGCCCAAGTTGATTTCCTTTAATGCAATGGGAAATCCCTCAATCAAATACAACAGGGACTTATCATCCAATTGATTATTACATAAGAACAGTTGTTTTACTGCTTTACTTTTAACTGATTGCAATAGGTTTTTTATCAATGGGAAGTATTTCTCAGTCAACCCGAGATCTGAAAAGTGCATTTCCTTATTGTTGATCAGGCAATTCGATAGATCTATTCGTTTCGGAAATATATTATCATTGAGACAATAAAAATTAATAGGATCTACATTTTTTTTATTGAAATTGATGGCCAAATCTCTTAATCTATCCTGTCGTTTGATGAAGTAGAAATAGGATTAATCTATTTCTTGATCTATTTATGTAAAATATGATTCTTTACGTAGTTTATGTTATATCTTCTTGATTTCTTATTGTAACTCAACTCCATCGAATCTTTTTGGCTCATCACTACTGCTCTCTTCACTCAACACATCATAGTCTGGATCCTCGTTTTGGCTTAATTCCTATTAAAATGACAAACTCTCCATCTCGTTCTAATCCTTAGTATCTTATTCCCTGAATTGCTCTGCTTCAGTCTCTGTTTTTATTTATTTTAAAAGTGAAGAACTGTGTTACAAGAGACCCAAAGGAAAATTCTTCTTTTTGCTTTCTCCTTAACCTGGTTATAATGAAGTGCTGTCTATCATCTGTCGCATTCCAATCAATTTCTCACTGCTTTTCATGTAATATGCCATGAGACCGTGATCATCAGAAAATTCATCATTATACAGCAATTTCTATGTTTTTAGTTTACTTTGAATAATCTTGTTTTCTGATATGCTTCGATTGGATCTAAAAAATGATTTAAGTTTTTCTGCTTTCTCCTTTGAGTAATCTTTTAATCGAGGCAATGAACATTTAGATCTCTCAAGACTATTTTTCATTAGTTTATAATTATTAATTAACATATCAAAATGACAATCACAGTAATTATAATGTAGCCTTCAACTTCAAGAGTTTCTACTTTTGAGTCATCTATCTCTCCACCACATTTCTCTTTTATTTCTGGCCTTAAACCAATTGGAAAGGAATTTCCAAGAATTATCTGTAATTCGGATGCAAATACGGGGTCTTAAACATTCCTAGTAGTATAAATTAAAGTGTTACTCAAATAGGATAGAGTATTGTAAATCCTCAACTCTTGGGTTGTACATTCATAGTAATCCTATTGGACCCAATTGCCCCTCTGTAAAATTGGATTCGGATTCTAGCTAAAGTATATACTAAAACTCTCGAAGTTATTCACTCTTTATATGTAAATATAAATACTTAAGAGTCCTCAACGTATTAAAAATATGTGTTAACAAGTTTTCTAATTTGATATGCAAAGGAAGTACCAACCTGCTAGTAGATGCACTATTGACTTCACCTTCATCTGGACTAATATATTCTGCTATTCTAGCCAAAGCCTCTGTGAACTCAACAGTAGACATCCTTAAATGTCTATCTTGAGTCAATTCATCCTAATGAGTTTACATTGCCATATTGTAAATGATTTTTAATTGAGTTTCACTGAGGAATGATTGAAACCCCATTTAATTGCAAAAGTCTAGGAACTCGGTCAATGCTATCCACTTTAATTTGAAAGTCCATTTCTTATTTTGAATGCATGCCACATAATCATGTAATCTCTGAATAAAGCCTTATTTTATATAAATTAGATTGCCACACTCTTTTGTCCATAAACGTTCTTCTCTCCATTACTATTGGTTATCAAATGCTGCAAATCTTTCTGCTAATACTTAGAACACTCGATAAACTTCATCCACAATCAGTCTTGGTTTCCATTTTTACTTAGTCACCAGTAGAGCTATTCTAAATATGAATTCCATAAACTAATATCTAACAAAGCCATTCTCTGGATTATAAATATATTTTGCATCGCAATTGTATTTAATTTAGTTCACTTGAGATTATACCTCCTCAATCTGTATGCCTTGAGGTAACAATTCTTGGGTGAGATCATATATCAAATCAAGAGGTATATTAAATGTTTCAACTTGATAACCATTCTGTTGTCTATTAGCATTGTATCCGAAACTTGAATAATACTTATAGATGTCTTTCATCTTTGCGTAATGGAATCTCATAATCTCAACTACTCTTTCTAATTCCTATTAACTTTTCAGAAAATGCTAAATGCCCATACAATTCCAGTCAAATTGAAAGCACTCATCCAAAATATCTTCAGTGTCTCCTTAATATGATCTAAAGGCTGATTGATCCTTCTACCAATAAATCAAATTTGATTTTTGTTTGGATGCATCAACTGCGAATCTTTTTAAAAAGTATTTATTCTCTAAACATCTAGGTATTACCTTCACTAGAGGTTTGAACTAATTCTTCTAATCAATTACAAACATTTATTTAGTTTGAAAATAATTCACTTAATCTACATGAGATAAGGAGATCTGAGATCCATCAGGGTAAAAGAATACTTTCTCTTTATCCATAATCAATTCAATATTCTCTGCAGATCTTAATGATATTGTTGGAAATCTTGGATTTATAAATATTCCTTTTCCAGTGGGATTCGAAAAAAAATACAGTATTTTTTAATTGGGAGGACACATCTAATAAGAAGTGAAGAAGAACTTTGAATTCAACTCTGATAATATTGATTTCATATCATCCTTCGTCTTGATATCTTCAGTGTAAGCATCATTTATGGCAGTCATTGTAATTATCTTACCAGCACTAAAAGCGTGCTTTAGTTAATGAATTATCTCTCCTGTCGTTAGATCTTCCAAAACCGTAGTACTGTTGAATTTATTGCTTAATTATTTCCATAATTCTTTACTTGTTGTCATCGATATGGGTTTGAAACTAAAATACTCATATGCTTTTACTCTAAGAAATCTAAGTGCAAGTATATAGAATCAGTTTGAGATTCTTCAGGTTCAGGCTCATAAACAAAATGATACTCCATCCAACCTTGACATATCCAACAACAGTCAGATCCATTTTCATTCTCATTTAGCATTGGAATGAAGTTAACTCCATCGATATTTTAATGTTTAGGTTGCATACTCTATTTTCCTTTGATTTACTAAGGGAATTGTATGAATCCCAGAGGATCAACATGAGCCAAACATTTATTTCCTTCAACATGCAATCCATATAAACGTGAGTTCTTAAGAATTGAATAATTAATTAATTAGAGCTATTTCTAATTAAATTAATTATAAGACAGATCCAGATGAATCAATTCTGTATAGGTGTTACTCAACAATGAACACCATTCTTTGATACATTCATAATTATTATCACTCTATCCGATTTTATTATAACTTAAATCTACTACCTTAATTGATTTATTGGAATTCAATCCCTTTGCAATAAACAATCCAGCAATAGGTCCTAATTAATTCCAGTTTAGACTTAAGACTTATAAGGCCTAGTTTTTAAGAATAAACTCTTTTAATTCATTGGAAATCAAATCAGAAATTGCATTGTCTGATAAATTTAATTTTTTGATTTTCAAACTTGGTTTTAATGCCTCTAATATTGTTGCAGTTCCCATATCCCCTATTTGATTTCCTTTTAAATTCAAGTTCCTCAGACTGAGTAATAATTGTATTATACTTTTCAAATTTATTCAGATGTTCAGACAGAAGTACTGCTCCTCGACGGTTTAATTAATTAAGAGATAAATTAATGGTTTTGACCTTTAAGGGGAAAACATCAATTAACAACTTTAACGACCATTCATTAATTTTGTTTTGACTGATATCAACTGATTTGATATTTTTGTCTCGTTTTTAACTTAATAAATTTCTAATCAATGGAATATATTTTGGGGTTAATCCCAAATCTGATAAATTGATTTCTTTCACATCTTGCTTACTCAGTTCGATTCTTTTCGGAAATATACTATCATTTAAGCAATAATAATGGATTGGACTCAAATTATCCTTTTGCTGGAAATTTAAAATCAAATCTTTCATCTTTTCCGATTTTTTGATAAAATGATAAAATGAGTTGTTTAATTCTTGATCTGAATAAATGATAACATACATTTACTTATTTTGTGACTTATCTACTTCAAGGCCTTTCCAGTCTCTCCTTCAAGTCTTAAATCAATTTTATTTTCATTCCTCTCCTCATTTTCATCATTAGACTAACTAAAAGATGATTCCTTATCTTTGAAGTAAGGAGTTTCTGTTTCAATTTGAGTATCTGTTAGCAAAGGTTTTTTTTTGTTTAGAATTGGCTGATTAAGGATTTTATTTCGTTGATGCACTCTTGATTTTCTCTAAAATCGAGCAGATCTGCTAACTTCATCATCAAATGAATAGAGTTCTGAATTCCTTTCAGAATCCATTTGCTTAGTCAGATCTCTCTATGTCTTGATAGTCTGCTTATTAGGACTTATTGAAGAACATTTCTCTTAGAGGAAATAGGTCTTTAATTTTTATTTTTTCCTTGCACTGTAATCACAATACAGACTTGGAAGTAGACATTATTGTTTAGTAGATATCATTTGTTTTTCTAACTTAGAATTGGTCTAATTCATCAGGTAATTGGTACTTTTAGAGAATTTTATTATAATTGTAAATAATTCATCGGAGCTTCTATAATTACTGTAAAATTTGAATAATTATTTAAGAAAACACTCTAGAACTGAAATACTGTACACATGAAAATGACATTTTTAATTTTTTTATGTAATTTCCTCATCATATTTATTCTCTATAAAGTTAAATATCTAATGTTAATTACTTTACTGATAAGCTAGTAATATGAATAAATTAATCAACCAAAACAAACTAGTAATATTCGGGTAATTCAAAATAATTGAGCAATTTTAATCAAAGGAGATGAAGGTAAATAAATAGTAAGAAATAATAGCTTGCTTATAAATTTTCAGACTATCAATGATTGAATCAAAGTAAGTCTGCAAAAGTGAATACTCATTTATAAAAGATGTCTATATATATCTAGAAGGATGTAAAATATTGTGCAAATATATCATTAAACTTCAAATTATAAATCATACACAGTTTCATTGTGTTGCCTATTTGAATGAAATGACATCAATGATTGAAATTGCACATCGTTGTCATTGGCATTGAGTTTACTCTTTTGGGTGATCCTTTCTATCTATTAGCTTCTATATTTGAGTTCTTTCTTCCATTATAATGCAAAATCTTTGACGTCATGTATCAATTAGCATCTACATAGACAAAATTTGTACCTCATCTATAAACTTCCAATAATATCATCTTTCTCTTTGAGTCTGATGGTTTTCTCATTGATAATCTGCTCCTTCAATTCCTCAAAAGTAAAGGTGATACTGTGACCTACAGATTTAGACTCTTTAGATCCAACTTTGGTAAGTTGTTTGATTTATAGCTTAAACTGATTATTCAAACTAGTATCATCTAAATTAAACATGATGACTTCATTCCATTCCATATATTTGGAACTCTTTTGAACACTCGTCTATTATTCTTTGAGTTGATTGTTTCCTAATGATATGACAACATAATAATAGGTTTCACTTCCTTGATTCTTAAAATTGCCTGTCTGAACATCAATAATAAGACAAGGTTTGAAATCTGTATTAAATTCTTCAGGAAGATTTTCAATTTTCCTGATCAAAATTATTGATATTTTACAATACCTCTTAATTCTCCATAATGGCATCCATCAATTGGATATATTTTTAGAATTTATTTTTGTGATCATTTAGTTCATTCTCATATTGTGACCATTCTGCTATTTTCGAATGAACAATTTCGTTCAATTTTTTTGTCAATGTAGAATAATACGGATAACCTTTAATATTATATTGTTAGCACCTAAGAATTTCAATTCATTCTGCATATTGAATGCGCTTGAGTCCAGCTTTATTGAAATATCCTAACTAATCTCACTTTCCTGATTAACTAATTATTTCTTGCCAAAGAGACAACCCATTAAATATATTAATAAATATAATTGATAAATAAAATATAAAATTTAAATCTCAGATGAAAAATTTGTAAAAGTAGAAAAAACAAGAGTAAAAAAATTAAATCAATAATCTTAAACTCTTTTAAAGTACTTTTCGAAATTTTCCTGGGAGACAAACAAATTGTAGTCCAAAGTTTCCAAAAAGTAAGTCTCAATATAAATAAGCTATTCTTTTTTGAGTCCACTAGCCAATTTATACTGATCAATATTTCTTGGTTGGTCATTCAGAACCTTATCAGCAATTATTATTGCTCCAATCAGTAATCCAGTACTATTTTCTAAGTTAAGAAATATTCTTAGCTATTTTGTGATCTAGTCAACAAAATAAAAAGCCAAGATGAGAGTTTCATCGTCTAGATTCATCTGATAAAGGTTCTTAAGTGTTTTGCTTAATTTCTATAATTAAATTAAATTTCTTACTTAATTTGACTTTGGGATTTCTATTGTGGTTTCTAATCTTAACTTATCATATAACTAAAATATTCTGGTCATAATTTTTGTTATTTTATGTAAGGCACAATGAGCAGCAAAGTTTGGTGGTGTAAACATTTAATTTTTCAAATTATTATTAATTCTTCATTTTCTTTTTTTTTCAAACCTTTAAAGGAGGGTAAATTATTTTTAATTTTTAAACAACTATATTAAAACATTAAAATTTATATAAAGTAAAACATCTACCACCAATCAATAGCCTATATACTAAGCAAATCACCTTGAATCAAAACATATCATTGTTAACCAGAGCATAATAAATTAAAAAAATAATAAGAACTTCAAATACTAAAAATTTCCCTTTTTAAATAACTATTATAATTATATTCATAATTATCATCAGAAACTGACTCAAAATCATTTAGGTTTTTTAATTTGATGGCCCTTTAACAATCTACGTGTAATTGGAGCAGACATCATTCTCATTTAGCATGCCAATTTTGCTTTTTTATAATAAAATGTATATTTAAAGGACTTGGCAAGGTTTCTTGAGAAGATTGGTATAAGTTTAAGTTTTTATTTATTGTAGTTTAGGATTACACTTTAAAAATTATTCTATGGTAAGTAATGTTAAAATTCATAGATTTTGTCAATGTCAAGGTTTTAAGATTTTATTAATTTGTTATTATCTTCAGGTTCTAAGATAGCTGTATTAGAAAGATTTTTAATTGACCTTAATTAAATCATTTACTAACTTGCATATTCTGGATTCAAAGCTTATTCCTTTTGAATTGCGATAGATATCTTTCTTTGAGCGTCCTTGTTATCCATACTCTTTAAGTTTTGCATATTAAACTTTCCAGTTAAATTAGAAGAGAGTTTACGATGGGTCATCTTTTCTATCTAGATATCTGGAGATTAATCACTGGGATTAGAAGATTCTGGCTATTCAATTTTATTGTCGCTTTGTTTTTGACTTTAAAACTATTTGATTCGTTTAGTCCCACTAATGACAGTATACGATTCGTTCTAATTGGATGTGGTTTCAAACTGTTAAAATTGTAAGATGGTGCTTTAGATTCCCTTGATAATTTTAAATTGTACTTAAATTGAGCTTGTTACTTTAAGTTTCTAACGCTCATTTCTTTAGAATGAAGTTCTTTGTTGGAATAAGAATTCAGACACCTTAACTAATTTCTCTAAATCAGGTTTGTATGATATAATGAAACATTCACAGTTCTAATGGTCAAATCTATTACATAAACTGCACTTATTATTTATAAGACTGTAATCAGAGAGATATAGCAATTAATCTTATAAAGAATAGAATATTTCTTTGTCTCTCTAATTATTTTACACCACCCTCAATAGATCTTATCTAGAAATTCTGTATAATTAGCAGTAACTTGTACTAATTAACTTGAATTTTTGAGTCAACCCACTAATAAATGAATACTCTCCCAAAGTATCACCTACTTTATAAGTTTAGATGACCTTCTATGTTCTCACTTCCACTAGACTGACTGATCCTTAATCTAAATAATATCTATATTCATAATTATAAAAATTACAGATACTATTCGATATTTAATGTTTCAGGATCATAAATAACATCATTTGGTATAAAATTAATCTATTCAAGTTTAGGAATTATTTGAGACTGTGTTTGTTTTGAGAAGTTACTTACCAGTAGTTTCATATTTTATAATATCCTAGTCTTTATGTTTGTATTAATATCATCCTTGAGTCCATGGGGCAAGTTGTCAATAATTTATTAAGTCTATCATAACTAATTACATAGATTACTTCAACCTAATTGCTCTTAAATTCATGATCAACTTAATTCTTTAAGTAATTTCTCACTCTATTTGATATAGAATCATCAACTAAATTATTCTTCATGTAAGCATTAATTAAAATTAATTACCTCCTTTTAAATTATTAAGATACTTTACTTGCATAAATTTCGCTCATCATATAGGTTCTTAATTATAATCCCTATGGAATTCATTGAATAGGCGAACACAAAGCTACTGATAAACATAGTAAAATTTGAAAACAAAATCTCAATAGGATTAGAAGCTGTAACATCACCATATCCAACAGTGACCATAGTCATTGTGGCCCAGTATACAGCATAATCGTATTTCACTATATCAGATTGATCTTAAAGGGAATGCTTCTGGATCCATGAAACTTCATTTAGTTTCTCACCCAGCACTGCTAAATAATGCCAAATACAGCCTATAATATGAACAAAATAATATAGGGAGATTATTAGAAACACTAGATCCAACACCTCACTTAAATTACCATTCAAATATAAATAATCAACAAAACTATTGATTTTTTTATACACAGTGTTTATGATGAGGATGATCTAAACTATAGAGAGCATTTCAATAATTTAAAACTTTTCTACTCCATTGTACATTAAAATCCAAATAAAAAGATTTAAAAAATCACTCAGTACTTAATTTCTTAAATAATTATTAATGATCTATTTCCTACTGATGACTAACTATTTTAATTATTGATGATATTACTTCCCCTTATTTGAGATATGCTTTATTACATGTAATTAGTCCATCAATCAATAAAAAGATGAAGATAAACACTATTGTTTATTACACACTAGGCTTAGGCAATAACTAAAATGAAATAATGAATGGTGAAAACCAGAGAATGAAAAAACTAAATAGGATGCTAAATAAGTTCCAATATTTCACAAACTTATCTTGTGGTAAGAAGACTTAAAAGAATAGAAGTTTCTCTAGTCTATTCGAAATATTATTTTTTTTTATTTATCTGCTATCCTACACAGCATAATCTAGAAATAAGTATTCAAGGAGGGATTTCTTCTCTAAGTACATGTTTTCAGATAAAATATGAGCATTTTGTAATAAATTATCTTTGAATTTTTTGAGCATTTATTTATTCAAAACTTACTTTAATTTTCCATCTTAGCTATTTTCAATCTTAAACAAGCTATGTTAGATTTGCTTTTTGCTATTTACAACTGTAGGAGGCTTATGTTAAATACACTAGTACTTAAAACTTGATAGAAAACATTTAAGAGTTTCTTTAAATAAGCTTGCTGTTATTTTTAACATCTTGATTTAATGATCTCATGCTATCGATATTGCTATTTTCGCTCTGAAATTATATTTCTGAGTTGGATAAATTCTTCGGATTAACTTGGGGAGTAGCGCCTTCTATTATAAATCTAGGGGATAGAATTTCATCTAAATTAGACAGGGAAGATCTTGACATTCGTATAAAATAATAATATTTTATATTATGCAAATCTAATAATATGTTAATTATCCATATTTTTATAGTGGAATTGATAATCAAAGTAAATTAAATAAATCATTATTTTTCTTATTTTTGTTAATTCTTAGCGAAGTTTTCTTCATTGTAATGAATATTGTAATTAGAGGTTTTACGAATTAACAAAATATAGCGATCTAATAAAACGTATATTATAATGAAAAGTCTGTTTTTATTTTTCAATCAAATAAAAAAAATATAAGCAAATATAACTGTTATTTTAGATATAATTACTCTAAAGTTGAAACCAATCTGAAAACAATAAATTTCCTTTAAAACGAACATAATTGGCAAAGATCAGATAAGAGTCCATTCAATAAAATAAGGGATAATGTTTTTTCGTGGTTTAAAATCGATGTTTATTTTACTTAATTTTATATTATTTGATAGTTTAATATAAATAGCTAAAAATCTTAAGATCACTGGTTGACCTTTCTTGAAGCAATCTCATGGACGAATTTAACAATTTCCAGAATCATCATGAATTTTCCTTCAATTCAAAATTAAAAAAGGCGCAATTAAAAAAAATAAATATTTAAAAATGCAATCTTAATATACACTCTTATAACAATATAAAATGACTTATTTTTTAGATTAATCAAATTTAACTGTTTATTTTGTGCATTGACTTTTTAGGTAGTGATTAAATTGGTATTTTTTTAACATAAATAAAACGATATTTATTGCTAACCAACTAGATATTATAGAATTTAGATTGCTTTTGCTGTCTTTAAAAGCTACTAATGACATTTTAGATATTGTTTTAAGGAAAATAAATTTGAAATGTTTCAATTTTATCTATTTCCTAATTGAATTTATAGTATGATTGTAAATATTCCAATTAATTAAAATATTGTTATTTTTGTGACTTTATTAATGAATTATTTAAGGAACTCATTACTTATTGAGGTTCATTAACTTAAAGATATTAATTACTCATATGTATTTTAGAATGATGATCTTATGATTAATTAAAGAGAGATTTTTTGGATGGTTTATGAGTTGAGGATTCACTGCTAAGTAGATTGGATTTCTGCAAAGACTCTAGTGTAAAAGAATTTAAATACTTTTTTAATCTACTAAAGAATGATCGGGATTAGTAATCCATAATGAGATACGTTGTTTGATCTATTAACCAACTTCTTCATTGTTATTTGTATTGTTCTTATGTTCACTGCCAGTCAAACTAGAATACTATTTGTATAGTGACTCTTATGAGAGATGAGATGATTCATGCTCTATTTATTTATTTGAACCTCTTAGAGGTGGTTCATGTTCTTCATTTTGATTAAATATTCTTAAATATCTAAGATTCTTTCTTTTAAATTGAGATCTCTATTATATAGAATAATATGATTATCGTTTAATTAAAACCTCTTTTTCTGGTTTGTAAGTCAGAAGAGGGCAATTTGATAGTAAGTGATCGCCATCACAACCAAAACATTTGACTGGCAAATCATCGTATTGAAATATTACTTTATCCCTCATATTGCAATAATGCTCAAAATCTATGGAATTTTCGGAAACTATATCTAAAAACATGTCTCTTGTAATTCTATAAATGGAACTAAATGTTGAACTTATAACTTTGTACTACCTTTTCTGTGTTGTCAAGAACTCAATTTCTCCAAAGCATTAGCCTTTTACTAATTTCTAAATAACTTTGCCTGAATTCTCATCAATTAACTAAATTTCCCCTTTTTAAATAATGTATATAGAGTGTTCATCCAGGGAGTGTTATTAGTATACAATCTCTCTTGGAGTGAATTGTTAGATTTTCATTCTACAAGCAATCTCATGAATAGTTGATTATTAGAAGTTCTTTGTAAAAAACTCAACGCACATTACTGCTCTTATTTATACATCTTCCAATAACTCTTACTTTAAATTATAAGACAATTTTTCAAGAATAGAATGGATCTCTGTATTGTTTCCTTTCAATTATTGTTCATAAAAGTATTTCAAATAATTGCGAACTCTACTCTATAATTGTGATGAAACTTCATTTGAATTCATATATTGATTTATTAGGACTAGATTTCTTTTGTAATATTGCTTTTATAAGTCAATATTTGAGAAAATCACTCCAATAGCATTTATTGAGAATGCAAATACAACACTTGCAAAAAATATCATGATGATTGCACAAATCACTTCATATATGTTTTATGGAGTGACATCACCATATCCAACTGTGACCATTGTTGCTGTAGCCCAATAATAGGAGTACCCGTATTTATGAAATAATGGTGAATCTTCTAAATGCTATTATTGTATCCAAGAATTGGAAAAAGATTCTTAGCTAATTTTTCCCACATAATACCAAATACAGGCCATAAAATGAGCAAAATAAAAGATCAGTATTATCAGTTATGAGAGACTGGCCAATTCTGTAAATGTTGATTAGACTGCAAACATTTCTCCATATCTATTAATTGTTTTTTTTAACTTAATAAAATTAAAAGTAAATTAAATCAAGACTATCATTTCTGGAAAAAATGATATTGCAATTGGATCACTGCAAATAACAAGTGTCAAAGTTATTAAGTATATTGCATCTTCATATAATTCATATATAATATAATGCTTGAATATTTTAGACCTATCATACACAATTTAACCTTGGTCTATCATTCCTTTATTCAATTTTATGAACAAATCAGCTGCGAATAGGTAGATTAACATAGTTTCAATCTATGACATTGTTGTCGTCTTAGGAGGATTGAATGAGATTTTAAATGGAACCCACCATAACAAAAAAATTATTTATAACAATCTCATCAATTGCCAAAATAGATAAAACTTTCCTGTTGGATTTATTATCGGTATTTTAAATCCTTATTAAACATTCTCAACACTCTAATATTGCACTATAATATCCTGTTCAAACCTTTGTTCCGGTTAACTAAATTTTTAGTAATGATGATTTTAATGGATATATTACTCCTCCAAAAAACGAGAAAGCTTTTCATTAGGTTTCCTTGGATACACATGACCAAATTGGAATAATTTCTCTTTAAATTTCAATATAAAATTCTTCTGCTTTATCAAATGCATGATTTTATTGCCTCTGATATTTTGAGCCTTATCTTATGGGTTTATTGATGTTGACTTAAAATGGATTTAAATATTTCATACATGTTAATTAAGGGATTTCTTAAAATTGCCACGATTTTACCTCTGCTTTTTCTCTTTCACTATGTCTTCCTAAGAGTTTTCATCCATGGGACTAAATTCTTCACTATTTTCCACATTTTTTTATATTGGTTACTAATTAATCTGAATTAATTATGGTTAAAATTTATCAGAATATCTTGATGAGCCTAAGCTAATAATAATTTCATATAACACTTATATTGATTGATCTTGCTGATTCCTATTAATCCATCGATATTAATTTTAATTTATTACTCAAAAATTAAAATCAATTAACAATTTTTTTAAACGAATACAGAATAATGTTATTTATTAGAAACAATGTGTCAGATTTCATCCCAATATTATTTTAATTTAATATACACAAAATGGATATATAAATATAATAAGCACTTTTTATACTTAAAAATTTACATTTAACTTTAAATTTTCAATAAATATCTAAATAATCCTTATTAAAATAGATCATCCTTTCTAGTTCTTTGTTATTATTTCGGTTAATAATTTCGAATGTATATATCTTATTTATAATATAATTAAAAAATATCATTTGTTTTCATAAATAATTCACGATTTATTCAATTATTTAACGTTTGTCTCATTTTCATCAATTACAATTTCATCTTCAGAATCCTTTTAAATTTGCACTACTTTTTTCTCTTGACCTTTCTATTTATTTTGTGTCACTTTAGATTGATTGAAATCTTTATTATCTAGCTAATTATTCTCATATGATTTATTTATGCAAATGAATTGCATATTATCTTTAATTGCCTCTAAAATTGCCTCTCCTTTGAGATCAAAAATAGTATTTAAGTAAATTAATTTAAAAGTTTAAATTCTAATTTTTTCAACAATGTCATCATTTTGTTTATGATTAGTTGGCATCTCCTCAGCATTATTGTCTTCAATAGTATATTCAATAATATGTTCTTGCTTTATTTTCAATCTTAATTAGTCAAGTTTCTGCTTATGTTATTTCTTTTTTTTCCATTTTTTTGATATCATGGAAGTTAATTCATTATGAGTGGCATAAGGATTTTTCTATTTATTCTAAATTAATTCTTTTTTGTAAAACTCTTTCCAAAGTAATTAACCTCTTTTAATCTTCTTTCCAATTTAACAAGACTATTATTTTAATTATGGAACAATATCTTCATTTTCAGTCTTCCTTTTTGTATATAGTTCATCATCCTCTCTTATGTAAATAACTAGCGATTTATTATCCATAATTATTTATATGATAACGACGCTAAGTATATACTCATAAACAGAAGATAAATTTTAGAAGGATTTTTTTCAATTTATATCCCTTTTACATTTGATATTCTAATATAATTTATATTAAATAGCTTCCCTTCTTTAAATAGAATTTTTTAAATAACATATGTTTAAGAAATTACAATACAATAAATATCTTAATTTTAAATGAATTTATCAAGAATTTTTGTTATATTACTTCAAAATAATAAATTATTTTTAATTTTTAGAAATTTAAATAAATAACAATTTATATAAAATAGGATTAAATAGTGCCAAAATACTGATTCTTATCATTTGGATAATAGCCCAGATCTTACTAAATCTACTCTCATAGTTTTCACCTAATTCATAGTTTCGTTTAACATGAAATATCTGTAATATTTTTTGCTAAAATTAAAGTCTTGTTGTAGCTTAGTAAATAGAAAATATTCCAATAAACAAAAGTATAAAATGAAGATCACAAGAAGTTAGACGATACTTAAATAATGAGATATCTTACTAGCAAATTAGACTTAAATCTGATGAACTCTTTAATATCTTCTCAGCATCTGAAGCCCAAATTTGAAAAATATTCTAATATATTTCATAAATGATCTGAAATGAAATCTAATATTGGGCAAGATCTTCTATGGTGAAATTTTCATATCTTTAATCATTTGGATTTAAGGCCTTTATTACTACCTATGTTAATAATATATTAAATTGTTTCAATCCTCTTTTTAATGCCCCATCCAAAATCTCGTCACAAAACTAATTATAATAAATATAGGTTCCAGTTTCATCTAATTGGTATACTTATAAATATTACCGAACGATTAATCGCACAATGTGTCTTCAAAAACATGTTAAATCTCATCTATGGATGTTTAGTATAAGTTAGGTGATAATAGCGAAATATCATTAAGAAATTCTTGGAATCTAAAGTTTGTGATATTGGGGTAGTAAGAGGAGTTTAAATAATTTTCATAAATGAATTTCTAATACTTGATTATAAATTTACTTCCTTAAGTAAGGTTATTAGCCAAAAGTAATTTGTTTCAACTAAGAAATTGTTATCCTAAAAGAATTACTTTGTTTGTGTTTGATTACTCAAAATGAAATAATACACAAGTATAAATAGAACTATTATAATTGTTAAATAACACATAAGAGCAAAAACAGTCTAGAAAACAATAAAACTGTATTAATACATGGATTGAATATTTTGGTGGCTTGTGAATTTTGGCTTTATCACGTTTTTAATTGGCTTTTTCAATTTCATTTATTTCAAAATCTTGCTATCTATGACTAATTATTATATTTACATAACTGTATCACCATTTAAAATATGCAAAGATTACTTTTTGTATCCATATTCTAAATGATATAATAAATGTAAAATTACATTCTTCTTCAAAAAGGGAATTTAATTATGCAAATAATATTTGATATTGTCTCATAGCTTTAATTTTGTCATCTTTGGGCAAATTAGTAACAATAATGAATATAGTATTTATGTCGTTGCGAAACTTAAATTTAATCAGCAAAGAAAAAATTGAATTGATTAGCATTAAGGTTAATTGAAGTATCATAAAGAGAATTAGATTATCAATAGACATGGATTAATATAGAATAGCATCATTGATCCTTGAAGCAACAGAGTCTTACATCAGTTCTTACCCATAAGGTACCATGTAATCTCTAAAATGGGATAGTATAGTATTATTTTATGTTATTGAAGACTTTTCAGAGTGATTAAATTATAATAAGTTAACTTTAAACTAATCCAAAATATCCAGTCCACTAACATTCTCATCATCGCCATAAAATCCAGAATAAACCATAGAGACAAAGTCTTAATTAGCATAGATGGAGGAAACATAAGTGTAATAGTCTCCAATCTCCAAACTGACAAAATCATAAAACTGCCTTGTAGTATTAAATTTTGTCGTAGGATTTGTAATTAATAAACTAGACAATTTTTGTTCATTCATTAGAGCTACATCAATGATATAATTATATGATGACACAGTTAACAACTATATTTTATAAAGATGACCGAATAAAATCACTGAATTGTGTAAAGTAATAGGGTTGTAGTAGAATGAGCAAAAAAAGTAAGTAAAGGAAATAAACACCAGTTACAAAAAAAATGAAAATCTGTTTAAAACAACTAGCAAGGTCAATTTTTAATTCTACTTTGATAGTTTATTGATCTCTTCCTTAATAAAAGGATTTTTCTATTCATTTAAACTATATATAGAGTTGGATCCTTAAACTAAAAAATCATCTCTTAATGTGTAATCAATTAGAAATGGCTTTTAAGAGTATTCTCTGTTCGTAATCAATTCCATATCTAAAATATATAAGTATATAGTGTACCTGAATACATATTCCCACTTTAGCTTTTTAAGTTATATGACTAGGATTGAGATGCTATTACAACTTCTTTAGCCAAAGCTGACGTATACGGTCTAAATGAATTGGTATTGATAAATTCATTCTCTTGTTTTTCATTGTGATTTGTGTTCTCATCATAAAGTTCTAAACGATTTATCTTTAAAATATAAAAGGATATCTTATTTAATGTCTTATAGAACTTGAGATTAGCATCAACTTTTAACACTTTTTCAAGTACTTTTTCTGAACAAAAATGTTCAAATAGATTTTCTAATTTATTTTAAATGCTTACTAATTTTTTAATAGATAAACTTCATCCTCTATTATCTAACCCATTTATATCTTTAAAGGAATTCAAATTTATCTACTCTCAAATTACCATTATCATTTCTGAAAATCAACTTTTTCCTGCTTTCCCCATCATAATAAATGGTCTACATCTAAGCATTATACCTATTGTAATCTTCTTGAAATTCAGCTTTGTACATAGGTACTCTAATATTTAATTTAATATGATTTAATCTGGTTAATTTTGCAGTTTTCTCTATGTCATTGTCCTCCTCCAGAATTTATTAAAACAATTAAATCACATTCTACTTTTACTTCTCTTCCAACTCTCTTTTAAAAACCAGACTTGTTAATTCATTGATTGATTTATTACTAAATGTTTAATCATTTTATCTTCTGAATGTAAATTTCTTATCCTAGATTCTCTCTCTACTACCATAAGAACATATTTTCAGACTCAAAATTTTCATATCAAAATTGGTAAGAAATTAAGCATATTCAGTGTATGAAATGGCTTTTGGACATAATGATAGAAAAGGGAGTTTGTAATCCCCAAATATTTAATAAAGGTATTCACTTGAGGAATCAATTTCCCACCTAGAATTCAAAATTATATATTAAGAGCGACTAGACACTTACCTCATCATACTCAAATACTCAAATCTATCTTACTCCAAGTTATATATATATTTCAAATATTTTTGTGCTTTAAGACAATGTCCTTTGCTATGCTTGACCAAAATGGATCTTCTTTTAAATAGATTTTCAGATTGTCCAGTCTTATAGAATTACTTTAAAAAATCATTATGATTCTCTTTTATTATATCTGGCATTAGTGTTTCAACTCTAATTCCTCTGTATTCATTTTAAGATCGACCTAAAATTTTAAGTGTTGATTGGCTAGCTGCTATAATTTCTCCAAATTTATCAACTCGAAAAAATAGGTTATTAGATGAAATGATACTATTAGTTTGATAATAGCTTTTGGTTTAAGCTTCATCTTCACTTGAGGATCTTTCATCTACTTTTTCATCTTAAAAGATTTATTAGGATTTAAGATTTTGATCAGGTAGTTCTTTGATTTCTTATACTTTCAATTTCTTATGGAGAACATATAGTTTGAAGTAGAGATAGAAGAATTTCCATCTGAATCTTATCAACATTTGTTATTCATCAATTGGATTGGTGAAATGAATGTTTTTCCAATGTTTCTGACAAATTTATATCTCTTTCAGTATCGATTAACATATTTTAAGTTAATCAGGAATGGAAATGAATTGTTGGAGTTAATTCTTCCAAAAATACACTTACAACTCAGCTATTTTTAGAAAGGCTTAGAAAAACTCTTTCATTTGTTCTTCACATTTCAACACGTTTTCAAAAGGGAGTTTTGAGCGATAACTTAATTGGTTGTTCTCCTTCAGTTTATTGTGAATTGATAGTTTTAATTATCTAATTCTCGTTTTTTAGTTGAAATTGATGTTGTTTTTGATTTTGGATAAGTGTTTGAAGGATTGATTTATTAGATTAAATTTATAGAATAAGATTTCTGAGTAGAGCAACCGTATTTCATCAGAATTGGGTTATACTTTTAATTGTGTTTCAACTAAACATTTGATCAGGAACTTCACAAACAATCCTTTGTATTTTTCGATGTTGTGTTTCTTGGTTGTTATGTAGGTGTATTTGGCAAATTTCTTACCACTGTAATAGATGGCACTGTGTCTTAGGAAACATTTCCTATTATTTGGGTGATTATAATGTTTAGTGATCATTCCCATGTAATATACATCTGAGCATTCGAGTTCTCTGAACCAATTTAAGAGCATAACTCTGGTTGAAACATCTTTGGAATTAGTGAATTGATACTCAAATTGCCACTTTCTAAAACCAACATGAACGACAACACAAGCAATTATTATCAATATAGTTATTAGAGTGTAAGGATCTTCGATGTTAATGAAATATTAGATCATCAATCCAAAGCTTTGCCCAAAATAAATCACATTAACTAAATGAAAGATGTAATCTATATCATATTTTCCAAAAATTACCATAAAATACTGTAGTTAAATGTAATTTATAAACGACAATCCAAAACTAACAAGTAAATAAACCATCTAAAATTATTATTTATTTTTTGTACATGGGAATTTTGGTTTACATAATAATAACTTGAGTATGAGCATTACACTAATTTAATCCAACTGCTAAACACATATGGCCGAGATTGGGCGACGTTCAAAAAGTCTTGTTTAATAAAATTGTCGTTAAGCAATGCAAAGTCGTGAAAAAAGATAAAAAACACAACAAAGAGGATAGTGAATATGGAAAAATATTGGCTCATGGAATTGTCAAGCAATGTGTTATAGATCGACACTAAGAGGAAGGGATAACACAGAATCCAGTACAATATTCTTACGGATCTTATAAAAATCTATATAAACTAAATGAGTACATTTCCGAGACTCTTAAACTATATTTGTTGAGCCTGATTGTTGTTTTTTTATAAAAGTAGCATAATTCCAAGCAGGGTGATAAGCAATGACAAAGCGAATTCGATTATTGATGCAATAAGTGTAAGTTATTAATTACCATAAACGATACTGCTAACATCTAATTAATTGAGTAATGCCGAGAGATTAGAATTGTTTGATTCTCTAGTCTACGCTATAATCATATAACTAAATAATAAAAATTCTGCTTTGATTACTTATGATAATGGTTCACAAGGATGATAAAATAATGTATTATTACATAAGCAATGCTATTCACATATTTAGAAACTATCTCTTGTCTAATTTCGAAAGTAAATAGAAAAAAGGGGTTCATGATTTTAATAATCTCAAATTGATATAATATTTAAATAATTTCAACATAAACCCATACATTAATTATCACTATCAGCAGCAATAATAATTTAATATTCCTAATTAGTGCCTTATTTTTATTGATGTTTTTTTGTAATTTAAGACTCAAGAATTTCTTACTGAAAATTAAAGAAAGTATTACTGTAATCGGCAGTAATTCTCTCCCATAAGAATTCCTTATTCTTAAATTTAAACAGGCAAATATGGAGAATCAGTAATGACAAAAAAACCTCAACATTAACATGCAGAAGAGCTGGAATTTTCGAGTATTGCAATAGATCTTCTTATGTGCATAAATCAACCGTATGGATACAATTAAAACTGGATATAGAATGATAATTTCAATCTGTAGTTTCCTTAATCTTAATTATCAAATATTTGAGCTAATTAATATAAACTTATATATAATTTGTAAATATTTTAACTATTAATGATAAACGAGGCCCTTTTAGATATTTTATTTGCTTAGTTTGAGGATGTTAATGAAATAAATTAAAGAGATAAGAGCAGTTTAGATTTGAACTTTGCAATGCGACACTTCAAAGACATTTTAGACTGCGATGCTTTATTTGCAGGATTCAAACCCCAAGATTAAAATGATGATACAAGTGATGAAGAAGAGGAAGAGGAGGGAGCAAGTGACGTAGAGCAAAAGAGGATTACTCAAAGATAGAATCTAAAGATCAATGAGCCTAATTTGTAGAATATGAAATTGGCTCCCGATTAGGATTAAAATGAATATTTGAGAAGCAACCCCTAATTAAGAACCTTTTTACGTCAAATCGAATTAAGAAGCAATTAGTCATCAGCATAAACGAACAATACTCGTTAATCCTAAAATGTAAAATATCCAGTCTATGCATTTTCTGATTTTTACTATGCTGCTAGTGAAGATGTTAGAATGATCTACGACAAAGTGATTAACATTATTCTGTACAAGTATAAGAAAACCAAATCCTTTGATGCTGATTACTACGACTCCTTGATGCAATTTTTCTCAGTTTTGACTGATCAATAAATCAAGGAGCACTTGCAATAGAATAAGGATTCAGAGATCATCTTGAATTCCTTCAAAAAGCAGAAATGCTTGAAGAGTCTAGACAAAAGACTGTCTCTCTACACAAAGTTATAAAATGAGAGCAAGGATAATTATACAATCTTATGCTAAGAGGAAGTAGTTGAAAATCCGTATGGAATGATGCAAAGTGCGTATAATCCATTATTAACATCTAAATTCTATTAGGAGTTAAATGATTTAATCAACAAAAAACACAAAAAGATAAAGTTGGAGGAGGGCATAAATTACAAGAGAGAAATTTAGGAGAGGATGAAGAATGGCAATGAGAATATTGTGCAATAACCAGAAGAGAATGAGGAGTACTAGTAATAAATCTAAGTGGACTAAGATCCAAAAAAGAATCAAATGGAAATAGAAGCCTAAATTAGGTAGAAGGACAGTGAAAATTTGAAACGGTTTTTTGCGGATAAATTCAAATTATTTGAATAATAAAAGGATGATTTCAAAGCAGAAGTTCAACATCAAAAACATGAAAGGATCATAAACAAAGAATCCTTTTTGTATCAATGTCCATAATAGGATTTTACTTCATTAAAATGCTAAGCTTAAACTGATGAGGCAGGAATGGGATTATTGCAGCGTATTTAGTAACAATTAGAAGACGAAAAGAAATTGAATGAGTAATAGAATTAATAAAATTAACAACCAGATGAAAGCTATAAATAAGTAGAAATCGATAAGAAAGAATAGGAATTTTAGAATGCTTTGGATAATTATTCGTATTACAACAAAGAGATTGTTGAATTTTGTATGGGTCACAAGGATAACTTCTTATCAAGATCGTTTTAAACTTATAATAGAGTAGAAATTGATCTCTAGAATCGCCAATTCTTTAGTGAGAAATTGGAGGTGTTATTGCACTAAAAGAAGTTTCCAGAGAAAGTAGGGACACAATAACAATTGGCTAATAGATTGGCTGCTCCATCAATAGTTTCAAGACAAAAGGATAATAGAAGTGCTGTATCTCATGTGAATCTACTGAGTGTAGAGGATTAGTAGGATTAGTAGGAGTCGTAGGATTTGTCATAGTTTGAGGATGGAATGCAACAACAATAGGATTTCAATTAATAATTTGGGAATGAGGATGTGGGGAATAAGGAATTATTGAATTTAATTGAATCTAAAATGAAGGCATTTTAAACTACGCCATTTTATATACATTCTTTAGTGGCTGAGTCATTTTTGTTAAACGATTTTTCTTAGGTGTTATCGAAACATGCAAAATATCATAGAAATAATATTGTAGACAATTTATATGAAGAGAAAAGAGAACTTCTTGGATTGGAGAGAGAGTAAGTCAAATATTTTGATCCGTGGCCGACTGAATTGGTTCCCTTGGTGAATTTAAAGGAGCAAAAGAAGGACAATAGAGAGATATTACTTGAAGAATCAACCGAGAAATAGAATAGTCATGAGTATTATAAATAAATCGACAATCTATCCTTATCGAAGGGGAACTTTATATTGATGGAGTATATTGAACAGAGGCCACTATTATTGAACAATACTGGAATGTGTTCTAAAGTCACTAGGTACGTCTATTCTAGTAGGGCACTACAACAATTTAATTCGAAAAGAATTAAGGATGAAGGTGATAATTACAATAACTTTTAAGAGAATAGTTTCTAGGCAAATTACAGAAGCACTTATGGATAAATGGGATAGATTTCAAATGAGGAGATGACTCTTTGGGAATTCAAAAACATGTTGGTTGAACAATTGGGCAATATAGGTTAGATTAGATTTCTCGATAAGAATTAAGCAATACCACTTTAGGGACAACTTACAGATGAGCGATTTATAGGGATAGCAGTTATAGAGAATGATCTTTACAGGGCTCCAATTTTCAAATAGAAATTGCCAATCACTGATTTTCTGTTGGTGAGAACAAGAGTTGATAATTGCCATTATAAGTATACACTTAGGCCTATAGATTGTATTTACTTAGTTGGTTAAATTGAGCCCAAAGTAGAAATCTTTACTCCTCAATCTAGACCTTTGGGAACATTCTTAAAGAATTGTCTAAAGACTTACATTAAGAAATAGTTTAAGATGGGCTTGGAAGTCAAATAAGATGAATTGGAACTAATATTTTAAAAATAAAATCAAAAACAAAGTCAGAAGCAAAGTCATGCCTACATTAGATCAGCTCTGAAAGAATGTAAAGGGATACAGGATTCTTCTAATCAAAAAACTTGGAGATATCAGAAAGGAGGCAATGACGATATCCAGATTCTTAAGTATGACATAACTGCCAATCAAGTGTGCTTGTATGAGTCTATGTTGCATTCCTCTTATTTATTATAAGACTTTGGGTTGAGAGAACTCAAGAATAGTGATAAGATGAAGAAAACTCTCTAGGAATACTTGTCAAGGAACCCTTAGGATTTTAATAGTTGGGTCATTGCAAGGAGGATTGAAGATGAACTAAATATGACTGCATGGTCCTTGTCACAATCTTTCTTGAATTCAGCCAATTAAACAGGTAGGATGTTATTGTATGGAATTGGAGATCCCACATCAGGACATGGTGGTTTAAATTACATTAAGAAGCCACTAAAGGCTAGAGGGGAGAAAGGTCAGAACGCTATTCAAGAGAAGAAGCCTTCAGTAATGGGTACTGAGAACGATTTACGTAAATTGCATGTAGAAGACATTTAAAACATATCGAGTAAATTAGGATTGACGGTAAATAATTTATATTAAAATTAAGACTGAACCAAATCTGAAGAGATGGAAAATGATTAACAAGTTGACTGCGTTTCTATAGTAATCCTAGAATCCCGATGATAAAGATAGTAGGGATGCTGTTATGTTTAGGAAGAATTTGGAATTGTTGGATGAGAAGTAGAGAAAGCAATTGAATGTCATTGAGAAGTTTGCTAAGAATTAGAGATAGACAACTAAAAAGTAAAAAGAATAATATCAGAAAGAATTAGATAAACAATTAGCACAACTGATATAGAATCTTACTATCAAGGTGCAAGGGAAGTACTTTGAAAATTTTGAAGAAGTTAAGAAGAAGAGAACTAAGAGGGATTTGGACAAGGATGATAAGAATAAGGATTTGGAATATAATGATGAAGATGTGAAACCATATCTAATAGTGGATCAGGAGAATTATAAATTGAGGATTGAGGCATTTTAGAAGAAGGAGAAGAAGATTTGGTTGGAGAAGAAGAAGAAGAAGGGGTTGCCTTGAATTCTCATTTTTATTCATTATGCTTTATAAATTTCAATATTATTAATTAATAATGTAAATTGACGAAGTTGTGTGGTAGGTGATAAATCGAGGTCATTGCTCATTTAAGATAAAGTAAGAAAAATAGTACTATGACTAGAACAATCTCATAGAATTTCTGTAGAAATGAATATAATGTGACAGGGTTGTGTTCTAAATAATCCTGTCCATTGGCAAATTCATAATATGCCACAATTAAAGAAGAAAAGGGATTATGTTATCTTTATGTAAAAACAGCAGAAAGAGCATAAAAACCAAAAGAATTGTGGGAGAAGATACTATTATCGAAGAACTATGAATAAGTAAACTTATAAAAAATATCAAATTATAGGCATTGGCATAAATAGATGAATAGTTAAAATATTGGAGTAATTTCATGATTCACAAAAATAAGTAGAGATTGACCAAACTAAGACAGATGTTGATAAGAATAAGGAAGATGCGATTGAAGGGATTGTATGAAACAATAATATATAATAGCAAGGAATTGATTCCAATTAAAAAGAAGGCAGAAAGAAGAGATAAGATAAGAGAATAGAAAGCATTGGTGGCTGCCAATTTGGAGAATGCCATAGAATAGGAATTGATAGACAGGTTGAAAAATGGAGTATACAATGAGATTATGAATTACAATACTAAGGCTTTTGAGAAAGTCGTTGGTTAGAATTAGGTGGAAGATGAAGAAGAAGTAAATTCTAATGAATAATTATGTCTATAGAGAGAACAATAGGAGTAGGAAGAGGAGGAGGAAGATTACTCTGATGAGGAATTGATATTTGATCCAAATGATTTAGAGGAAGATGATGAAGAAGATCAAGAGGAAGATGATGACGAGGATGATAAAAGATTGTTTAAGAAACAGACATTTAATTAATTAAGGAGAGATGGTAAGCATTAATAACAATGTAGATGATGAATTGAAGGATGTTAAGAAGAAGAAGCCAAGAGTGAAATTGTAGTATGAGGAAGAAGAAGAAGTGGAAGATAGAAAGAAATAATAAATTGCATTTTGATTTGTTTATAATATAATTTATTAGTATAAATCTAATATCAAAATACTTTTTCTAGCACATCTTTGAATGATTGCACATTTTGTTTAAATAATGACGACTATCTTTTGATGTTCGTTTTCTTTGGGTTAGCATTAGCTTATTCTAAAAGAGTTAATGATGAGTTACTTTAATTTTCAAGGAAACTTGAAGGAGATCTTTAAACAGTAGTATCTTAGGGTGACGATTTGCTTATGGGTTCTAATATGATGCAATGTTAGTAATATTGATATGATTTAGTTTCCTTGTAAATATTCAAATGGCCATAATTCCTTTGCACTCTAAGATCATCCAAGTCTATAGTCTAAGTTAATCTATTTTAAGATGCCCTTGAAACAGAGGCTCCGATATTCATTGACATTTTCAGATCATTATCTGACGAACTGGTTTATTCTGTGTATTCATCTAGATTTTTAGTTTTCTCTATGAGTTTCAAAGTGTAAGCTTCCCATGTCTTAAGAGCAATCAACACATTTAAATATTCTGAAAGGATGTTGAAGTTTTAATGCTTGGAACTATGTTCATCCTAAAAATATTCCTAATCTTATTATTGTTCTGATTTCATGTTATTCTCTTTCATTTTCCTTTTCATGGCTAAGTCAAATTATTTCATTTGTGATCTACCAATCAATGATCCTGATTTGAATACACTTTCTTTAAAAGCAAATCGAATAGTTTCATAAAGTAATTCATTAAAATACACATAACCTTGTTTGTTTGCTCTTATTCTGAAATTAGAAGCACTCTTGGCTGCATCCCATACATTATCTCCTTCCAGTGCTCCTAAAGGTTCATGTAAATCTAGCAAAAAGCGTGCGATAAAACGAGTATGCATTTTGGTTCCTTTAGTTTCATATGTGTATTTGCACCATACATTACAGAAATGATCGACATTCTCCACAAATGTCTGGATGGCATTCGTCGAAGCATTAAAGAAATCTAAGACATATTATTATTTGATTACTTTCAAATTAATCCACTAAGGCTAGCACAAATAGGTTCATAATGATGATATTTGAAAACAGATAATATGAAAGAAAGAATGGCAAAGACCATGATGAACCACATTAATTGTGATCACTCTTGCAATAATAGTTTTAAGTAGAGCAATCAATTAGCAGAGCTCTCCAATCATCACCAGTTGTGCACTTGAACATTAATAATGCCGAATTAATAAAGTTCTTAAAATTGGCATATTTGTCATCAATTACTGATCCATTGGTTATATGCGAAAATAATTCCTTCCCTATTAGAGCATATGTAGTTTATGCTATGACTTGAATGTATAAGATCTTTAACAACAGAGGCATTGAAAACCAAAGCACTCTCAACAATCTCAATAGTCCCTTGAATTCCTAAATTATCAGCAATATACGGATGTCTCGTAAACAAAACAAGATCCTATAGAAGGTGAAATATTAGTCAGATTAATTCGCACTTAAGAAAGTAGTAAACCATCCCCAATAACTATCATAGATAAAATCAGCAACAGCGATGAATGAAAGAGACAATTCAATGACTCTCCAATTAGTAGCTTTAAATAGTAACACTATATATACCAAAATATCTAGTTGGACCATAAGCCAACAACTTGATGATCGTATCAAGAGCGAACACTCCTGTCAACACTTAATAAGTCTTATTTAGATTTGCCATGTATTCATATGATGCATCTGAATAGAATAAACATAACACAATTGTATTGACACATAACACAACTATGAAGTACTTATGGTATAATTGACTAAACACAATTCTGTAACACAATCTTCTAAGGGGTGTCTTAGGAGGATTACTGTACCCAGGACTTTATTCCAAAATCAATTCTGAGATTTTCAGAAATTATGATTGATCACTAGTCAAAAACTTATTTTCAAGCTTTTTAGTATACTTTTAAAATTCTGTGAAGAGAACACCTGTAAGGAACCCCATGAAAAACATGGCTCCTATGAAAATAAACAAAATAAAGAATAGGTAGGTAGCCCATTAGGTTTTTAGAGGAGTAGGACCATACATAGAATCATTTGCATTAAAGCATACTTGCATGATTTCTCCCCATCCATCCAAAGATGCCACCAAGAATAATGTCAATAATCCATTTAAAATATTTTCGAAATTGTATGGGTGAATGATCCAATTCTTGTTTTCTTGCAAGCATTGATCCTTATTTATATGGAAACTCATTAGATCTTCACAATATCCCATTTTGTTTTAGTATAAATGCATTCCTATTACATCAAATATCAAGAAGACTAGCAAAATTACTCCTATAATATTTAGAATTTAAACTAAGCTCAAACTCATGGCATTTTTAATACCTGAAATACTTTGAAACATGTTTATCATCATCAAAGGACGTAAATAAACTAAAAATATGTATACTATTATTATAAGTACTTAGATAAAGTGAGAATTTCAAAAATGGAGACAGAGTCATAAAGGACAAATAATAACTAATCAAATATAAGATATCTATGAATCTCCAAATGTCTCTACAGAATGCTCCTTAATCCAATAACATCCCTTGAGAAATGATCTCCAGAATATAAGTAATTGCAATGATTAGATTCACAGCTAACAAATGATATTCATAAAATGTATTTAAGTTATTTGTATGCAAAGAAGGCAAATTGTCATCAAATGATATAATGATCATCGTAGCTACAGAAGAACAAATTGAACTATTCAAAATCAATTTGAAAATGAATGATTTAGTTGTTCTATAGCAAAACTTCCTAAATTTATTATTAAAATGGAATATGAATAGAGAATATTCGCATTCGATATCTTTATAATACTATATTTCTAATGACTTCTACTTGCTGAATATGTGCTTCACTGTTTCAGGCACTTATTGATAAATGCTCTTCTTGCTATTCAGTGTCTATCGTTTGATAAATTATTATTATTAAATCTTTATATCGTTGAGAATATCCTCATTTTCATCCTTCTCATTCTTATACGATGATAATGTATCTAATTGAGTCTCATTCTGATTAATATTCTCTTGAATTCCTAGCTTCTACAGTATTCTCTCCCTCTTCTCCTCAAATTGATTTCCCTTTTCTAATTCCGATGAGAATGCATCCAATAAAACTGCACTCACCAAACCATATATTAAATAGTTTAGTCCAAATACCATTGTGATGTAAAACAACAATCCAATCCAAGTATCAGTGTATTATGTAGCCACTTTTAACATTCCAACTGCATCATCATTTGTAATTGTATTAAATACCGTCATCCATGATTTTCCTATGCTATTAAATGAATGCAACTAAGCTAATCTCTAGGTTTCATCAAACTTATTCACAAAAAACTATAATCCCATTATGGCATACATAAAAATAATATAGAACATTAGAAATGTGATATTTATATATGACTTCATAGTCAATTAAGCAATCTTCATTATTCTTACAATAAATTTGTTATATTTAATCACTCTATAGAGCATAAATGCTTTTGATGCTCTTAATACTTTAATTTCACTGCTATATTGTACCAACCAAAAGGGTTGAGTGATTGAAATAAAGTATTATATCAAACACAAGACAATAACAAAAGCATCCAAGTTATTACTAGACTTTTTACTAAATTCTTGAATTCCATATCCTATAATCTTCAAAATTATTTCCCCCAATAATAAGAATGTCATAACTGAATTTATGGATTCAACTAAATCAGATCTTAAATAGCCATCTGAACAAAGAATAAAGAAATTAACCATGGTGTACAAATCAAAAATAATTGAGACAGTCTTTTCCTCCAATAATTAATGCAATTTAAATTACAGTACTATCCAATAACCATAAAATCCTTAGATCCAAATGTTATATTAATGCTTATTGAGCTGTTTGAGGATGGCGATCAATTTATTTTTGGTCACATTTTACAAGATATTCAGAATTGAAATATTATGTCTCCTTATGTATCCTTGTTCTAATTCTTTTTTCTATTAAGAATAATACAAAATAGATTACTCTAATTTTAACAAAGTGCTCATAATTTTGATCCATCCAATCCAAATCTAAAATTTGGTCATCCTCCACCTCCTGTTGATCATCCAAATCATTAATCTTTCTATTAATCAAAATTGAACAGGCCTCATGATTCCACTTAATACCATTTATTGTGATATACGATTGCCCCTCTTGCCATTCTGGAAATTCCATAAAACCATCAGAAGTTCCCCTTGCCATTTTAGTTTGAGATCGCTAAAAGAATAATCTCTGTTTTCTTAAGTGATCGAAATAGGACTTACGGGTCATTGTTGATTTGTTACTTGGCATTTCATTTTTTGAATTATCCAAGTCCAATTCAGAAGTAAACATTCTTCTGCTCATTTTAATTGGGAACTTCTATTTGATTTTTGAAGCAGTACTTTATTCTCTACTTCTAGTATTAATTTCAAGCTTAATGCTGTAGAGTCTTTGAATAGATGAAGGTCCATTATCTGATGATTTCAATTTTTCTTAAGTTACCTTATCCTTTTGCTTATCATAGATGTCTAACATATAGTACTATTTCAAATTTTGTCTTTTAACCTTCTCATACTGCTCTTTCAATTTCTTTTCTTTCTCTAAAATCTCCTTGAGTTCACTTATTACATCTCTTTTAGATGTAGAATGATATTATGAGTACTTCAAATCCAATTTCCATGCCAACACATCATTGTATTTTAAACTCATTAATATTTTCTTACCCTTAACATCTCCTTGCACTGCCTATTCATATTTTGATTATTCAATATTAAAATTTCTTTGTGGTTACAGAATAGCTTTCAAATTACATTTATCAAAAATGCTTTGCTCATTGCTATTAATTATGCCCATTTCTTCATTCTCTCTCTTTTAGAGTAATCTCTGTTATCTAGCAGATAAGATTAACCTTAATTATTTTTTCTTCTCTTTAACGGTTTTGGCTCTCCTCACCATTTTCTACAATTTGTTAATTTATCCAAACCCATTTGTGAATTGAGCCTTGATTTTAGATTTCTGTAACAAAAGATTTCCTTTTGGTGAAAATATTAAATTATCAATAGACTTAATTTATGAAACATTTGATTGAGAAAGTGATGATTGAGAAAATCGCTTACGCACCTTTTATAACGTTTTAATCTAATGATACAATCCAATATTTTTGATGAATCTTAGATTTAATGGTTCAATGTAAGATTATTTATTTGATAACTCTTCCTTATCTTCTTAATAATTGGATACTATTTATGAATAATATGTCTTCAAAACAGCAATAATCAGATTAAATGCGAAGAAACCTATAAAAATAATGCAGTTTCATACCTACAATAAAAATGACCAAAACAAAGTAGACCCATGTCATTGGACTGAGAGTGTACATAGTATAATACATAACATCAGTCCAGTTATCCATAGTAATCGTACGAATGATTTGAGCAAAAGCAAAAAAGAAATTGTCAAAATTAGTAGCTGTGTCAACATTGTTCAAAGATTTAAAACATTTCATATTATTTGGACAATTCACCCAACCACATATATTTTATTGGATATCTTGGATCCCATCTTCAATTATGAAACATCTATTCAATAATAATTAACTGAATAGATGAACACCAACATTGGCAAAGAATATACAAAATATCAACACCACCAGGGATGCTTCCATCATATACTTCAATGATTCAGTCAAAGCTTTCAATGTCTTTTATAATTACGATGAAATCTTTGCCAATTGGATCAATATTCTCATAGCTCTTAAGGGAGAGAAGTCAAATGTTAAACTGCCATAAATGTACAACCCAAAGAGAATAAGCTAAACACTTTTTCAATATCTTACATTGACAAGATCGTAGCAATTCCAGAATACCTTTAAGAACTCCACTAATCCTAATCCAACTATCTTTATACCATGTTCTACAACATAAATCCAAAAGAAAACTAATATCAAATTATATCTTATTACTTAACGACCAACCATCAAACAATGATTTGTATGTGATGTAAACATCATCATAAAATTTGGTTATATACAACACCATATTTATTGAAACTAATAATAGCATTATAAAGTTCGATACTATGTTGGTTGTAATTTTATAACAAATTAATGAAATTGAATTAAAAAATGTTACAATTAACTTTCTCAACCATAGCAAAATATACGTATCTTTATAAAATTTATGGTTCAACCAAATTTCTTCCCAACCTTCTACATGCACTAATTATAGATTGTAATTATCATTGTGAGGATCAGATTCATACAACTTTGTAAATTCGTCTATAATATCTGGGATTTATAAATTCTTTTAAAATATTAGCTCATCAGGAGCCAATTTTTGATTTTGTCTCACTAAAGGAGTTGGAGTTTGCTCTTGACCATCTTCTTTCTCTTCGTCAATCAACTCCTCATCCATGTATTATTGAAGAGTTTTATAAACTTACCAATGCTTGGCTCTGAATGTTTTCCTTCTATCAGGACTGATCTCAGTTTGCATGCCTCTAAACATTGCATTTTTATCAATTTCTATCTCCTCATTGATATCCATTTCATAACTCTCATCAGAAGCCATTTGAATTTGAATTATGTCATCTTAAACATTCTCAAACTTGAAAGTACTCTTTTTCCTGACTCTTTCCCTAATCAATATTTAATCATTACTTTTTCTATTGTACATTTGCTCTAGGACTTTTCTAATCATTTTACCATAAATTCCTTGCACTTCGATTCCTATGCATTTCACCTTTGCAGTTTCTCAAATTCTAAGCATTTAAATCACTAAAAACTAAATATTACAAAGCAATGTACCCCAATGGAAGCATTAGTGATATTAAATTAAAATTATTAATATATATAATATTCACTCATCGTCTAATCGAGTTGATGAAACACACTATAAAATGTCTTTGATTACAAAATCAACTTGAAACTATTCTTTTTCAATAATATAATATCTTATTTTTGTTAGATCTTCAATATTAATTAAATTAAATTTTTTAAATCATCAGACACCTTATTTAAAAGAATAAAGTATTCGTTCATAAAATCCTCTCTCGTTCTAATAACTTCATCATTTCTTCCTCAATCTATTTTTCTAATTTTCCCATTAAACTTTAATTAAATTGTACTTGATTCAATTAAATTATAACTTTAGACTATTTTGATTAGTACAATAATATTATTCTCAATGTTTTTCAAAGAAGAATAGCCTCATGCATATTCTTCCTTCAAAATTTCTTAATCCCCTTATTTTTTTAAAGTTGCTAATTACCCCATCTTCATTATGAAGCCAACTAACTTGAAATTTTTATATAAGCATGAAAATCAATAATTCTGAGTAATAATCAATTAATGAAATTAGTTTTTTTATCACTTCGGTCTTGAAATTTATCAAAGGGTCTTTATTTTAATAAATTATAATACTACTATTCTATCATAATAAGTCTTAAATCTTATTATATTAGTGAAACTTAATAGGAGTTTGTTCCTTAATTTCAGAATCCATTTTATGATTGAAAATATTTATACTCAATAGTTACATTAAAGTTTAATGATTGATTCATCCCTAAGCAACCATTTAGCATTAAGATTTTAACCAATATGTATTGAGTGATAAATTCGTATTGTTTATTTTCAGGTTAATTTTATAATGTGTTATCACCTTTAATTAAAATATATCTGTTTTTTTTAGAAATTTCATCCTCTCCAATTTGTAGATTCTGCTTTCTAATTTTTAGGCCTTAAAATAAAATTTTTCTTCTATAACCCTCTTCAAAAGAGGGCGTTTAATTTTCTCTTTTAATTCATTGCTTATAGATTTCTATTATTGAGTAATTTTTTGACCGTTAATCAATTTATTTATTACTAATCTGTAACATATGGTTTACTTGAAAGAATCATTAAATAAAAATTTACTCAACCATTTACTTTTTTCAAATATTCTTCATTTGTTATTAATTATATATTTTATATAGAATTTTGAAATTGTTTGCTTTCGATAAAACAGAACGTTTTGTGTTGTTTTTGAGGTCTTAACTCCGTTTGAAAAGAGAGGAGTGGTGAAAGTTGAAGATGCACCATCATGTTTGTGTTAGTAAAAAAAATTTGATATAAAAATGAATTTGCTTAACCTTTATTTAATAAGGTCAGAATGCACCCTTGAGTTATGATTTAACATAATCGGTGAATCTTGGTTAATTTAATAAGTCCAAGGCTTGGTGAGCAGCATTCAATTCTTTGTTGTATTCAGCAACTGTGGCATTATAAACGTCGGTAGCGAAGGCAAAGTCATCGTTTTCAGCCTACAATTATCCATTCAACGTATCCAAATCAGCGTGTAATTCATCAATCAAATCAAGGGTTTATTCGATTTTGGCTAGATTTAATTTATGTAGGTACTGGCATTTGCTTCAATTTCAGCTGTTTTAACAACAACAGCTCTTTAGAATTCAGCATGTTCTTAGTTCAATTAAATAACTCTTGCTTCAAAATCTTTTTATGCTTCAGCTTCATCCACTGTTATTGTGTTAAGTGAATCAACTAATTAAACTCTCAAGTTGTTGAATGCAACGAGAATCTTTTATAAATCTGAATCATTAATTACTTCTTTAAGAGCTCCTTAATCGGCAAAGTTGGCTTCGACAGCGATTTCAATAAGAGTTTTGATGAAAGTTTAGAAAGTGCTGTGTCTCTTGAGGGTTTATTAGATTTTTGACAAATTCTTCTAAACCTTTTAGATTTAAACTAGTGAAGGTGCTGATAATTGACTGAGTAAACCAAGAGATTCATCAATGGCGCTGATGGCTTCATTGTGTTCAGAAACCTTAGCTTCAAAATCAGCGTGATCATTGGCTCTTTACACTGTTGCTTCATTAAGGGTTCTTCTGTTTTAAGAAATGTTTTCTTATAATTATTCGAGTTGGGCAGCAAATCTATCTCTTTATGGGATAAGGACATTATCATAGAAATCATGAGCGTTGAAAACCTCTAATGATCATTTTATAGCAATAATTACCTCTTTCTTTATCTTAGATTTCTTATTCAAGTCTTGCTATTTCTCTATTGTGGATTTCCGTTCTTCTTGCATATTAATGATGGACTTCTGCTAATTCTTCATCCAATTCATCAATCTAAATAAATACATTATCATACAAGTTTGGCAATTTCTGTGTTTAGTTCTGCAAGGATACCACCTGTCGATAAATGGAGCTCACCAAAATTCAAGATAAAGTTTCCCCATCCTGATTATTTGATTTGAGCAAACATTTTTTAGTCGTGACTTGTCCAAACTGAAGCTTTTATATCAATTGCTGTAATGCTAAGAACGAGCACAGTGCAGACTGCTACTTTTAACATATATTATTATTATTATTACAAAAGTCAAAAACGAATACTTCGTTTTTATATACTTATTAATTACATTTTGAATTTGACAGGCCGATCATTTATATACTAAAATTTATCAATTCAAAAATCATTTTCAAAAAGAACTAAAATTCCTTAAACTTAACAATTTATAAATCAATAATTTATTTTTTGTATCTCTTAATATAGTAAGAGGTAAATTTTCAATTCAAATAAAATTACTTTCTTTCTTTTCACAAAAAAAATTAATTAATAAAGTTAGAAGTTATCTCGATATCATCAAATGTGACTATTTTTCAGTTGATTCATGTGCTTTAAGATGTGACCGAGCTATTTTGTGACAAGAATTTTTCTTCTTCTCACCATAATTTTTCAATTCATAGATCAGAATAATTTAAACTTAAATAGTTTCAAGTCATTCTTATCAATTTTCCTATTGAATCCTTCGCCTATTTTTAAGACTTATACCAATTTATTTAAAATCAACTTATAATTATTCTTGTATATGTAAGTGATTACAAAAGAGACCCATAGTTACATTTAATTTCTATTGAAATGCAAATATCTTCCTCATCTTATTATTCAGTAAAAACTAATGCCAATTAATAGTAACTGTTATTAAGGCAAGTGAAGACACAAATTATCAATGTGAAATCAAAGCATAAGATGGTGGATATACCTCAATAGAATGATTACATTAAAAATTGAAAATGATTTAGCCTACAATGATTAAAGCGTGAATAAAGAACTTGATTAAATAAATTTAAGAAATAAAATTCGTTTTAGATTATAATGTGATTGTCTTCAGATTATTCTCTAAGTAACAATGATAGAATTGTACTTTAAAACAATATAATAAAAAGAAAAATTTGTATTTTTAGCTGTTTAGAAGTAGAGAGTAAACATATTTCTTCAAAATTCATGGAAGCACCACTATTGCCTTTTCAGAGTCTCTCTTTAATTAAGAGTTAAGCTGATTACATTAGAAAGTTACTAAGAAATGAATATCAATTTTACAGATTCTAATCAGGAAGTGACTTTACTATTATGCTTTAGCCTTAGTATCCGACAGATACTTAGCGGTGGGAAGGTAGTAGAGGTTGCAACGTCTTCTAGAGAGTTAAGGAGCTTCTAACTGACAACTGATTTTCTAAAGTAAGATAGAAAATTATTATTCAACACTTAGAGTAGCTACTAAGTCGATTTTAGTAAGCTACCCCATTATTTAATTTAGATTCTTAAAATGCTAAATTTGTATTTGAATGATAATAATCTTTTTCTATTACAATTAAAGTGTGATTCTAAACCTAATTTTATTTCTAAATATTCATATTATTTTAATAGAAATAGAAATGAATTTTAAGTAATAAGTCAATTTAGTTGTGGAAGCACCTACAAAAGAGCATCCATAGAGAAAATTTCATTTAACTTAACTACTTGGTTCCGGCTCTGAAGGGGGAGCATATTTAGCATCTGCTAATGATTGGGGTAATAATCCTAAATAGGTTGTAATTAAACTACAAAAGAACATGAGAGTTAATGAGAAAGATTTTCTTACTAAATTGATTTAATACTAAATCTAGTATGAAAATGGAACCAGCTAACAGTATTTACCAAGTCATATAATAAAAATTTATGAGTACTTTTAATGGAAAGATAATCATTGTGTTGTAATGGAGGTTGGGAAAGAAAGTTTATTTGAATACATAACCAATAATAGGAATTTATAAATGGATTAAAGAATAAAAATTTGTTATTAAGTATTATTTTAATAAATATCATTATAGATTTGTCAACCAATATTTTTTTTACATTCATAGAAATTAATCCATAGAGATATTAAACCTGAAAATTTCATAAAGGTAGGTGACATTTTTAAACTTATTGACTTTGGTTTGGTAAGGGGTTCTGTAGCTGAAAATAAAACGTAATAAGTTGGTACTGCTATCTTTCAAGCACCAGAAATTTTAGAAAATAGCAATTCCTATACAGAAAAAGTTGACATCTGGTCATTAGCCTGTGTTTTTTATGAAATATTATCAACTTAGCCATTGTTTAATGGTATTAATACAATTATAATTTTAGGTTAAACTTGGTTGGAGGTAACTACTAGTATCAAAAATCATAAAAATAAACCGGATGTTGTGATTAACAAAATCAAAAACTTATAAATAGCGTAACTAGTTTAAAACATCTTAATTGAAATGATGGCTTATCAAGAAAACAAAAGACCAACAATAGAATGGGTTTACATTTAATTCAAAAATTATTACAATTAACCTCCAAACCAGCCTTAACTACCAGAATAAATTCCAGAAGATAACTAATAATTCAAATAAATATTATCCAAACTAAATTCATTAGAAAATCAAATAAAAGAAAAAGATAACCAAATGCAAACTTTAAACCAAACTATAGCAAACATAGTAAAATAAGAATAATTGGAATAAGACAAAAAAAAATAAGAATAAAAATTTTATTAAGATGAGTAAAAGAAATTTTAATAGAATCTAATAGAAACATAAATATAGTAGGTGGTCAAAGATAATTAAGATTATTAAATTAAATTAGATGAGAAATTTAAATTAATTGGCTTAAAAACATAACAATAAGAGACTAAAATTTAAGAGTCAGAATAACGAATTAATTAGTAATTAGAATAATAAATCTAAAAAGTAAAATAAGAAATTGTTAGAGAGTAATAAAAGTAAATTAAAAAAAATGAAAATACATTTAAAGCAGATATCAAAATGGAAATTTTAGAATATAATTCTTAATTGTCAAAATAATTCGAGGATTTAACTGGTGAAATCAAGAAAAATTTTCAAGATTAATTAAACGCCCTTAAATAAGGGTAATAAGATAGAGTTGAAAATTAAATAAATTTAGAAAAAGAAAATAAAATTAAACTTATGCAAATATAAGCTATTTTTGAAGAATGGGAAGTATACAAAACAAAAGTTAATTCTTTAAAAGAGGAAGTTAAAGACATAGATAAGTTAATTCTATAGAACTAGTGTATGTAAGAAAAATACCTTATTTTACAATAAATTAATTAATACACATCGCTAATGGTTGAAGATTTAGCAACGATATTCTCAAATTAGGATTATCAAACTTCAAATAATGTCAGTAATTATTTAAGTAATGAACAAGACAATTAAGATTAATAAACACTTAATTTCCCTATAACATAATCCTTACATTATTTGAATGTATAATAGAGAAACCAACAATAAAACTGTTAAAATAATTAATTATAAATTACTGAATCTTTGCAATAAAATCAAAGTTAAAATTTGGAAACAATTTAGATATATAAAAATCAATTAGAAAATTTAAGAACTGAAATATTGAAATGGGTTAATTAATATAATTAAAAATATAAAACTCAAATTAAAGAATAATTAGATGAAAAAAATAATTAAATTGAAAATGGCAACAAATTATTAGAAGATCTAAAAAAGCAACAAGAATAATAATAAGCAGTTATTGGCTAATATACAATAAAAATAACAGAACTCTAATAAAATACTATAAATGATAAGAGAATTCATAAAAAATCGATAAATAAGCTAAATGTACAAATTAGCGAATAGACCAAAGAAATTAAAGAATTAAAATAAAAAATACAAGAATTATAAGAAAAGGATACTATGTAAGTTTAAGAAATTTTATATCAAAATTAAAAATTATAAACCATTTAAAGCGATCTAAATTAGGCTAAATTACCATTAAATCAAGTTAAAGCCCTAATTGATTATTTTAGGAATAGTGAGAAATTAAAGGAATTTATGAATTAAAACAATAAAGAACATTAAGAATTATTGAATTCCATAAATAATTCTTACTGAATTATAACATTTAAACATAAATAAATAATAATTTTTATAAATGTAGTTTTCTCAATTTAAATTTTTAATCTAATAACTTTTACATTCAGATCAAACATGTTAATTAGCAAGACACATGGATTTATATTTGTGTTTAGATAAGTATATTTCAAGAATACTATTGTTAAATTATAAACGAATTCTCAAATTTAAAATTAAGAATAATAATATAAGATTAATCAATAGAATAATGAAATAAGTGAAATGATAAGATAATTAGAAAATGAAAATTATAATTTAGAAGAATTAAGAAAAAAATGTACTAATGAAAAGAACAAACTTGAATAAGATGAATAACATTTGAAATAAGAGTTTGAACAATTTTAAGAGCAAAAGTAAGGAGTAAAATATTAAAAAGAAATTAATCAACTAAAAAATGAATTAAAAGAATTTGATTAACAGTTAAATCAAGCTAATTTATATTTAGAAAAACAAAAGTAGAAGAACAAAAATATATAATAAGAATTAAAAGAATTATAAATTAAAAATTAAAATTATGAAATAATAATTCAAGAACTCTAAGTTAAACTAAAAGAAACAAGGAATCCTCTATATTAATCTAAAAGCTTAATGGAGTACATTTAGAATTTATAAAATGTTTAAATGATACAAATATAAGAATAAGGCTTTTCTGAAAAAACTGAAAATAAATCCAGAGATTGCTTAAATTTATCATAAAATGTCAATTAATTTGATTATGAAAAATAAACCAACTTAGAATCAAATGAAAAAGTATTAAGATGAAAAATAATAGCAAAGAATTAACAAAATAATTATAGAATCATAATAGCAATTCAAAGAATTTCAATAAGTTAGCAGAAGAGAAAATGAAAGTTTGAAATCAGAGTTGGAAAACATGTAAAAGAAAACTTAAGAATAAAATGTAAGGTAAAGTCAGGAAATTGATGAATTAAATAATACAATAAAAGAGGTTCAAGTAACATTATAAAATCAATTTAAATTAAGCAAATAAACTGAAGATCAAGTTAAAGGCTTAACTGTTTACTTTAAAAACAAATAACATCTAAAGGAATTTTCTGATAAGAATTTATTTTATGAGAAAACTATAATATCAAAACATTAACTTTGAATTTAATGAATAAATAAATGCGGCAGAATTTGTTTCGAATTTCTTATTGAATGAATGGTATTCTACTTGTGTTTAATAAAAAAAAATGATTTTGAACACAATAATAAGATCTCTATATCTACTCAAATACTACTAATGTATCGCCTGTAAGAATGCGCTTATTCAGAGAATCACAAGAACGAAAATAAAGAGGCCTTGACGGGTTAGTTGTAGGAGAGTTTCAGTATTTAATACAACATAATAATAATTTTACTCCTCGCAAACAAACTTAAGTTGTGTACAGCATTATTCATTAGAGTTCATCTCCAATGATTCATAAGCCTCAATTGAAACAATTATTTTAAGACTCTCCCTCAAGAGCTAAATAGAAAATAGATAGATTTAAGAATTGGGACTCTAAACTAGATATCGAATTCTAATTACAAAATACAGGGGTAACCATGAGAAATGATGTAGTCTATCAATCTGGTGCATAACTTAATTATACTAAATCAATCTAATTTAATGAGAAACAATCCATCAATTTCATAATCAGACATATTATCATTAACAGCTAAATTGAATGCAATTACAAGAACTGAATTAACTAATTTTACAAGAGGGTATGATTATAATTAATGATTAGTCATGCTTATGAATTATCTACACTTTAATAATCATTGCAAAGAATACTGAAATCAAGCAAAGCCTATTGAATGTCTGATAATTTTTATATTAATAAATTTATTGCTTAATCATTACATTTTATAATACTTGATGATATGATAAGATCGAAGAGACTTGAATAAATTCAAAAGATAAATGTCTTTATATAAGGTAACAAATGAAGCTTGAGCAGAAATTTCTATAGATTTGTCTTGAATTGTGAATTTATTACAAAATTATCAATCAGTGTCTACTAGTCAATAACCAAGACTTAATTAAAATAAGATGNGATTATGAAAAATAAACCAACTTAGAATCAAATGAAAAAGTATTAAGATGAAAAATAATAGCAAAGAATTAACAAAATAATTATAGAATCATAATAGCAATTCAAAGAATTTCAATAAGTTAGCAGAAGAGAAAATGAAAGTTTGAAATCAGAGTTGGAAAACATGTAAAAGAAAACTTAAGAATAAAATGTAAGGTAAAGTCAGGAAATTGATGAATTAAATAATACAATAAAAGAGGTTCAAGTAACATTATAAAATCAATTTAAATTAAGCAAATAAACTGAAGATCAAGTTAAAGGCTTAACTGTTTACTTTAAAAACAAATAACATCTAAAGGAATTTTCTGATAAGAATTTATTTTATGAGAAAACTATAATATCAAAACATTAACTTTGAATTTAATGAATAAATAAATGCGGCAGAATTTGTTTCGAATTTCTTATTGAATGAATGGTATTCTACTTGTGTTTAATAAAAAAAAATGATTTTGAACACAATAATAAGATCTCTATATCTACTCAAATACTACTAATGTATCGCCTGTAAGAATGCGCTTATTCAGAGAATCACAAGAACGAAAATAAAGAGGCCTTGACGGGTTAGTTGTAGGAGAGTTTCAGTATTTAATACAACATAATAATAATTTTACTCCTCGCAAACAAACTTAAGTTGTGTACAGCATTATTCATTAGAGTTCATCTCCAATGATTCATAAGCCTCAATTGAAACAATTATTTTAAGACTCTCCCTCAAGAGCTAAATAGAAAATAGATAGATTTAAGAATTGGGACTCTAAACTAGATATCGAATTCTAATTACAAAATACAGGGGTAACCATGAGAAATGATGTAGTCTATCAATCTGGTGCATAACTTAATTATACTAAATCAATCTAATTTAATGAGAAACAATCCATCAATTTCATAATCAGACATATTATCATTAACAGCTAAATTGAATGCAATTACAAGAACTGAATTAACTAATTTTACAAGAGGGTATGATTATAATTAATGATTAGTCATGCTTATGAATTATCTACACTTTAATAATCATTGCAAAGAATACTGAAATCAAGCAAAGCCTATTGAATGTCTGATAATTTTTATATTAATAAATTTATTGCTTAATCATTACATTTTATAATACTTGATGATATGATAAGATCGAAGAGACTTGAATAAATTCAAAAGATAAATGTCTTTATATAAGGTAACAAATGAAGCTTGAGCAGAAATTTCTATAGATTTGTCTTGAATTGTGAATTTATTACAAAATTATCAATCAGTGTCTACTAGTCAATAACCAAGACTTAATTAAAATAAGATGTATATTTAATGTATTAATTTTAGACTCTATTATCATTACCTTTTAGAGTTCTTTCTGATTGATTGGAAATAAGGATGCAACATTGCTTCTTTGGCTGTAATTCTTAAATTCTAAATTTATTACATAATTGTTTACATGATCATAGATAAGCATGCTCTATAAGAGTTCAATTGCATCAGCCTTTGCTAGATGCTCATTGTCTTCATTCACAAATTTGTTGAATTATTTTTTTTGGTGTTATCCTAGTACATTCTCGAAGTTTGGACCCAATGAAATGTTGTACTTCTAAAGGTAATTCATTAAATCGTCTGTTCCCAATACTCTAGCTATTTTATCCAATTAATCATTATTATCTTATCCGTGAAAGAATGGTTCTTATTAAAAGATTATTCCTGCAAATAAGCATCCCAAACTCCAGATATCTAAACTATAATCATAATATTAATAATCTAAAAGAAGTTCAGGAGATTTAAAATATCGAGAAGCCACTCTACAATTATAATTTTTATTGGGGAAATAGAACTCTGCCAATCCAAAATCAATCAATTTCAATAACTTCTTTTCATGATCAATCATTATATTATGAGGTTTGATATCCCTGTGTATTATGCCCATACTATGACAATGATCTAGAGACTATACATATATATATTAAAAATACTTTTAAAATTTCATACATGTAAAAGCGAACATCTTAGTCTTGCAATTGAGGGTATAATACTCTATAATCTGTGTTATTGATGAACTCCAAAATCAAACTTGTAGTCTTTGAAGCTGGATCATATACAATATCAAGTAATTTCATCACATTGTTTTACCCATTCAAATTTTATAAAATTTTTATTTCTCTCTTTATCTTTTTCTGTCTTACTATTAGATATCTATATTTTATACTTGGCTTTAAAGCTTTGATAACAACCTTTTGAAGTGTATTGACATTGATTCCTTCAAAAACTTCTGCATATTTTCCCCTACCAATTTTTCTTACAATTTCATAATTGTCAAGTTGTCTAACTATAATATTCAACAATACCCGTAATGAATATCTATGTTTTCAAATTCAAAGTATGATGGTCTCTTTTTTAAATTTGCATCTCCATAAAGTCGAGGCTTAATGTTCATTATTGGTATTTTGATAAAAATTCAAATTAATAATATAGTTTTCACATTCAATTTCGTTAATATATAATTGTTCTCTTGTTTAACATGTAATTTTCTACTCAAATAAATTCTGTTAATGCCAATAATCACAACTCTCCTTGATTTATTCTATAATAGCTTAAAGATAAAGATAATATCAATACCACAATTAATCTGAAGAAAATAAATGTTTTGGATTTAGTTGATAATATCTTAAACAATTTTCATACTAGCTAAATTTATTCATTTCAAAAACCATTTGATGAAACTTCCTGTTGTTTCAAATTCTTAATTGTAAATTATGAAAGATTGAAAATAATTGAATAACTTAACGTTATTTAAAATTAAAAATAGAAAACTGTTGATTAATGTAGTATGGTTACATCAGGTTTTTATATTAAGGATTGGGTTGTCTATAATTTATTAATAGAAAAACATAATTTCGACATACTCAAAAACTGTCATTAAAATAATTAAAATATGAATTTACAAAATAATATAAATTAATAATTTATTAATTCCTTAAAAATGTCATTAAATTGCTTATAACATCAAATTACTAGTGAATATAATAAATAAATAAAATTGTAAAAATTGTCATTAAAATGCTTAAAATATGAATTTATTAAGTAATATAATTTAATAATTTATAAATTCTCTNCACTCTACAATTATAATTTTTATTGGGGAAATAGAACTCTGCCAATCCAAAATCAATCAATTTCAATAACTTCTTTTCATGATCAATCATTATATTATGAGGTTTGATATCCCTGTGTATTATGCCCATACTATGACAATGATCTAGAGACTATACATATATATATTAAAAATACTTTTAAAATTTCATACATGTAAAAGCGAACATCTTAGTCTTGCAATTGAGGGTATAATACTCTATAATCTGTGTTATTGATGAACTCCAAAATCAAACTTGTAGTCTTTGAAGCTGGATCATATACAATATCAAGTAATTTCATCACATTGTTTTACCCATTCAAATTTTATAAAATTTTTATTTCTCTCTTTATCTTTTTCTGTCTTACTATTAGATATCTATATTTTATACTTGGCTTTAAAGCTTTGATAACAACCTTTTGAAGTGTATTGACATTGATTCCTTCAAAAACTTCTGCATATTTTCCCCTACCAATTTTTCTTACAATTTCATAATTGTCAAGTTGTCTAACTATAATATTCAACAATACCCGTAATGAATATCTATGTTTTCAAATTCAAAGTATGATGGTCTCTTTTTTAAATTTGCATCTCCATAAAGTCGAGGCTTAATGTTCATTATTGGTATTTTGATAAAAATTCAAATTAATAATATAGTTTTCACATTCAATTTCGTTAATATATAATTGTTCTCTTGTTTAACATGTAATTTTCTACTCAAATAAATTCTGTTAATGCCAATAATCACAACTCTCCTTGATTTATTCTATAATAGCTTAAAGATAAAGATAATATCAATACCACAATTAATCTGAAGAAAATAAATGTTTTGGATTTAGTTGATAATATCTTAAACAATTTTCATACTAGCTAAATTTATTCATTTCAAAAACCATTTGATGAAACTTCCTGTTGTTTCAAATTCTTAATTGTAAATTATGAAAGATTGAAAATAATTGAATAACTTAACGTTATTTAAAATTAAAAATAGAAAACTGTTGATTAATGTAGTATGGTTACATCAGGTTTTTATATTAAGGATTGGGTTGTCTATAATTTATTAATAGAAAAACATAATTTCGACATACTCAAAAACTGTCATTAAAATAATTAAAATATGAATTTACAAAATAATATAAATTAATAATTTATTAATTCCTTAAAAATGTCATTAAATTGCTTATAACATCAAATTACTAGTGAATATAATAAATAAATAAAATTGTAAAAATTGTCATTAAAATGCTTAAAATATGAATTTATTAAGTAATATAATTTAATAATTTATAAATTCTCTAAATATTGTCAATAATAGAATAAAATAATTTTCTAATTGTTCAAAAATTAGAAGACGACAAATTTTCTTTATTTACTGAATATTATATCTTTATTTCTTTATTCTATATGAATATATTGGATAAAAGTCATATTTAAAATATTTACAGAAAAAATAAATATAATGTAATAATCGTAAATATAGGTAAAGCTTATTGTATATTCAAAAGAAAAATGTAATAATATGGAAGAGAAATTTTTGTATTTTTATCAGCAATTCAGATTAGTTTCAATAAAATATTAGGAAAGTTATATCTAGCTATTAGTTTGCCATCACATCTGTTAAGTTCTTTAATATTGGCTTTATCTTGAGTAAACTTATACAAGAATCTTTTAGATCAGACTAGTCATAGTAATTTATTACAAGCAATTTTAATATGGAATACATTTCAAGCCAGTTATTATAGCAATTCCAGAACTTTATAATCATGAAATTAACCAAATGACCTTCACTCAGATTACCTAACCTTTGAGTAAAATTAGGCCAAAATTAATTTGCTAGAAGCTAACAATAGTCTATAATTAATTGTAAAAAATTCGATGATGTCAAAGAAAGATAAGCTACTCATTGAATTACGTTTTGAGATTAAAAATGAAAAATTATACTATAATTTGTCAAACATAAATTTTGTGAAAAAATTACTAAAAATATGCAAATTGATATGATAAAGATTTGTTTATCAAATTGAAGTTAAAATGTTTTATAATAAGTTTAATTATTTCATTGATATCTTACTCTGAGAAAATCTTATACTCTAGCACAATATCAAAGTTCATCAATTTTCATCTAAATTCGTTTGAATTTCAAATTCACAATAAATTCTTTTAAAATACGAACAAGTATTAACTTATTCAAAAAAATATCAAAGAAAAACACTTCAGAAATTGATCTTTCAGTTAATTATAATTTTTTTAATACTAAATCACATTGATTGGATTTAATTTTATTCCTTTTTCTTTGAGTTCAATGAATAGAGATAAATATTAAATAAAGTGTCTTGATAATCAATAGATTGCTACTATCTAAGAGTAAATTGAATAAACATTAGATATTAATAATTGAATACATTTCAATAAAATATGGAGAAACTATAAATATTTATTTGGTGATTATGTAATTTTATGAATTCAACATTATTAATTTATAGACTCCAATAATTCCATAAATAAGTCATTATTCTATTCAGAAAATTTACTTAGATTTTCTTTTTCTTTAAAGTAAACAATTAAGCCTTTAACTTAATTTAGAGGTTTATTTGCTTAATTTAATTGATTTTATAATGTTTCTTGAACCTCTTTTATTCTTTTATTTAATTAATCAATTTCCTTACTTTACCTTACATTTTATTCTTAAGTTTTCTTTTACAAGTTTTCCAACTCTGATTTCAATCTTTCATTTTCTTTTATGCTAATTTATTTAAATTCTTTGAATTGTTATTATGATTCTTATAATTACTTTGTTAAATCTTTGTTAATATTTTCTATTTTGACATTTTTTTCATTTGATTCTTATAATTCTATTGTTAATTCTTAGTTACTGTTAGCTTATATAATATTTTTTTGATTTGATTCTAAGTTGGTTTACCTTTCATAATCAATTAGATTGACATTTTATGATAAATTTAAGCAATCTCTGGATTTATTTTCAGTTTTTTCCGAAAAGCCTTATTCTTATATTTGTATCATTTAAACATTTTATAAATTCTAAATGTACTCCATTAAGCTTTTAGATTAATATAGAGGATTCCTTGTTTCTTTTAGTTTAACTTAGAGTTCTTGAATTATTATTTCATAATTTTAATTTTTAATTTATAATTCTTTTAATTCGTATTATATATTTTTGTTCTCCTACTTGTGTTTTTCTAAATATAAATTAGCTTGATTTAACTGTTAATCAAATTCTTTTAATTCATTTTTTAGTTGATTAATTTCTTTTTAATATTTTGCTTCTTCTTACTTACTTTTCTATTAGAATTGTTAAAACTCTGACTTCAATTGTTATTAATCCTATTCAAGTTTGTTCTTTTCATTAGTACTTTATTTTCTTAATTCTTCTAATTATTTTATCATTTCATTTTGATAATTAATTTTTAATTTATCAATATTACTCTAGTATTCCTTGTTCTAATTGTTTAAGATATTTATAAATTACTTCTACCCCTTCATTATTAACTTCTCAAATACAGCATTGCACTCTGTAATTGCTGATTAACCTTAATCAAATGGGATCTGACTTGACTAAAGTTTTTCCAAATTTTAGATCTTTTCACTTTTGATTGAATTAAAGTCAAACTCACTAATTTATTTATTCTTGATCGATTATTGTAATTGTTGGTAAACCCATTCTATTGAAGGCCGAGCGTTTTCTTGATACTCCAGCATTTTAATTAAAATTTCTTTAATTTCTGATGAAATTTATAAGTTTTTAATTTTATTATTTTTAATGTGTGGCTAACTTTTATGATTCTTTATACTTGCTATAACTTGCTGGATACTTGATCCTAAAATTATAAATTTATTAATACCATCAAATAATGGTTAAGTTGATAATATTTCATAAAAAACGCAGGCTAACGACCAGATGTCAACTTTTTCTGTATATGAGCTGCTATTTTCTAAAATTTCTGGTGCTTAAAAGATAGCACTACCAACTTATTATGTTTTATAGTCTGATGTGGAACTCCGAATCAAACCAAAGTCAATAAGTTTAAAAATTTCGCCTACCTTAATGTAACTTTCAGGTTTAATGTCTCTATGGATTAATTTGTATGAATGTAAGAAATATATTGGTTAACAAATCTATAATTATATTTATTAAAATAATACTTAATAACAAATTTTTACCCTTTATTCCATCGATACATTCTTATTCAGATTAATGTAGTCATATAAACTTTCTTTTCCAACTTCCATTATAATGCAATGATTTTCTCTCCATTCAAAATACTCATATATTGTTATTAAATGACTTGGTAAATATTGTTAATTGTTTCCATTTTCGAACTAGGTTTAGTATTATATTAATTTGGTTAGAAAATCTCTTTCATTAGGCTTCATGTTCTTCTGTAATTTAATTACAACTTATTAAGGATTATTGCCCCAATTATAAGCAGTAGCAAGATAAGCTGCTCCTTCTGAGCCACTACCAAGAAGCTATTTTAGTTGAAATGCCCTATTCCGATAATCTATTGTTTTAGCTTCTATTTAACAATTGACCAATAAGTTATATTTCATTTCTTTTTCTATTAAAATTTATAATAAGCATAATACATTTCTTAAATTTTTTTAATGATAATGGTTAATTCTTAATCACAAATACTAACTTTAACTATTGAATCCAAAATTAAAATTATGATCTAAGTATATATTTGTATTCCATTGTTCATAGATTACTTAATCTATCTCATATTTACATTCCAAAAATTTAATACATAGAGATATTAAACCTGAAAATTTTATTAAAATCTCCGATCAATTTAAACTTATTGATTTTGGATTAATAAAATAGAATTTAAATCTTTTCAAAACAGCTACAGTTGGAACTCTACTATTTTAGGCACCTGAGGTTCTTGATATATGGTTTCTCGCTTATATTTTTTATGAAATTGTTTTTGGTTAGGCATTGTTTAATGGTATTAATTAAAATTACATAGGCGAAAATTAATCAAAAGTTACTTAAATGATCTACAGTCCAAATTGAATTAAAATTTTTTAACTTAAAGATTAACATAGGATAGATAGATGACAAACTAAAAGATCTTTTGAAGTAAATGTTAAAATATCATCCTTAAGAAAGGATAACATTGAATAAGGTTATGTCAATACTTGTTTAATATAGTAGCATTAAAAAACACAATTAGCAATAACAATAATTTTTAAAATTTCCTATTTAACCAGAGATTAAATATTCACACCATAAAATTTCCCAAATACAGGAAATACAGTTTCTTTATAAATTTCATAATTAAAAGAATAGATATAAGACTTCAATAATTAACAAGCAGAATAATCAAAAACAATTGAAATTTATTATAGTAACTTGTAAATTTAAAACAATTAACTTTAATAATGAATACAAAATTTACAGTATAAAGTAGATGATTGCACGGAGACTAGGATTAATATTTTTCATTATAAATGTAAATTTAACAATACGAAAATTAATTACGAATTAAGATAAATTAAGAACAAGAAAATAATATAGTAATTCAAGATTATAAAATGAAAATATAAAATATGGAATCAATTTTATCAGAAATGGAAAAAAGGCATTATTCTAAAATAAATTATTATTTGGATAAAGTAAACTAACTGGAAACAAATTGTTAGAATTTAATATTTAAGATACTTACTAATAGTAAATTATGAATTAGTAAACAGAAAAATAAGAAATATATTAAAATTAAGAATGGTAGACTTTAGTTTCTAAAAATGAAAATCAGAGAAAGTAGACTCATAACCAAGAAGAAAATAATTAAAAAAGTGAGGACAGATTAATATTGGATGGAGAAAAAAATGAATTGTAACAATAAAATAATTAGGATGAAAGTAACAAGCCATTTGAGGAAATAAAATCCTAAATTAAGAACTTACTAATTCAATTATAATCCTTAGATTTAACTCCAACAAAAAACAAAATTAAATAAATTCAAAATCTTAATCAAACAAGTCAATACCTGATGAAAAAGTACAAACCTGAGATAAACGCCCCACGACTATAGAATTAATTGTAAGTACTTAGAGTAAGGGTTAAATGAATGTTTTGATGTAAGAAAATTGGAATTTAGTAAGATAAATAATATTATTACACAATTTTATTCTTAAATTGAACCTTAATCCTTGATTAATTAGGAGAAGAAAGAAATTTATAGAGAAGCAATTTGAATAGAAAACTCGAAAACAAACTAAGAAAAAAAGTAAAAATGATGAAGTAAATTAATTTTGAACTAATATTTATAAATAAATCTTTTTGCTTTATAGAGGTTTAAAATTGAGTTATTAGGAATATACATTCTCTATCCTTTTTATGTGTTGATAATGATAAAACGCTAGTTTACATCTAATTACCATATTATTGTTTAATAAAATATCACCATGAACTTATTTGATTTTATTCTAAAAAAAAACTCCTTTGTCTTGTAAAGTTATAATAAATTATCTTATTTTAACTAGTAGTCTTAATAAATGTTATTCAAACTAATTAGATTTACCATTAATGAGATTGGAATTGATAATTAAAATTCAGAACAATTCAAAAAAATTGACTGTTCTAAAAAATGGAATTACATAGAACTAATTAGACTTGGTGATTTTAATTAAAACTAAAGATAATTGTTTTACATATCAAAGAATTAACAGATTGAAATAACTATATTTTCAATAATTGTCTTTAATTATACTTTCAATAATTTCAAGCTATTTAATCTAAATCATATATTCTTAAAGCAATTGCTAAGCAATATAATTTTTTAATATGATTTAATCCACTATTAGTTAATAAAAACTTTTTATCAAATATTGTTTTACCAGTATTAATTAACAAAAAAATTACAAAAATCAGAGTTAAGTTTAAGTATAACTTGAAACATTATCTTTGGCAGATATACTACATAAATAGCATATTGAATTGGAAATCATTTAATAACTCAAAATATTGATTCTTATTTTAAAGAATATAAGTTTACATTATTTATAATAATTTATAATATTTCAAATTTATAATCGACTATCAATTAATTGCTATCAATTTTTACTATTTTATCAATGAAAATAGTTGTTGGAAGCTTAAATAAATTCATTAACTTACATTTTTGATCTTCAAATGGATTCTTTTTATGGGCCATGTTATTTTATGCTTTCATTGGACTATATGCATTAGATTTATTTGTTTATGCTTGTTAATATACGCCTCCCTTACTTTCTTAAGATTTGCTCTAATTTATTTTTAAATGAGAAAAGTTTTCATTTATTTAATTCTTTCCTAATTACTACATTTTCAACCCATATCTTTGTAATTTTTCATCCTAATTTTTATTTTGCGTTTATAATTTTTTAATTTACTCTTTTAATGATTGGATTTCCATTTTATATTATTCAATATTTTAAACGTGTTAGTTATTAATTTGCATATCATCTATTTAATATTAATATTATTTTTATTTGATTTAAATCAAACAGATTTGTAGTGAATTATTAGTGTTCATTATTTTGACATTATTGCTTTATTATTATTTTGTTTTTGATTCTTCTTTTATTTAAATGCTTTAAATTAAATTGTAATTATTATTCTATTAATTAAGCAATTTCTATTATTAATCTTTTATTGTTTAACAAAAATTACTAATTTTTTCTAATTCTATTTTGATATAATTCTAATTTTCGAACTCTTCCAATCTTTCCTCTTAATATGCATTTTTATTTTATTAAACCTCAAGGCCATTTTCTAATTTGTCTAATTTTTGAGCATAACTTTAAATAAAGTTTTATTTTTCTTTATTCTAAAATTCAACTATTCCTACTATAATGTATTTATTTGTTATTCTTATTATTATAATTTAATTGTCTATTGTTCTTTAATGTATTATAATTCTTAATTTTTTAATGCTATTTATTGAATCTCTTATTCCTATAATTATTTAACCATTTATTAATTAATTAAAGTGTATAAATTATGAAAATTTTCCTTTTACTGTTCTTATTAATATAAAAACTAAGTTTAAATTTGCTATTTTAATTCATTTTAGTTTTATTACATAAATTTAGAAATTTCTTAAATCTAATATTTTTATAGGGTTTACATAAACTACCAAATCTAGTTAAATTATTCTTAATTAACATTTTTAGATTGAATTTCATTATTTTAATTTTATCTAATTTCAATGATGGTTTAACTAATTAAATTAAATTTTGATTCCATATCTTTAATTGAATCTTGTAGTTATTTGATCTCATTATTTGAACCTTATTGAAATTATTATATATTCTGATATTTTTCTTGGTTGGGGATTAAATATTTATTTTTAGAATTAATTATTTTGTAATGAGATCATTGTTGAATAATTTTGTTATTATCACTTTAGATAAATTAAAATTTATTATTATTATTGTATTTTTAACTAATACTCTTTAATTTTTCTCCAACAACATTTATTGATATTCTATTTTAATGAAACGGTTAGAGCATTAGGATTAACAAGTTCTTTAATTCTTCAACCTATCCCGTCAATTTTTCTAATTTATTTTCGAGATAACTGTTATCAGTTTTAAAATTTTTAATTAGATTCTTAATTTAAAATTCGGTTTATCCTATTTATACTAAATTGAACTACTTTCAATTAAAGGTGATTTAGTTAATATTTCATAAAATACACAACCTAGTGACCAAATGTCGACTGCTTATGTGTAATTTTAACTATTTTCAACGATTTCAGGGGATTAAAACAAGGGTGTTCCTTGATTTTATGTATTAATCTCCCCTCATTTTTCTAGTTAATCCAAAATCAATAAGTTTAAATTGATCGGAGATTTTAATAAAATTTTCAGGTTTAATATCTCTATGTATTAAATTTTTGGAATGTAAATATGAGATAGATTAAGTAATCTATGAACAATGGAATACAAATATATACTTAGATCATAATTTTAATTTTGGATTCAATAGTTAAAGTTTATTGTTATTATTCTAAATAAGTATATAAATCTAATTCTCCTAATTCCATTAGTATATAATATTAATTATTTGTTTAAAATCTTTCATATATTCTAATTAAACCAGATGATTAATAATTCTATTATCCTTAACAAATCTCATTTTCATATTGATTTTAATAAACTATGAGATTATCAATAAACTAAATTTCATCATCCTTACAAAATCTTTAACATCTCAATGCAAATTATTTTTAATCATTTATTCCCCAATTGATACATTTACATCTATATACTGGACCCTCACCACCATTACCAAATACTTTTATTATCTCAAATCTTCTATCTAAAAAATTAAAAAGTATAGGTGCATCAATTCTCTACATCCCTTTCTATTTTATTTCTATTAATTAAATTTTCTATTCAATTTTATAAATTATATGTTATTATTTATTCTCATCATTAAAAAGTCTATAAAAATCCACTCTTTCTAACCAAAATTTATTGATTCTTCCAATATTATCTTTCCTTTCAACAACAATCTGCTAAATTAAATTTATAGATTACTTTCACTTCTTTTAACTTCTCCCTTCTTAATTGATTCTAATTCAGCTTCAGCAAGCATGAGTTTTTCTTAAGTCTCATGATAGTCTCAATTGAGAACAATGAATTTTTATTTCCAAGTTTCTACTTCCTTAATTAATGATAACAATCAAAAAATACTTTAGAGAGATATGTCATCTTTTCAACAGTTACCTCTTCATGAGTGGTTTACTACTCATCAATATGATGATGAGCATCGTCTAATTCCCCTCTAAGTAGATTAATTTCTGCCTATAGTTGAGAAATGATGCCGTCCTATTTTGTTATTTATCTCTAGACATAAATGATTATTGCTATACTTCTCTTTCAACAAGTGTGGTTTACAATGAAACCAAACTTGTACTTCTGGACAAATCATTTTTCTAAATTTGAGCTCTGAGGTCAGAAATTGTCCTGTCTTTTTATGCATTGTTCTCATGTTCATGATCTAATTGCATTTTCACCATACGCAATTCTTTTTCTAATTTAGTTATCTACATAATCGTAGTTATATTTAAACTTAATCACTGTCTGTCACAACTTCCTTTACTATTTTTACTTCAGGTTACCTCATTTCCAGTTCCATAATTCTTGTTCTGAGTGCTTCAACTTCTTTATTGTTCACTTTCTTCTTCTTTTGCTTCTTCACCTGAGGACATGGTTGATAGATTGGTTATTAGGGCATAAGTAAAAAGGTAGGTGGATGATAAGTGTACTGACTATATGCTTTTTAGTAGATTTGATTCGATATAGGTAAATAGAATCGACCATCCACATCATAATTATAAGGAATTTATGGAGTTTCCACATCATAGTTCAATTACTCTGTTCCTGGATTCATTAATAACTCAGAAATAAAATAAATTAAAATGAAATTAAACGATCAAAATAGCCACAGTCAATTAACTATCTTTCCCTCAGCTTACAATACAAACATGACTGCAGCATACAAATACTTATCAAGGGAGTCAAGTGTAATGAAAAACGATAAATCAATTTTAAAATCTCCATCGTCCAACTAATTATATTGTGCATCTAATAGAGGGAGTGACAAGAAAGCGAGAATTTAAGATTCTGCTTCTAAAGGGTCAATACAATTTAAAAATACAGCTTAATTTGGTCGAACCTCAGCTGACTTAATTTAAGTTCCTCCTATGAGAAGTCTTAACAGAGAGGACAGAGAAAAACTTATAGCCACTCTAATTCAATAGGTTAAATAGCAGAATTAATTAATTATACAATTGGAAGATAAAGCCTCGCAGTAAGCTGAACAACTGGATGAGTTTAATCTATATAATGAGAAATATGAGTAAAAGGAGAAATGTTATGGAGAGATAATTTAAAATTAAAATAAAATATTTTAAAGAAGTAAAATAATTAAAGATATTTATTAGTCCAATAGATAGCAGAGCTCAGGGAATTGGGCTGTAGATAAACAAATGATCATTTAGACCTCTTAAATTAGATATACGAGGATGAGGTTGATATGGATATGGCGATTAAATGGAGAAATGCCAGATTAAAATTTAATTTTCTGGATGCATTATCTAAAGCTTCCAAATACTCTAAAAAGTTAAACAAAATACTACAAAGAAAATTGAATCAAAAATTGAAAGAGTGTTTTAAAGGATGGAGATATTATATTCAAAACAAAGCGTTATTAACTTAGTTTAATGAAGTAAGAAATCTAAGAATTGTAATTAATTTCTGGATGAAATGGAAACAATAAATTTAGGATAAAAAAGAATATTGCAAGAATCTCAAAACAGCAATTCAATTTAACAATCAGAACCTGAAAATAAAATGCTTTGAAAAGTTGAAATAGAATTATCTTAAATATAATTTTAGTCTCAAGGACTTTTAATAAATCTCTTAATCTGCTATAAATGAATTTAATAGAATCAAATTGTTTAAAGTATTAATTTGCATTATTTTAGGTTTTCAGTTAGTGGAATCTCTGGATTAAGAAGGAGAATTAGAAGTAGTAAATTATATACCAATACATTAATGATGGACGAACGAAAATGATGAAAGGAGTGATCAGATTTTTGAAATAGAATTGTGATTTTCATAAGGAAAGAGCTAATAAAATAGTGAAATAAAGAGAGCAGACGAAAGAAAAAAAACTGTTTAATTAAATGAAGCAAAATTGGAAATAAAATAAATATAGGGAGAATTAAATCAAATTAAATAGGAATTTCTTTATTAAGTTTAGAAAATTCAAATACTGGATAAGAGAGTATTAAAAGTTATCGAGATTGAATCAGATAAGCATGAAAGTAGTAAAGAAGAGGGATAATTAATTTTTATAAAGATGTATTGAATTTATGTGATTGTAGTATTCAATTCTATGAAGAATAATGCTTAATATAGGAAGATGAAGAGATAAAATGAAATACTGTTGAATAAGAAGTATGACAATAGAGTATTGAATTGGGCATTTATGCATTGGTTGAGCAATCTCTTAAATAAGAAGAATTTATTGGTAAAAGTATAGAATGTAGTCATTTTGAAACAAAAGGATATTGATTATTAGTAATAAAATGATGTATAGAACTTAAAATAAATGTACGATAGTGTTTAGTAGGAATTGGGAAATTAGGAAGAGTAAATTAATAATTATAAAATATTGATATCTAATCAAAAAGAAGTAGAGCGTGAGTTGTAGATGCAATAGTATTTGAATAATGAATAATTAGTGATTATTTGAAATAGGAGTTGATGTAAACAAAGGATCAATTGGTTCACTATTAGATTGAGGGTGATGAAGTAAGGATCTTGAAAGAGTAGTATACATTAGCTCAACAACAATTGAAAGAATTGAGAATACAATAAAGATGTAATATTAAATTTTCATATGATCAAGTGGGATCTCCAATTAGAACTTTATAGAGTAGTGGGATAAATGGAGAGTAGGATCAATTAAGGAAGTAGGTGGAGATCAGTTCTACATTACTGAATGATTAAAAATAGGAATACAATTCATTGCAGATGGAATATTCGAAAGTAGTTGGAGATTACGAGAAGAAGATCAAAGATATAGAGAAATACTTTGTGGATTTATGTGAAAAATAGAAATTGTAGATCGAGAGATGTAATTAAACCAATATATAGTAGTGTTGAAAGAGAATCAATCCATTAAAATTGAAAATTAGCAGAATGTTGTTTCTAGGAATAAATTAATGGATGAATTGAATATGATACATGAGTCATTTAGAGAGGAGATTCCACAATAACATCGCAATAATTTTCAGACTCAAGATTTTTATGAATAATAGTAGTTTGGGCAGAATCTAAGATTAAAGTCAAATTTATATAGTCAGACATCACCAATTTCAGTAAATTAATATTCTCAAAATTCTCCATAAAAATAAATATAGATTGAAGATAGGTATGCATAATGTGTTATTATTATCAAGAAGGATAAAAGAGGAAGCATACAATTTAAGAGAAGATATAAAAAGACGATTGGCTTCTTTAAAGACTCAGATGGATTGCTAATTGTGAAATTTTTATAATATTTTTAATCTATGAATAAATACTAACTATTGAGAAATCATATCCAATAATTGATGTAGAATTCTCAAACCAAAAACATATAATTTGTTAGACACGCCTAAGCATAGCCTCTTAGAATTTAAGTGATACCTTACGTGATTGATTAGATAATAGATTAACCACCAGAGACATTATTATATCCTAGATGATATTGAGGAAAAGAACAAGCAAATAAATTATTATAATCATTATTACCATTTAGAGATTAATATAAAGGAGTATATACATCAAATTCGAAAAGTGCAAAAAAACAGCTCAAATTAGTTTATGATTTCCGCATGATAAATTAATAATTGAAGATTCTCGATTGAGATTTTTATAATGTTATAGAAGAGATGTAGAATAAACTGTTAATTTTCGACAGTTAGAGATTGAGGCTTAGTAATAAGCACAACAAAGAGTAATGAAATTGCTGGTTAAGAAATATAATTAGAATGGAACCTATTTGATGTTATCACATAGAGTAAAATAAGTCATGATAATTAAAGGGATTGATATGTAGCATCACTTATAATGGGATTGCAGGATTCTTTCGGGAATTGCAATTGTTTAAGTTTGGAATATGATAAGGAGAAAAAAGGGATTAAATAAATACTATTCAATTGGGGTTTCCCAGAGGAGGAGAGTGAAATAGAAATATGACATGAAAATATTTATATAATAAATTTACATATATAAATATGGATAAATTTGAGTTTTTAAAAGTGGAGATAGAGAAAATCTTAGATTCGGATAAAACAGTGTTAATCTTCATTAGACATGGAGAGACGGAAGCTAATTTTACAAAATAGCTGAGCGGTTGGCATGATGTCAAGTTGACAGAATTGGGTTGAATTTAGGGTCTATTTTAGGTTTAAATGAAGGCAAACAATTATCAAAAGCATTTTAACCATTAAGGGATCGATTTGCAGGGATTTATTGTTCAGATTTAAGTAGAGCTAGACTGACTGCTGAATTAGCTTTAGGATCAGGAAATAAGATATAATAAAGTATGGAATTAAGAGAACTTAATTTTGGGGATCATCAAAATAAGGTGTATTCTGAGGACAACAAAAGCATATACGAGATCTTGTTCACTGAGAAATATCAGGCACCCAACGGAGAGAATTGGAATGATGTGAGGAATCGAATAATGAAATATTTGAGATCTCAGATTCATAGTAAGGGGGTCTATTTGATTTTCACTCATGGAGTATGCATCATTATTCAATATTTAAGCGAGCCATCTTCTCTATGACTCATTAATTTGGGTATAAGAACACTATAAAGAATTGTTCATGCATTGGTTTAGAATTGGATATCAATACTCTGGAAATAATGAATTAATTATTTTATTGGGAATTTCCCACTTAGTGAATTACTCGATTTATTTTATATTTACAGATGATAACAATTAATATTTTACTAGTAAAATATTCTGATTAAAAACAACATAAAATAAAGTGATTCATTAATGATCTCCCCCATAAAGTTTCTTAAATTTTTTCAGCTTATTGCATTCCTATATATTATGATCTTTGCTATAGAAAATCTCCATCTATTTAATGTCTTGATGGTAAACCGAAAAAAACTAAATATAGAACAAAAATCTCTACATATCCGAAATACGTCTAAGAATCGATGTCAGTATAACACCCATAGCCTTTGAAATGATTGTTTCTGAATTCCCCTTTGAAATAACTAAAATCGGGCCAGGTCATCAAACCTTATCCATGCAGCAGTCCTTATTGTACTTATCCACAATATCTAAAAATAGGTTAGTATAATTACTTTCTGCCGTCTGGAAACGTAAACTAACCTCTCCCATCAATTATTCCGGCTTTAAATTAACCTTCATATTTAATTCCATTTTTTCTTATTTCTATTCCATTACCTGAGAGTCTGTTATCATTCCAATACCCTGAATAACAACAAAAACTACCTCTAACCTCTTTTTTTTTATTTTTAAAAACTCCAAATCCATTCGCTTTATTATCAATTAGATGACCTTCAAAACTAGAAATAACTTATTAAATTACACATCTCCATTTGAGTAGATCATCCGTGCAGGTCCATTAGCCTTATCATTCTACCAAAAACTAACATAACTCCCTTATAGTTACCTTTCCAAATAATTTCCTTCAGTCAACCAATGTTATTTTCCTACTCCATTTCGAATCCCATTTATCACTGAACCATAAAATATAGAACCATCAGAACATAAAAGATATGAGTAGTTAGAAGTATCCGTGTCCATCTATTCTATAGCCTTAAAAGTTCCCAATTCATTTATCTGCTCCTAAACTTCAGGTCTCAATTAACCCAAACTTGTAATTTCTTATCCGATATTACAAAGAGATTAGGAGAAGTCCTCTAAACTATCCTACGTTTTAATATTCTTGTTATCTTCAAATTATATCGAATAGGCATACTTTTATATTGTTCAGCTATATTGATCGATAGTTAAGTGCTTTAAATTGATGTCTTGGAAGTATTACTATTGCAAACACAACCCATTTTATAATATGATATATATATTTATCATTTTAAATAAAAAAGTAAGACTTATAATAGTCAAGTAAAATTAATTTGATTAATCTTGCCCAATTTATTTAATCCTCTTGAAACACTCCTCAATTTAATATTAAACCAACACTTTTCCATCTAATTAATAATTTATTAATATTTCATCCATTAAATAATACTTGCCTGAATTGCAATTCACTAACTTTTCAGGGGCTAGCTCTTCGATTTTTTCTCCATAGACTTCACTTCTCCAAATCCATCAAAAATCAACAATTTTGATTTCTGTGATTGGACTAACTTAATTATTTCAAAGAGTGTTTAAAATATTTTTTGTTACTATTCATTCATTCTTCAAGTTGATATACTCTAATAATATAAGGAATTTCTACCTCTCCTTCTTTAGTTAGCACTGTTCTTCATGATGGCATCACTATGTAAAAAAATGATATTTTTTATTATAAAATAAGTTTGGCTTAATTAATATCATTTATTAATCCACACAATTACGTATTTCTAATTTCATTTGTTAATTATTAATAAACCACCTCCTTTCACAGATTTTATGATATGATTATTAATATTTATTTGCTGATTAATCATGATTTAGATGTAATCACGAGTCATCGACCTCCGACAGTTGACATTTAAGATCAATTTAAATGCCTTAATAATACTAACTTTTCAAGAACTTTTAGAAAAACACAATTATTATCAACTAACTTTTTACATTTGATTTATTCTCACTTAGAATGATATTATTATTATCATATTAAAAATGTGGAGGGTTTAAAAACTTAAGTGAAAATTAATCTAATGTAATAAATTGATTGATAATACTTCGCAAATTAGACACAAAATAAAACTAGATCAACATGATGTCATCAACAAAACTAAAACCAATTACAACATTCCAAAGCCTCATTTGTCTAAGTCTCAAGACGCCAATCTATGAAGCAAAGGAGAAAAAATTGGAACTAACTAATTTAAAAATGGGGTAGAGAATGAAGAGATAAGCTGCATGCTAAACAGTTTGTTTTGATAATAATATATATTTCAGAAAAACACTCTCATCTCATTGTAAATATCAAATCACAACTATTGATTAGTCTAATAGCCAGGAAAGCATTTTTCTATGCGACATTGTAGAAATTTAAAATTGACTTTTACAAGGTAGATGATTAAACAAAATAAAAATGATTATATTTTATAACCCCTATAAAATTCAAAGATTGTCAATAACCTTTGTTAAAAAGTGAAGCATTTTGGATTCATCCCCTGGATTTATCTTATTTTGTATCAGATCTGCTTATTTAATTTTTCCATCATGCAAGATATAGATCTATGGGGCTTGTATTGGAGATGGCAACACTTAGGACTCATTTAAAATATTATATCTAATTGTTAACAAAACTAATACTTTCTCAGAGTGATGTTTTTAAAGTTGGAAACATTTTTAACTCTATAGGGATTAGGGTTGAGGATATCTTAGGCAATTTTATCCAAGGTTTCAGCTACTGTGTTACAAGCTGCACATCCTGGCTTATAAAAATAAAGGAAATCAAAGCCTGACAACTCCAAGTTATTTGCAGTAATGGTTTGTAATTTTTCCAAAGGGATTTTGACAAATGTTTTTTCATAGTACTCTTCCCTATAATTATGCTATGGGTCTAAGTTTTATAATTGTAATTTGGTTGTTTAAACAATAAATTATTTCAATCTGTTGACAGTTAATTTATCTCCAAAAGAGTATCTCTTACATTATTTGTATTGATCATAATTACTTTCCTACTGCCCTAAATGTACAATATTAAAGGAAGATGTATAAGTTTGATGTGAATTTAGATCAAATAATCTTACGTCATCTGTAATTCCATTATTCACTATTCCAAAATAAGATTAGAGTAAATCTATATTATCTGAATAAATGATTCCAAATTTTTATTAGTATTCAGTGTTCATGGATTTCTTTACATTCACCAATTTCCTGATAATCTTTTCCTTTACTTCCTTCTAAGTATGATAAATCAAGATATATTGGACACCCATTTGTTTATAAATGAGCAATTAGGAATCCATTTATTGTTTGTTGAAGACATAATTGACATAATTGTTGGCTGTCAAATTCAATCTTTGAACAAGCTTTTGCAAATTCAATTATTGGCCTGACTACTCTTATGATCCCAAGAGGTATCCAGAAATGGAATCGTATTTCTTCTTCACCCTAAAAGTATCTGCTGTCTCTATATTAGGGTCTGGTTCGATTTTGTTCATGCAATACTCCTTGGCATTGTGAAAGAAGGATGACTCTTTTGAGTTGAAGATGCTGGTCTATTTGAGTACGTAGACTTCTCCTATATCATTCACAGATAAGTTGAATTCATCAGCCACTGTTTTATCCTTGATGATGTAATACTGAGCTTCTCGATTGTAATCTAGATACCTGAGTTCTCTGAATTGTTCCTCCAATTATTAGGGATCTTTGTAATTACGCAATTTGAATGTGTCAAATTTATTAATTTATTCTTCTGATTTTACTATAGCTTATTAAGGAATGTAAGTCAACACAACCTTAGCATCCATTTGATCAATTAGATTAATGGCCTCTTATTTACTGCTTAGAGTCTATAAGGGAGTCAAGAAATTAAGCAATTTCAAGTAGTCTTCCTCTCCTCTTATTTTCAATAGGAGACATCGGTGTTGATTGACTGCAATCAAGTCATAATCATTGAAGGCACCATCATATATACAGAATTTCACAGACAAATGTTTTGGTAGATCATCAATGATGTTTCTGTTTAGAATGATGATGGTATTGGTGAAATACTATGGATTTGCTAAGACTGCATTGACATCTTTTTCATTTATGATTTTCATGTTTTGCATTGTAATTTGGGAGCATCTGAATTTCTATTATTAATTGTAAATTAGAGCCAAACAAGTTGCAAGTTGTGTGAATTTTAACAATTTAGGTATGAATCTAATTGTTCTAAACATTATAAATATTTTTTAGTTTATATTGAAATACACAACAAAATATTTTAATCAATTAAACAAGGAACACAAACGAATATTGCAATTGAGTTGATCTGAAATTCAAACTCATATGAATGTAGCATTATGATTCAAGATCCCATAATATGACATGTATATTAGAATGTAATCGACAAAGATATAATAATATTATATAGTTAGATAAACTAGAAGTAGAAGTGCATAGATTATTTTAAAAAAATAATAACAACATCCATCTTGAATGAAAATAAGAAGTACTTGTTCCATAGACCTAATATAATTTAATTTAAAAATTAAAAAACTATTAGTTGGATATATTATTCTTAACATTTCAGTAACCCAAAATCTCTAAGAAATAATCATATATACTTTTTACATAGTGATTGCTAAACACTCTTAATATTAAATCATAATGTACATATAAATAATTCATATGTTCATTAAATTGTTTATTGTCCTTCAGCTGTAATGGATGCCATCAATTCAACCATCACATCATTTATTGGTGAATAAATTTAATTTTATTTCTCCAATGAATTTACACAAGAAATCCGAAATATATGCAAAACATTATGTCCAAACTTTTATTAATCATAATATTTACTTTATTAACTAGATTCCAATTGATTTTATCAGAATGAGTTTGAATTAAATAGGATAATAATTGTGATTGATGAAATTAGGCTGCTTTCATTATTGGTGATTCTCCTCCCTTGCAATAAAAATCGATTATACAATAGTTTGAATATTGGGCGATGCCTTTGATTGAATTAAATAATCCACTATTGCAAGATTGCCAATTGCACATGCGAAATGAAGCGAAGTTCTTCCAAGCTATTTTTTGCATTACAAATTACTAAATCCTGTTGATCAATGTCTGCCTTTTGGATTGCCACTAAAAATTAAACCAAATTCAAATTTCCATTGCTTGCTGCCTAGTGCAGAGCTGTTATGCCTTGATTTGTTAAGGCGACATTAACATTAATTTCAATTTTTGGGGAATTAAAAAATTACACTATTTATTCATTTTTATCTAATATCGATATTGAGATATACTCTACATGATTGCTAACCAGAGGGCGTACTTAAGCTGATCGACCTATTATCTTTGGTTGGCCATAACAAATTAATTTAAATTATTTAAAATAATGCAATTAATCGTTTCAAAAGGGAACGAAAAAATATTTGACAAACAATCATATTTTTGTTTTTTCAATATTTAAATAAGTGGAAATATATATTAAATTAAAATTAAATTATTTAATTTTTTAATAATGGAAAACAAAGAGTTAGAGTAAGAAATCAAAAAGAAAATTACAAACATCCCACTCAAAGATAGAGCAAAAGTTACAGCTCTCAGATACTATTTAAATAAATGCAAACAAGCTGATACAGACATGGAAACTACTTGTGATAATATCCAATCGAAATACGACAAATTGAGTATGCCCATCTATCAAAGAGTAAGACTCACATATATCTCATTCATTAGGCTGATGAAATTATTTTGGGCACAGCCTAATTGAACGAATAAAACCTTGGTTTGGCAGCTAAATTACTATCAGAGGAAGAATTACAATAATTCAATGAAGCTCCCAAAGAATCCAAAGCCATTCCTGATTATTGGTTGAAAGTGTTTAAGAATGCCGATTTGTAGGAATTGCCATTATCTGAAAGAGATGCTGAAGCATTCAAGTTCTTACAGAAAATTGAATTCACATTGGCTGAGAATGATTCAGACTTCTTCCTCAAATTCCACTTTGCAGAAAATCCATTCTTCAAATAAACCGTTTTGGAGAAGAAGTTCTATTACGAAGATGATGAATTGACTAAAGTAGAAGCAACAAAAATCGAATGGCATGATGGAAAGAATTTAACTAAGAAATTAATTAAGAAGGTATTCTAGTTTGTTGATAAATTGTTTAGAAATAAAGAAATAAGAAGACAGGGTAATTTAGAGTGATTTCTAAGGAAGTTGATGACGAGAGTTTCTTCTTGTTTTTCAGATCAATTGACATATCCAATAAGGAGAAATATGACAAATTACCTGAAGATGAAGTATTCATTTGAATTTAAAAGTGTAGTAAATCTCATTGTAAGGTCAATTGGATGTTGATTAGGATGTGGGCAGAGAGATAGTTGATGAATTGTTGCCATATTCTCTTGAATACTTTTTGGGAATAAAGGAATTCAAGACTGAAGATGATGCTGGTGCTGAAGGAGAGGAGGATGATGAAGAAGATGATGAGGAAGTAGAAGTTCCAGCAAAAGGACAAAATAAGGGAATGGACAAGAAGAAGAAATGATTTATGTATATTAATTTTTTTAATTGTACATTTAATGATGTATTCAATAAATAATTAGTAATTTACATTTTTTTGTGATTTTTAATAATAAATTAAATAAATGAGCAGATCGGGAGATTTCTAAAATAAAGTCGAGAACATTATTGAAAATGTATTTGAAATTAATTCATCAAAACACTAGTATCTTTAGAAGCATAAGATCTTAAATATGAAAAACTCTAATAATCATGTTGATGTACCAATTTCTGAATTTGATCTGCTTGAGAAATAAATTACAAGAAATAGTATCATAGATGACTTAATTCAAAAAATTTAGGTTTTAGTAGAAGCTAGTAATTATCATGCTAAGATCGAAGTATTTTCATTAATTAATCTACCTGTAGATGGATTAAAAGTTCATTAGATTTGAATAAGAAATTACAAATTTAAGATCCATCATTATGATGCAATAAGATTGTAATCCTCCTTAATTGACAATGACTCGTTCTGAAAATAATTCATTTATTGAAATGAGTGATTCGTTTCTGAATGATGAAAATGCTAGTAATTTCAAGAAAAAAGTCAAAGAAATTCAGGAATAATTCTCAAAGAAAACATAACAATTAGATAATATGCTTGCATTGGTTATTGATTAATAGTAAAAGTGTATATAAATGTTAGATTGCAATTAAAACAACAAATTACTCAAAATCCTTCCACAAATCAATCAAATGATTAGTAGGTAGATCTCCATCTTCAAACAGATAAGATATTGGATTTAATACAACCAAGTAAGAAATCTCAGAGTATATTAGAAATTCAATTTTTGAATAAGGAGCATTTTGAGGAAAAATATTAGTAATTTAAAAAAGCAATGGAAGAAATGAAGTAGGGTGCCAAAGAAAAGCAGTTGCTATTAATGACAATTGTTGATGAGTGCAAGAGGGATTGTGAAAAAATAGAAAAAAAATTGAATGAATACATTACTTAAGTGAATGCTGATAAGAAAAAATCTTGGATTCCTTTCAAATGATTTATGTTATGTATAAAGTACCACATTTGCTAAAAGTATTAAATTCTCAATTTAGCTTTATCAAAATGAGCACTTTACTCACTTCCCCATAATAATTTAACTAATCTATTTTCTTAGTAAATTATAATTTTTTACCAAAGTATATCCATTAGATATAAATATATTTGTATCTATAAACTTTCCTAAGTCAGAATAATATACATTGTTTTTCTAATAGAATTTGAAAATAATTTAATGATAATTACTTTTACATCAATGATATTTATTATATGGATAATTAAGAGGAAGTCATCCTCAAATGTTAAAAGTATTCCAAAGAAAGAACATTTAAATAAATTAAATTTATAGCAGCTGGAAGTGAAGGATCTGTGTCACTTTTTAAACCAATGAATTGGTGCTTTGAGGTTGATGAAGTCGCCATCAAAACGTAGAAAAATATAAGAAATGAAGCTATAGAGTTTTACGAGAAACTATTAGAGCAACAACTTAAATTGGAAAAAACTTAAGATGAAAAATCATTTATCATCAAAATTTATGAACTCTGCCAAAATTAAAATCAATAAAATGATTTTATCATAATAATGGAAAAAGGGGGATAAGACTTATACAATTTTTTAAAATATAATAAACAATTAACCTTTTAATAGAAAGTGTAAATCTGCCTATAAGTAAATTATTTTCTATTTATCTTTTAGTTAGCTTTAGGTCTTAAATAATTGCATCAGCTTGGGTATATTCACAGAGATATAAAACCTGAGAATTTTGTTTAAGCTAAAGATGGATTTAAATTGATTGATTTCGGGTTGACTAAATCGTTTGATCTAGAATAACACATGACCTTGAATATTGGATCAAGAATATTCTAGGCTCCAGAAGTCTTGGTTGGAGAGGGTAATTATACTTCTTCCATTGATATCTGGTCATTGGGTTGTACATTCTATGAAGTTTTTTCTAATGAACCATTACTACTAAAAGGTATAACTTTTTATTTCACGCTTAGCTAAAACTAACTTGGATGCATTTGATTTGATTCGTGATCATATTAAAAATTAGAACTACATTTATGGTAGAATTGCAGCATTAAAAATTTTATAGGAATGGAAAGATTTATTATAAGAAATGTTACATCCTGAACCAAATAAAAGAATTACTTCTGAGAACCTTGTCCTCAAAATTAAATCCTTGTTAAATGCACAGAGCAATCAATTTTTACCTCAAACTAGCATTGATACTCCTCAATATGGCATATTCAATCCTTAAGCAAATAATTGCTGCCAACAAAAGAAAGGGTTTCAGACAATATGTTTAAATTCTCCTGGGCAAAATAATGAGATGGTTCAATTTCGCTTATAAACTCCTAATCAAAATAACAATTAATAATGTAATTCTAGTGCTCCTACTACTGTTCCAAAAATACTACAAACTAATCCTTAAGGAATTATTCCAACAAATAATAACAATCAAATATAGAAATTTGAGTAAAATGCATTTTTCAATAACAAATAAAATGAAATGTATGAAATTTTAAATTAGAAAATTCAGAAACTCGAGAGTGAATTATAAAATGTAAAGGAAGAAATGGTATAATTAAAAAAGGAAGTATCAGTATTGAAGGATGAGAAAGGGTAACTATTAGAGCAGAATTATAAAATAAAAACATAAATAAATAAATTTGTATTTCTGCAATAAACTTCTCTTAATGAATTGAAACCATTCTTAACTTAGACTCAATAACAATGAAAAAATCAATATGAAATTATTAATAAAAATTTTGTTAAAATTTTATTTTCAAGTATGTAAGGGGTTTTAGCTTAGGAGTTTTCTAAAATTCAATCCAGCTATCTATTATGAATATATTTTTTGTAAATATTTAATTAATTTATAATGGATGAAAAAAATTTCTAATTACATCAATGCGTTGATTGGGAAAGGGAACTCTCCATTTTTATAAAAGGTTAATTAAAGTTCATACATGAATAATACTCCAATAATACTGATGACTGATATTCTATATCTAATCGAATGTTTTGAAGGGAATGGCCCAGAATGTTATGGAATGTATTTGAATATTTACAACAGTTTTTTAAGGAACTATCTTAAAAATCACTGAGTGGATTGATGGCAGTAAAAGTTGCATTAACCATACTTTTGGTTTTATATGAGTTTTAAATAGGAGAAATAGTAGCTGAGGAAATGATCTCAAGCAACCATAAACTGTAAGTAATTTAGACTCAGAGTCATGGGCAAATGTACAGAATTATTTGATGTACCTATTCAAGTTGGCTTAGAATGTAAAATTATTTTATTCTTGCAAAATTGGATAATACCAAACCTTTGATCAGTAGGTCACTTACACTTATTAGACCGAATCTACTTGGGAGAATCAAATACACTAGTTTAAAATCTTCAAGAAGCAACAAAACTTTAAAGTTACAAATCTACAATATCGAGAATATCAATAGAAGAAGCTAGAAAATCATTTATCCAACAAAACTGCATCTAGATTTTGAATTTGTGTATAGGTGTGTGTTAAATAGAAAAATAAGACATAAAAAACATATATGTTGAGATCAGTTGTGTCCTTTGGAATGATGCCATGCTTTAGAAGTATGTCTATAATAATATTAACGAATCTTAGATGTGCAAAATGCTTGATTCATTTCGATTCTTGCCACTTTAATAACTATAATCATTATAATAGGTATATTGGGCTACCACTAATTCTACAAAGAGTATTAAGTGGATTTATAATAATAGAAAGTACTTCGATAATTAAAATATTGTTAAGCAGCCATCTTGGTTTGAAGAGAATATTCAAATTAATAGAGAAATACAAAATAGTATAATTGATACATTTAAAATAACATTATTCCTAGCCTTTTCAAAAAGGTTACTTTCCTAATTATCCAGTCAAAGGCTGGCCAATATATTATTAGGCGTATTGATATCTTACTACAATACCCTGGATGATTTGTGTGAATTTAAAGCGCTAAATGTTCTTTAGTTTGGAGTTGAACAAGGAGAGTTGAATACATCCTATGAACAATTAAGAGGTATTTATCTAGAATGATCCTAACTATCTGATTATCTGAGTAACTTTAGTCCTAATGTGAGTTTTGAGAAAAAAACAGGAATTCTGAAAATCCAGAAAGACAGATTGGAAACATGATCGCCAAGAATTAAATCTAAGTTTTGTAGTCTCAAATTTTGGCCTTAGCCGAAGTTTGGAAATAATAATAATTAAGGGAAAAAGAAAGGTAAGGACAACAAAATGATCCTACAAAACCTTCTTTATCACTGCCTCCAAAATTTAGTCAATATATAAAATCATACAAGACCGGAGTAAATTAATATATGTATAAATGCAGATCATGTAGATAATTGAAATTGTAGACGCCTCAGAGTTCCTAAGTGAAATCTCCTTTGCAGATTCAATAACCATGTTCTGGAAGAATCTTGACTTAAAGGATCTAGCCCTTTTTTGTGGCTCATAAGAAACTACAGGAATCTATCTACTGAGATGAAAGATCAAAGTTAATAATAGAATAATTAAAAGAACACAAATATCAAGCAAGCTATGTATCCCATATTTTCATATGAGGAGATGCAATTGTCTCCAAAGATGTAACAATAACAGTTAATAAAATGATTAAAATACTCAATAAAGAAATTAATTATGAAAACAATCAGACATAATGCAATTATTCATATCTAATGTTAAATGAAATAAGAGGCGAGCAATCCTTGACCAACTTTCATTTCACTAAAGTTTCTTTCTTCGTTGGTGTCTTGTAATTGTTCCATAGTATTTTTGGATTCAAACAAAGACATGGTATCTTCAAGAGACCAAACTTTGATAAACTCGACATTGTTATTAAATTGTTCTTCTAATTCCTAGGGTATGTTTCTAACAGCATTCCTCATTTGAATTTGATTATTCCTTTTTTCAATTTTGATCATATTTTCAATCTCTATATTGTAAATCTCTTTTAGATACACAGCCCACTAATTATTCTCCAATTTGGATTTGATTTCTTTGATTTAATGGATATTCGAATTGGATTTGTAAGAAGACATAACCTATTAACTATACACACTGGTTAATTGAGTAATCTAGCTAACTCTAGTGCTTGAAGTGAAGGTAGAGAGCATTCTCATTTTATTGTAATCTACTTCAAGTATACTCTATTACTTGGCAGATTAATATTGATAATATGAAACCTACTTAATGACTGATTGTTGTGGATGACTGATGTGTTAAGTTTATACATTTTATGCATTCTGTTCTCTTAAGATTTCACAAATGTTATTTTCTAAAAATTAATCTTCTCTTTCGATTCTTAATGTATTATCATCTGGTTCATTTAATTGTAATGATTGAACATTTCGTCCTATGATTTTAGATTCAAGAATGTTATCCTCAAAATTATGATTAGTCTAGTCTGCGATGTCTTAGCAAGAGAGTACATGTTATCTGAGATTGATTTTCACTTTATCATACAGAAACTCTATTCCTTTGGGTAACAAACACACTTGTACAGTCCATTGATTCAGGATTTCCTGCATGTATTTGGAATCGGCTTTGCAATATGATATAAGATATGAATACCTATGATATAATTTTTGAACACTTGATAGTCGTTGGATAACTGTTCCGAAGCCTTTTAATAGAATTCGTTGGCTTATGAGATTACAATATTCAGTATCTTTCCATAAAGAGATCCCACTTTAACATTTGAATGGCCAATCCAATTGATGCTTTATTCGTGTAATGATAAATCCAAAATATTGGATGTAAATTTATTTAATAGGTAATTAACTGCACTTGAACAGTATTTAAAATAGTCGTCATCATTGAATTTTTAACCAATAACTTACTGTTCATTTGTAAAATGATCTTTCATAAAGAACCCTAATAAGATCATTCTTTTTTATTTCAAGAGGGTTTCATATGAGAGAAACAATTCATTCTCAATGGGATCCACTTGTGAGTTTCTAGTACCTTTAATAACAATCTAAGACCACAATCTTGCAAGAGCACTAGTGAATGTGACTTTAGGGAAAGAAGTAGTAAAATATACCTCAAATAGCAAGTCGATTTTGTTGAATATTTTCTTCAAGGCTCTATTCAAGGCCCACATCATGCCAATATAGGATTCCCATAAAATAGTGTACATATTGAGAAACATGGCTGGATTTTTTTCCATTTTTGTAATCATCAACACATTTCTACTAAATAGACACCTTTGATAAATGAAGTTGAATATTTAAAGCAGAAATCTCAATAAAAGGGGTATGTTTTCAGAATCCAATATGGTGGGGTCCTTAAGAAAGTTATCGATTACAACCCATCTCAATTCAAACAATAGTTAGGTGTGTTTCATGTTGGTGACATCAAATTTATGCAAGCAATCCTAATATAGTTTTTCTGTTAATTCATCAAGAGAGGGAACTTTTTCAACAATCGTATAATCGTTGGTTCTTTAGGCCAACTCCAATTGAAACCAGCTGGTTGTGCATTACTTGAGAATATCATCTGTCAACAAAGGGATGGGCATTACTGGATTACGACAGATTTCCAAGATCCTATCAACCAGTGGATAATTAATTTTGAAGGTCTTTTAGATGTCATCTTCTGTGATTCTCATTTATTGTCTAATTGATAATCATTAAGTGATACATGCTTCTCTGGAAACTCAGGTATATCCTGATCCAGGATTCGTCTTAGTTGGTTTCGATACATAACAATTAAGAGTGGTATACGGAAAGAAATCTCTAATGCAATCCATATTCTACAAAACATCGGAGCTGCAGCTTTCGTAAATAGAATTAAGTGAGATAGTTTGAATAGATGCTGCTGCTCATTTCAACCATGAATTTTAGTTTTTTGTTCACTAGTTTAAGTTATAAGCATTCTCGAATCGTCAAGAAATTTAAGAAATACTGTAGGATTTTAATGGGATAATTAGGCATCTCTTCCTCACTCATCTTTCTAAAATATCTGCATTTCATAATACGTCAGGATATCTTGACTTTATAATTTCATGCTTTCAGCTAGGCTTTTTCCTAACTTTGAACTCTCTTTTGATTCTTTTGATGTCAATTGACTCATACACATTCCAATCAGATAATCTCGTTTTCTGAGTTTCTTCTTTTCCTATTACGCCTATTGTTGACTCTAGTTTGCTCCCATTTAATTTAATTGATTGTATTATATAACTATCTATTTAAATACTGTTAACTCTAAAATCCATATGGAAAACCTTTAACAAAACAATATTATTATCTTCCCAATACTCAATCCTTATTTACTAACAATAGAGTATATATTTAATTTTATAATCAATAAATGGATCAAGTCGATATGATAAATGATGAAGAGTAATCACCACTTCACATTAAACGAGAACTGGATATCGATATACCATACAGAGTGGCATTCCCGATCTGTTACAATCAATAATAGAAGGACACTCCAAAAACAGCCATGAGAACAATTGAACATTTGGAAATTGATGAAGTGCAAATACAAACAGAAACCACTCCAAAAACTCAAATTGACATCTCCTCTCCTCGAGTTCTCTTCTTGACTCATTCTTAAATTATGGGCTTGAATCAAGAAGAAGATGAAGTGCCTTTTAACAGATCTGCCTTGAACAATCCCCTTTCTGAAATTCCTGAGGAACTCACGCCCAGTAATTTACCTAATGTATTTGAATTCAGTCTATTTCAAGCAATCTAAGGTATCCAATCAGGATCTCATCATTGAAAATATGAGTATAGTTAATAGTTAGTAGTTGAAATTTAGTAAGAAATCTTCAGAAACTTAAGTCATATCGAATGTCAATATGGATGGTAGCAAATTGAAAGAAGAAGTATGTTCATCATCACCTAACAATAGTTAAAAGAACAAATAAGTATTTTGGAAAGTAAAATCCAAGAATTAGAAAAAGAAAATTTCATTCTTAAAAAGAGATCGAATCAAGAGAAAGTCAGATATATTGAGTTGTAAATGGAAACTGAATATAGGATTGCCTCATTGAATGAATAATTTCAAGATTAGGAGATTAATTATAAAAAATAGATAGCCATCCTCAAAAATGATCTCAATACTGCCAAATTATAAATCAATATAATCAAATAATAGATTCCCCATCATGATAACCAAGGGTTATAATTGTCTTAATCCTAAATTCAATTCCCATACCATTCCTCTTAACAATAACCCTATCAACATTATAATAAGCAATCCACCTTATCCTAGTCATTTACTGAATAACTAAGCAAACACTCAAAAGATCTATGTCTTACTTAAATATAACATGACGTTGTCAACTCTAAATTGATCAAAATTATCAAGAAGATTGATTAGCAGATTGAAATTAACAAAATTGATTTATTTGATCTCCTTTAAATACTAGAAGAAAAAGTCAACTAGATGATGAATATTGAAGAAGAGGAAAAAATGGATGAACATCGAACCTTGCTGTCCACATTGAAAACAGAATTGGGACAAATCAAATAAATCAGAGGTTAATTATCCAGAATATTCTATGATCATAATCAATTTATTCATAAGAAAAGTAGCGATAACTAGAACGACTAGAGGATTAATGACTTGAATCTCTAAATCTTAGGATTTAAGTAAGAGAAATTAGAGTTAATTGAATTGACCTAAAAACAATAGATTGAAATCAATTAGCAGAATCAACTAATTGTTGAATTGCAACAGAAACTAAGTAAGATGTTCATTTATATATAAAATTAGATAATTCATCATAAACAGACACTCAAAGAATCCAGTCCTAATTTATTCGTTCACTCCAAACCAACTCTGTGGCTGACATCAAGAATATCAAGGAATAAGTTAAACAACGATAGGAGAGTATCAAGTAATAATTATAAATTAAAAATCATTAGAAAAAACTTTAAATCCCAAAACTCTCCTTAGAGCAGATCTGAGAATGCCTCCCCACAATTGAAATTCCTTAATTCTCCAAAGTACATATTTATTTGACATTAGAAATTCGAAACACTCCTCCACCTATTAAAAACAGCAATAGAATGATAAAAAATACCAATTTTATAATCGAACCTCGGACTTCAGTGTTGATAATAACAATTCAACTCATTAAGCAACTACCCAGAATATTAACAATAGCATGCATTCGAGTGGCGAGATCATCTAGAAACTAGTTGATCAATTCAGAGGAAATTCGATATTAGCATAAAAAATCTCAGGCTATTCAAAAAAGAATTGAAACATATATCTAAAATTTTTGTCTACTAATTTGTACATTGCCTTTATCCATCGATAGAATTATTTATATAAGTTTATTTTTATATTAAATTATAAATAAAATGAAAAGATCAATCTAGATATTGCCGATGAATATCCCTGGCAGAGAGGCTCCCATAGTATTGGAAATAAATGACACTGATTTATTCCATTTCCAAGCCAAAAAAAAGGTTGCTGGTAATTTAATTGATATATCAATAAGATTAGGTAAAGAATTAAAGTCCAGATGAATTCGTGTTTTATTCAAGAAGTAAGAATTTAGTTGTCCATGAAGACGATAGAGTATCAAAGTAAAATTTGTGTATTGATCATTTAGACTCTTCTTAAACAAAGAACAAAATGAAATCGAATTGTATTTGACATCCAATTTAATCAAGAAGACTGTGTTAGGAGAATAAGGCAACGAATAAGTAGGGGGACAGTTTCAGAATAAGTAGGAAAATGAAATCTAGGAATTGAAAAAAGAAAATAAAATTCTATAAGCCAAACTTCAAGAATACAAATCTGGCAATAAAATTTCATTCCATGAAAACTAGGAGACTGAACTCCAAAATTAATTAGAATAAATGAAAAAGGAGTTTGACTACAGATTAAATGTAGAGGAAGAACACAGAGCTAATATAATTTAAAAGTATAATGAGAGCTAGAATGCCTAGACCTTATTAAAGAAAGAACTTATGTAAAAAGAAAAATAAATTGATGACTTAAAATATCAATAAAGGCTTCTAGAGGCAGAAAAGAAGTTCTTGGAAGAGTAACATCAAAAGGAAATTTAAGAAAGAATTAAATCACAAGGCGGCAACAATTAAAATAATAATCAATTAGTTGAAGTTAAGTTTGATTTTGAAAAATTAAAGGCACTATACTCAGAGGAATAGTTTGAAAGAATCAAAGACAAAGAAATTATATCTTAACAGAAAAAGCAATTACAAAAGATTGAAAACAATTTTCTGAAAAAGAGTGAGGAATTTCGTGAAGGAAGATCTCTTTAATAATTGGAAATATCAAAGTTGAACGATTAATTAATAAGTGTTAATGAATAATGTTATAATTATAGAAATGAAATTGGAAAATAAAAAAAGGAAATTGATCATCTCGCTTAAACCTTAGAGTTAAGTAAAAAAAAAATTGGTTAATTGGAGAAAGAATTGAATCTCAGTTATGCAGAAATCAGTAACTTAAAGAAAAGTGAAGAAGAGAAAGTAACAGAAATCAAAAGGAAAGAAGTACTTGTAAATGAAATTAAAAATTCAAAAGACGTATAATAAACTATCACGGTTAATTTAGAGCAAGAAAAATCAGATTTACAAAAATAATTACAAACAAAAACAGATCGGTGCAGATAGTTAGAAGCAGATAATGCACTTAAATCAGCTTAAATTAAAAATTTAGAAAGTAGAGTATAAGATGAAATTGATGCAAAAAAAAAAATCACCGAGATGGCAAAATAGGAAATGGAGAACTTACTGAATCGTTTGGTAATAGAATAGGATAAGTTAAAAGCTGAACAGTAAGCTAAAAATTTAATCGTCAAAAGAATCAAAGATAATGCTATATTAAAAGCAAAAGACGAAAAGATTATTTCACCAACCGAGGCCCTTATGAGAAATATACCAAATCCTCAATAATTTTTACAGATTGAGAATATGATGACTAAAGATGTAATTGCTCAAGTTTCAATAATTAAAGTGGATAAAAAAAAAGCAATAGAGAGCTTAACTAAGTAAGATCCTAATATTACGTAATTTGTAAAACCAGAACCTGTAGGAAATTGGGAAATCAAATAAAGTATAGCAATTGTAATCATTAAATTAATTATCTTAGAATGGAGATGGTACTAAACGAAAAGGATTTCTGATGAAAATTATTAAAAGTGACGGAAATCTTTATAATAATTAGGTTTTCTTAATTAAATAATTGACTGGGTTTGAGAAAATAGTTTCTGTTGACAAGGCTCTTTATGTTGCTAAAAATACCTTAATAGCTAAAGTATTAGCCGAGAATTTTTAAGACAGAATTCATGGAGTTTCCAAAATATTCCCATAGAGATTTTCTTACAACGAACTCTTTTTATTAAATATAGAAGATAGTATGAAAACAATTGATTACATTTTTAGACTATTATATTGCTGAACATGTGGAACAAGGATAGTTTATCAAATTCAATGGAAAAGGCGAATCTAACCTTTCAGACAAAGAATAATATATAAAAAGTTATTTTTATGCTTTTTCAATTTTCACTTACATGGCGACTCAAAAAATGTTAATGGTGACAAATATCCAAGGATTCTAAATAGGTTTAGAATACATATTGTGTGACCCAATCGTCTCTTCGCCTGAGGGTATAATGGGAGATGAGGATTTAGCTGAAGAACATATCTTAGAATTTGAAAAAACCTACTTGAGTAACCCAAAAAAATATGGGAAAGAGTTTTTATCAATTTTGGGATATTGAATTTAAATAGATCATGAAGATGGATCAAAATTATTATAAAAATATTTATTATATAAATTAAGTAACTTTAAAGAGGAAAATCATTTCTTATTTCTTTGAAAAACTTAATTAAAGAGTAGAAAATAAAATAATAAAAGTTACAAATGTCTTTAGAATTTGATATATGTAAATTCATTTGTATTCTTAAAGAACTCCATAAAAATAGTAAATTAAATTTCAAAGTTTACTTAACTGTATAAAAAATAATTAATAAAACACTAAAAGATATCACATTTCTCAAGTAAATCTTCAATTTACTTTCAAGGAAATAAAGAGTGATTAATTCCTAAGGATCTATCTTAGACATAAAAAGATTGTCTAATGAGGGGTTTCATAAGTAAATAATAATAAAATTTTTTTCTTAATAATGTTATTTCTTATAATACTTTATATATATCTAGATGATATGAAAGTAATAAAAAATAAATTATTTTAATTTTCTGTAAAGAAGTATTTCAATTAAATGTACAAATTATTACGTGACAAATATTAATCAACACTAATGCCCTAATTTGTGCTTGTGACTAGGGTTATGAAAATGATAATTTAAGTAGAGATTATACTTATTAATAATATATAATTATTTAAACAAAAAAGTTTATTTTTTCTGGTTGGATTAATAATAATGATAACTTTATTTATTAAATTCAAAAAAAAGTTATTTTGGAATGAGTAGATAATGTTAAGGCTACAAAAAAATTTGGAGTAAGTATCTTGTCTTTAATGAACATTATAATTATGGTGGATTACATGAACTAAAATGAAAGAGAACCTCGATATTTAGTAGTTGGTTTACCTAGTTTTAAGGTATTAATTACCTTCTCTAATTAATTAATATTTTGAATCCCATCATTTTTGGGTACGACTTAACAACAATAATATACTTCAGAATGATTAGTTAAGGAAATAATTAAGAAGTTGATCCACAATAAGATCTAAAACACCACAATAAAAAGTATTGGAGCTCTGAAGAAGATACAAAATTGTTCTCTGCTGTAATTTTGCATGGATCTAATTGGAAGGTCATTGCAGAATATCTATCTGGGAGAAATGCCTCACAGTGCGCATAAAGATGGAAGAGAATCAAGCCTAAAGAAGTAAATACATATATTAAATATAATAGAATGAAAGAAATTAGAAGTGGAGTAAAGAAGAAGACGAAGAAGTACTGAGACTTACCAAGAATTACTAGTACAATTGGAGAGCAATCGCTCATCATATCCCAAATAGAACTGGTAGATAAATTAGAGAGAGATTTGTCAACCATTTAGATCCTAGTATTATTAAATCACCTTGGACTGAAGAAGAAGATAAATGGATCTGGAATATGTATTAGAATATCGGTACGAAATGGTCAGATATGTCCAAAAAGATGCCAGGAAGACCTGTAAGCATAAATTTTATACTAAATTTAGGAAAATATGATAAAAAACAGATTTTATTCCTATATTCGAAAATAATATGGGAAAATACAAAACCCTTATTATGTAGTACCAAACAATGTGAGAGTCTTAGAGAAGGATTCGATGAGGAAGAGTAAGATCATAAGAAAAATGAGAATGTTTAGGAGGTTTTGTTAATAAAAAAATAAACAAGAGATTAACAAAACTAAAGATTAATAATAAAATTAGAATGAATTAAAAGTTGAATAGGATTAATATCTAATAAGGAAAGACCTCCTTAGATATGGGTATCAATAATAATTACCCTAATCTTACTATCCAATAATGCCAAGAGAATTTTAATAATTACAATTCCCTCAAATTATTTATCCTTACTAATTTGTATCAACTTCTAATATTGGATCTGACTTTTACGGCTTAATAAACTAATAAGATATGTTGAATTGCCAAAAAGAATAGATAAATTAGTCAACATTTTCTGAAATAAGCAAGTCGTAGAATAATGAAATGACAGCCTTACCAACTTTGAATCTTTCACTTATTGGATTTTAATAAATTTAACAACATTAAATAGTAACTAAAGAAGAAGAACAAGATAATGAAAATCCATAGACGTAGAAAAAGTTACTTGATACAACATACCCTCTTTAAATTAGACCTGATATAATAGAAGAGTTAAACAAAAAGAATAAAGAAGCTTAAATTAAATAATGAATAAATATATATATATCGATTTTGGTATCTTGTAAAAATCATATGCCCACTTTTGATTTAACGTATTATTCAAAACTTGGTTAAGTTAATAAGCCTAGTGCTTACTTACTGATTTCAATTTCTTTATTGTATTCAGCAACAGTTCTGTTGTAGAGATCAGTTTCTGCAGCATAGTTATCATTTTCCGCCTGTAATTGAGCTTACAGAGTAGCTCTATCATCTTTCCTTTATCCAACATACACAATGGTTTCTCCTAGTTTTTCTATTATATTAAACAAATAGGTTACATTCATTTGCAGCGATTTCTGAATTTTTGATAAGAACTGCTCTTTGGAATTCAGCAAATTCCTTTTCTAATTAAGCAACTCTTTCGCCGAATTTAGATTCAGCAGCACTTTCATCAGCAGTTTCTTGATTTAAAGTGTCGACAAATTGAACTCTTAGTTCATTGAAAATTTTGACCAATTATTACACAGATCCTTGATCAGCAAAGTTTTGTTCAGTTGCCAATTCAAGTAAAGCTTTAATGATGGGAGCAAATGATGAGTGATTTTAGAAAGATGTTTAGATTCTACCCAAGTTCGATTAAACTCTCTTGAATTATACAAGAGATGGGTTAGTAATCTAAGATAAAAGTCCTAAAGATTCATCAACAGCACCAATGGCTTCATTGATTTCAGCAATGTTTGATAAGAATTATTCGTGCTATTTCTTTCTATTGACTGTTTCTTAATCAAGTATTCTTCTATTTTCTTCAATATTGGTTTTCAATTAAGCCAAGGCATCTTGGAATCTTTGCTTTTAAGGAATGAGAACATTATCGATGAAATCTTCACCATTGAAAATGTCTAATATTATTATAAATGATAACCTCTATCAGCATCTTAAATTTCTTATTCATATCTTGTTACATCTCTATTGTGTTCATCTGTTCTTCTAGAATATGCGTGATTAATATCATCTAATTCTTCTTCTAATTAGTCAATCAATTAATTGATAGCTTCAACCAATTCTGTCAAAGCACCTCCACTCCCCAATTCTACTTCTGCAAACTCCAAAATAAAAGAAGCCCATTTAGATTCTCTCAATTTACTCATCACTTCTTCTTAGTGTCTTTCCATATTGAGTTCTACACTCAATACACTCAATACTAAACACACCAATATTCCTGTTCTCATTTATTTTAAATAATAAAAACGACTATTCACAATTATTCATTAAATGTGATTAATCATTTATTTCAATCTTTGTAACCAATAAATATATTCTCTACTATTGTTTAATATAGTTTAAATCCATAGTCCTACATATTCAAGTCTCTGTCTTGAAATCTTCAATCCATTACAATCAATCTAACTTCAAATCTTAAAAATCTATTTGTAAAACATTGCCAAATTTCACTCTTAGAGATATAACCATTAGTTATTATCCCAAATTCTCTACCCATACTATTCCTTTCTTAAATATAAATTATATTCATTGTTTTCAGAGTACTTTCTACATTCTCAGATAAATTCCTTTTTATAAGTCATAAATTGATTTGACTTCATATTAATTATAATAATAAATAGAAATCATGACATTAATTAACAGTTATTTCAATAAACAATTATAAATTGAATTACATCATTATTTTGAAAATACATGATTTTACTTTTAAATTATTACTCTCTTCTTTTATGTTATTATTCAGGGAACAGAAAAGTAATTAAGGACTATTAAAATATGTATTTATATTAAGTGATCTCAAGATAATAAAAGTAATTAATAATTATAACTAAAGAAATAGAAATAATTAAAACCAGTAGTATGATTAATTTTGAATTATATTTTAGCAAACAGACCATTAGTTACCCATAGAATTGATTTCTCTGAATAACTTATAATTAAAATATAAATAATTAGACTAAATAGTTGGAAAATAATATTAAATCATATATAGAATAGTAATAAAAAAGTATTGTTACTTATATTTGAGTATAAAGCTTCATATAGATTGATATATATACGAAAATTTCAGGATTAAACAATTAAATAACATTTCTTTAAACATTTATCAATAAAAAAATCAAATAACTCATATTTGCTCATCATTAATAATAATTGTTTTTTAATAAACTTATGAAATATGATAATAAAAGGAATATCCTCTATGAGTCTAATATTTAATAGAAAAAGGTGTGAAACAATATTTATGAAACAGAGCATGTAAATGTACCATATAAATATAATTAATCTTAAAATAGTTTATATAATTTTCATAATTAAATAAAATTTGACATCTCTAAATGAGCAATGCATTTAAATAGGCTGGAAACACTCTCTCAAAGGGTAATGATTTAGGATAGACTGGACAGAGCTTCGCAGGATCTCAGAATCCAGCATCCTTGAAAGGGAAGCTAATGAGCTTAGAAGTAATGAAACTGATACCATGTTTTATAATAGGAGACAATCAAAGGCATTTAAGATGAGATGAACTTCCATAAGAAAGAAGTCTAAATCTTAAAATCTGAGAAAGACACACTTGAATCAGTTTTAAGTATGAAAACCCAGGATGTCAAAAAAACATTAACCAATGAATTAATGAGAATTGAAGAGGAAATGAAACGGTATCACAATTTAATAAAGTAGACATTTCGCCCATCAAAAAGCAGAGAATTCTAGATTATAATAATAAATTACTGCTCTCAAAGGAGAAAAAACTGCTCTTCAATAATAACTACTTGGGCTTTAAAGAAGAATCGCAGAACTAGAACTCCAAGTGGGATAAGAGTAGGCATGATTATCTGTCATTATCATAATATATACATTTTTATAATCTAAGAATATTTCCAGAGAGAGAATTAGAATGTATAAATATTTATATTATGATATCATATGATCAATATCTAAAATTCTTATCAATTTAGATGCAGGCATCTTCCAATAATTTCAACAACGCTTCAGTGGTACTTTCTCTTTCCCTCCTTTCAAAGTTGATGTCTTATTATAATTTACCATGCACATCTTCAATCATTCTGAAGATCTTTCCCTAGGTTTCCTCTCTAACTTTCTTCTCAATCAACAATTGATCTGAGAACTTATTAATTTCTAAATCAATTTAATCACCCAAACTTTCTGACGATTCTTCTCTAAAGATATCAAACAGAAATCAAGTACCTTGATCTTCTCTCCTAATCCAATTAATTTTTAACCAATTATATTTATTAAAGCACTTCTGCAATTTTAGCTTAACTTCTGTCTTCATATTAGTGATTATTTCTAGTTATTGTCAATGTGATCTAAGTGAATCTCTCATCAATTTGTTTTTGCAATTTAGTTTCCCCTTACGCTCTAATATTTCTCTCCTAATCAAATGATAGAGCTATATTGTCTGATAGAGTTCTAAAGTCTCTCTCCTTCTTATCATCAAAAGCCTAAAGGCTACAAGTGTATTATTACTTCTCTTTCTGCCTTTTGGTTATGGGCATAATCTTATAATTTAAGGACTTGATCCTTCAAAACCTTGAATTTCTATTCGTCTTTTGGCTTTTCAGAAGAGAGAACATCTTCAATAATTTTAATTCTTTCCTCTAAGACTTCTCTCTTCTCCAATTTATCCTTATCTATTCCGTTCTAGATATGATTCCATTTATCAGAAAGATGCTTAATCCTTTGTCTAGAAGGTGAATCAAGATCTTAATTCAAATAATTAACTGTTGATCTTTAGGGACTAGACAATTATGACCTTTGAAGTTTTGATGTTGATAGCTTTGAAGTTGACAATAACATACAATGATATTTTGCAAAATAAATTTATTTCTGTATATAATACCTCAATACTTTTATTGATTTTATATCCTTCAGTTATTTGACCAGGTATTATTTATGAATTCATAACATAAATTTGTTTTTAGAGTAAAATATTCATATTTATTATAACTAGTTAATCTTCATTTAATATTTCCTCTAAAACAAAATGTAATAGACTTAATAAAATTGGTAAGGAAAACAAATAAATGCAGCAACATTAGACAATCCTAACAGAAACTATAAAATAGAAAGTGTCTTAGGATCAGGCTCCTAAGGCTCAGTCTATTTAGGCAAACATATTATTAACAATTTCTAACAAAATAATGTTGCAATGAAAATCCAATCATATATGAGTGAATAAGAAATTCAATTTTTAAAGAGCTTAATTCTCTATCAAAAACAATATGAAGGCAACAAACAGAATGCACAAAGTTATAATCCTTCATAGATAGTGAGAATATTTGACTTCTTTCAGTATAATGAATTTTGGATTTTAGTTATGGAATTAGGCACATAAGACCTTTACAAATTTATTTAATAGAAACAATAGCTCCCAATTTAATAATTAGGATAGGTTCTAAAATAAGTAACATTTATTTCAAATTAAAATAGATTACAAAATCTATTGCATTTTTACACGATAACTAACTTATACATCGAGACATTAAGCCAGAAAATTACATTTTAATTGGGGATGAATATAAATTAATTGATTTTGGTTTGGTCACCACTCAGTTTAGATAGAAAACTACTAATGTTGGAACTGTGTTATATTAAGCTCCTGAACTTATCACTAACTAAAATAATTACACATAAACTATTGATATATGGTCCTTAGGTTGTTTATTTTATGAGATACTTTCTGGATAACCTTTGATATAAGGAATAAATTAAGACTAAGTCTAAAAAATGATTTTGGCTCATAAACAAGATTGTACTGCTATCAATCTAAGAATAAATTCATTAAGTTGCAATAAAGAGATAAAAGATATGATTGTTCGTATGCTTGATCCTAATCCTGAAAATCGATTACAATGTCAATAAATTATGGAAATATTAGATTCCAAATTTTCCTTATAGAAATTTCCAATAATTAACAATTTTCCACCACAAGTAAATATTCTGAAAGCCTAAAATAATTAACTCCCAATCATTCAATACTAACAAATACCTTAACAATAACAAGGTATTGTAATGCAATTTAATCAATAAAATTAATAATCAAACTCACAATCACTAGTGGAAATATAAAAATAACTGGCATAATAGTAAACCTTATTAGAAAGCATAACAACTAATTTTACTCTCCTTAGTGCATTTTTATAGGATTCAAAAAAAATGATGAATGAAGTTTAAAAAGAGTAAGGATAATAGAAAATAGAAATTAATCAAATAAAAAATGGCTTAAAGGCTGAAATTCAAAATATTTTAGTTGAAAAATTAGAGCCTTATTAAAATAATACCTGTTCTAAATTAGATAAATTATTCGAAGAACAAAAAACAATAATGATTGATTAATAACAATAGTTACTTGTTTAAAACAAAGATATCATGACATTAATTTAATAGTCTATTACTAATAAATTATAGGATCAAGAGGAATTTTAAAAAATCCTAAAAGAATCTTTTAATAATCAAGAATAATTAAAATAACTAACTTAAGAATCTTTCGATAAGCAAGAATAATAAATAACAATAATTAAAAAATCTTTGGAGGAAAACTCTAAAGAACTAAAAGAATTTTATGAAAAATTAAACAATTATTATCATTAAATTTAAAAAGAAAAATAATAAAATACAACCAAACTTCTACCAAATAAGAATCCAGATAATTTTTAACAGCAATCTGAAAAAATAAACTAAAAGAATTCAAATTAATAATAAAATCAAAATAATCAACCACCTATATGCAATAATGATCAAAAGATTTATGATGGATAGTTTTTAAAAAATGCTTTAATAACAAAAAAAAAAAAAAAGTCAAACGAGTAATAAAGGTTGCTAACAGATAAAATCCAATTAATAAAAGTACAATATAACTCATGAAGAAAAGTATAATAATTAAAATGATTCTGAATAGAATTGAAAAGATTTTAATAAAATTATATTTTTGAAAAAAATTTGCAATACATCATATAAATTTTAATTTATAAATCATACTATTGATAATAACTGTGATTAAGAAATTCAAATATGGTATATAACTTGCCACAAACAATGTATATTAACAAAAATTCAGTCAATAATAATATCAAAACAAAAATTTTGATTTAAATATATAAACTGAAAGAAAGCTCGCAGCCACAGACGTAGCATAGATCATCACTCTCAATTATTTTTCTTTGTCAAACATATATTCAAACTATTTCTTGAATCCGATTAAAAAGCCTGGCCTATTTATTAATGATATTTAATAGTTACCCGAAAATTGGAATAATACTTCCTAAGCTATATGTAAGAGCGAAACTTGTTTGACTGTCACACAAAATTTCAAAAAAGCATCCAAAACTTATTATTTGGAGAAGGTAACCTAATAAATTAAAAAATATCTTTAACCTAAAATACAACAAGATACTAATCCCATTTACTTTTAATCCTAAGAGAGTGAAGGGAAGAGACTTTCATTTTCTGAATTGAAAGGTCCGTGAATTTCAAATCACAGTATCATTTTTAATTTATGTAAATTAATATCAAGCTTTTAACAAAATCAGGGTGCAGTTTGTGTTAGAAACCAGTTTTCATTCTCAAAAGATTGAAAAATCATTATGAAAATCATCTAAGAATATTATCTATTAATATCGATAACAGAAAAGAATATGAATAATACATAAACAAAGTGCCTGTAATTTTAATCAATGAGAAGCCGATTTGTGAAATGAAAATATATGAGAGCTTGATTAGATCAGAAATAGAGAATATACTATTAAAAAATGAATTATTATGAATACAATAATTGTAGAATCTATAGTAATTCTTTGCTTTCAGAAGTAAAATTCCAAATTCGTTGTGTTTATACAATAATATTTTCAGACTTAATCGATCAAATTTAAACCTATCTCAACAATCACGATTAATTATATTTGTTAAATTATCCAATTTTATTGGATTCTCAAACATTCCTAATGAATTTAGNTAAGAATCCAGATAATTTTTAACAGCAATCTGAAAAAATAAACTAAAAGAATTCAAATTAATAATAAAATCAAAATAATCAACCACCTATATGCAATAATGATCAAAAGATTTATGATGGATAGTTTTTAAAAAATGCTTTAATAACAAAAAAAAAAAAAAGTCAAACGAGTAATAAAGGTTGCTAACAGATAAAATCCAATTAATAAAAGTACAATATAACTCATGAAGAAAAGTATAATAATTAAAATGATTCTGAATAGAATTGAAAAGATTTTAATAAAATTATATTTTTGAAAAAAATTTGCAATACATCATATAAATTTTAATTTATAAATCATACTATTGATAATAACTGTGATTAAGAAATTCAAATATGGTATATAACTTGCCACAAACAATGTATATTAACAAAAATTCAGTCAATAATAATATCAAAACAAAAATTTTGATTTAAATATATAAACTGAAAGAAAGCTCGCAGCCACAGACGTAGCATAGATCATCACTCTCAATTATTTTTCTTTGTCAAACATATATTCAAACTATTTCTTGAATCCGATTAAAAAGCCTGGCCTATTTATTAATGATATTTAATAGTTACCCGAAAATTGGAATAATACTTCCTAAGCTATATGTAAGAGCGAAACTTGTTTGACTGTCACACAAAATTTCAAAAAAGCATCCAAAACTTATTATTTGGAGAAGGTAACCTAATAAATTAAAAAATATCTTTAACCTAAAATACAACAAGATACTAATCCCATTTACTTTTAATCCTAAGAGAGTGAAGGGAAGAGACTTTCATTTTCTGAATTGAAAGGTCCGTGAATTTCAAATCACAGTATCATTTTTAATTTATGTAAATTAATATCAAGCTTTTAACAAAATCAGGGTGCAGTTTGTGTTAGAAACCAGTTTTCATTCTCAAAAGATTGAAAAATCATTATGAAAATCATCTAAGAATATTATCTATTAATATCGATAACAGAAAAGAATATGAATAATACATAAACAAAGTGCCTGTAATTTTAATCAATGAGAAGCCGATTTGTGAAATGAAAATATATGAGAGCTTGATTAGATCAGAAATAGAGAATATACTATTAAAAAATGAATTATTATGAATACAATAATTGTAGAATCTATAGTAATTCTTTGCTTTCAGAAGTAAAATTCCAAATTCGTTGTGTTTATACAATAATATTTTCAGACTTAATCGATCAAATTTAAACCTATCTCAACAATCACGATTAATTATATTTGTTAAATTATCCAATTTTATTGGATTCTCAAACATTCCTAATGAATTTAGAATAATACAACAATATGAATTAAATTAAGAAATATTTACAAAAAATGAATAGATTATATTCATTAATACTTTTTTTTAAGTTCTTCATATTTCTATAAATCCTATTCGCTCACAGAAGGTCTAATGCTTTTCAAAGCTTCTCTTAAATCTTCAATAGCTAATTCCATCTCATTCAAGCCACTCTAAATAGTTCTTTTGGTAGCATAGATAGTAGCTTAACTTACTAACCCATAAAAGTCGGCTCCGGTCATATTATTTGGTATTTCATCAATAATCTCATCAAATTTATCACTTTTCGTGAGTGCTCTTAAAATTTTAATCCTACTTTCCTTATCAGTTTTAATGCCTAGATACATTAATTTATCAAATCTTCCAGGTCTCAACAATGCAGGATCCAATAAATCTGGTCTATTTGTAGCCCCAATAATAAATATTCCATCTAATAAATTATCAATTTCTGTTAACAATTAGGCAACAATTCTATCCATAACTTAATTAGAATCACTCTGATTTCCCCTTGCTGGAGCCAAGGCATCCAATTCATCAAAAAATACAAGAGATGGTGCATTATCCTTGGCTCTTTTGAACAGATCTCTAATATTAGATTCACTCTGACCAATATATTAGTTCAACATTTCAGGTCCTTTAACAGATATAAAATTCATTTTCATTTCACATGCAATGCATTTGGCCAATAGAGTTTTACCTGTTCCAGGAGGACCAAAAAATAAGATACCTCTTCTTGGTTTTACAAGTTCATCAAATAATTCAGGATACATTTGTGGCAAGATAATGGTTTTGGCAACTTCTTTGATGGCTCCTTCCATTCCACCAACATCATCCATCTTGGTCTTAGATGAAATTGTTTAAGCTATTACTTTAAATTTATTATTACTTTTTAATTTAGACTCTAGTTCCTTTACAAAATTCTATTTATTTTGGATAATCTCTTTTTCAAGCACTCTCCAAGTGGTTTCCCTTAATAATTGTGATATTTCGTCTTCAGTCTATTCTAATTGATAAAATTCGATTAACTATTTTGATACATTGGTTTATGGGTAAAATCTGATATAGAAATCAACGAATGACTTTATAATAGGGTAATTGCTAAAGTCTTCATTACATAATATTAAGATCACATTTTTTAGTTTCTTTATTTTTTTAATAATCTTAATCATTTCATTGCTGATATCATCCTTGCTCACATGTTATTTGTTGAGTAACAATACCTGTTCAATTTTTGAAAAATTCCTTAACAAAAGTATGCAAGGAGAGTCTTAAATTTTCAACACCAATTTCTCTGTAAATCTTAACGTACTAATCATACCAAAATCTTTTTCAAAATACAATATTCCATTTTAATTTGCTATTTACTTCAATAACAATCTCTTTCCTAAGCTAAACTATATAAAATGTAAATCCTTACTTCTTTCGACTTTCAACTCCGATTGATATTGACTTTTGAAGTCTTATGATGTTGTTGATTTACTTTCTGAAATGTTCATATTCTCCTAATTGATAAACTATATCTTAGAATTTCAAATCAAGGGTTGATTTTGTTACATGTGAATAAGAATATTCTTCTTGGAATTTGATATTAGCAACCTTAAAATCAAGAATGTACCAATCAGCTTATTTGTCGGCTTAAATCTTTTCAATTTGAATGTAGACATATTGATCTCTTAATAAATTATTCAATTGACAACAATTTGTAATTTTGGATCTGCACTTAGAGGATATATCGCAATTCTAGAGTCTATATTGAGATAATGCAATACTATAATCTTTAAAGCAGTTGACCGTCCTGTAATGTGCCCTTTATTATTAGTTTTTCTTTAGCCATAATCGGAACATGAAACAGAGCCTTTAAAAATTTGGGGGTAATTAATCTTGAATTTTCATTGTTTATCTAAAAGTGTTAATGAATAGTCTTACAATTGATAGTGTGACTTCCTTACATATTGGAATGTTAGGAAAAAAATTATATCTAAAATTTTTATCATCATATTAATAGGGAGAGTGATGTGCTTTGGCAAAATGGACATTCAAAGGGTCTTTGAGTTATAGGTACAAATATTAGGAGATGTAAATTTGATTATCTTTGATTTCATCATTACAATTAATCATAATAGTTAAGTGATTTTCCAAATAAATATATCCATATGCTAATATGTTAAAGTGATCCATGACATTTCTTGATGCTTAAAGAATATATTATTCATTAATATTATTAGTATAATTTATTTGTCTGGGTGTTAGAACAAACATTTGATTTTTATTTGTTAATAAAATAAATAACTCAAAATAATCAAAATGGTTTCCATTTATTCTTTTCATAACAAGTCCTAATCATTTGGTCATCCTTTAATAGACACATGATTTTGTTGGAATAATATATTGGTTGTGTAAGGAAGTGTGCTTGTTGTGGAATTGGATGTTAAAGCTAATAATATAGTTTTGGTTAAAATTCTAAAGAATAATACAATAAAATACTTATCTAATCTTAATCGAATTCTTCTTCTTCTTCAATCTGAATCATAAAGCCTTGATTAACAGTTTGAAATGCTTATTTTTAGAGTATTTAACCGCCAAATACATATATCATATTAGAATTAAGTATTTAAATGGAAGTGGATAAAATAGTGTGTAATGGATACTAAGTATGATTTGTAGTGTTTTCAACTCTCTCCCAACAATCTTATTCTATAAAATACAATTCTAACAATCCTGAACATTATTTTTTTAAGTCTTCTCCTTCAGTATTGGCAATCAACCCACCATATTTAACAATCAATTTATTATTATATGTACAAGATGAATGCAATGTTGACAACTCTGTTAGATGACTTAAAATGATTTATTAAATTGTACTTAATTAATGTAATTTGATTAGTATTGATATTGTATTTTTCACACTTAGCCAAGCATCCTTCTTTATAATTCTAACCTCCAATAATAAATATATCCTTGTCAACTGTGCATGATAACGAAAAGTTCTTTCTCAGAGTATACATCCTAGTCCTTTTGATGAATGTTAATTGTGGATGATCATATTAATAGATTGTCTTATTTTCATCATCATTTAATCCATTATCATACCCTGAAAAATAGTATATTTGACCATCCTAAGCCAAAATAGATCGACTTCCCTAGGAGATAACAAAATTGATTTCCAGTTCAACTTTTGTAATCTATGGATTTTGTTATTTCAAATCTAAATAATACAAGAATTTAGTTCCAGGTTCAAAGTAATGTAACCATGATCGATAGAATGAGTATTCTTGAGTACCTTACATTGTATTTCTCATTTCATCCAATTTCTCAGGAGCATAACTTAAAAACTTTTAGAAATTCTTAATTGATTTTTATTTAGTTTATTGTGCCTATAAAGTCATTTGATTTAGACTCTCTATTTATGAACTTAACTTGTTTTTCTCATATATAACTAATTGTTCTAACTCTTTCTGAATCACTCCAATAAAATGCAAGGCTACATCATCATCTATTCTACCGTAGAACTTCTGATTGGCTCTTTAATAAATAAGTGATTCCAATCTATTCTTCTAATATTACACTTAGTAATCCAAATCTGTAGACATCACCTTCTTTTGAGTATCAATTGAATTGATATCGTTTTAAAATTGTCGGACTTAAGTTAATTAACCTTGAATTTAATCATATAAAGCATGAATACTCTATTTTACTTTATACTCAAATTTATCCCTCAACCCTTATATGTATTTGTCAAACAATTTATGAATCTGTTACCTTATGGATTCTATTTCTAAGATGATTTCATCAATGTTGCTGTTGACTGATGTTATTAGTGCATTAGCTGCTCTATTCTCTGCTAATTCCAACTCCTCCTTCACAGTATTCAAATTCTTCTCCACCTATTATTTACATTCCTGTATCGTTATTGTGAACTGCTTATTCTAATATATTTAATTCTTCTTATGTCTAGTCTCATGATTCACTTTGCAATCATTACATAATCTTTTATATTTAAAACAATCTGGATGTATGCAACTGTCTCTTTAATATATCAATATACATGTAGGTGAAATCTTTCTAATGTAACTTGCACTTATCCTCCATTGGTCTAGAAATCAATCAATTTTACAAAATTAACAAAAATAATAAAATTTATAAATTCCATCAATCGTTTACTAAATTATAAGAGTTAAGTTTCTGTTAGGAACAACTCTACTGTAACTTATTTTTGACTGCCAATTGTTTAATGAAAGTGCAGTATCCAGGACATTCTAATTCTGACAATTTACTCCATGTACAAAATGACAAATTGCTTTTATTATTCTTCCTTTCTTTTATTTATTCTAAGTTCTCCACTTATTTTTGTGAGTCATCACTACAATGTAATTGTTTATTGTTAACTTTATATTTACTCATACTTGTAGAACAATTTCTAACAAAGAATATTTTCATATATTTATCCTTTGTATCTAAGACTTCCTTTTTCTTTCTTGCATCTGCAGATGATGTAAAATTGAACTAATGTGGATATTTATTCAATAACTCTTTTACGGCCACCTCCTATATCTGATTCAATTGTCTTTATGATTCTCTTGAAACTTTCTAAACATCTTCTTTTGATTATGCCAATATTTTAATTTCAATAAATTTGTTAGTTTTAGATGAATTCATTAAGGTTATTGGATCTTTTGGAACTTTTTGAAAGAATTCTTTAGGCTGCTTCTTCAATATCTCCAACTTCTATAATATTCGATCATCCCACATAGTATCTGATGATTGTAATGCTTGCTGCTCATATTTCTCATTTCTTTATAAGTCCTATAAGAATTTTACTTCAGGTTTTTTTATGTTTCTTCTTATATGCTTATTGATCAATACTTTCTAGTTTCTAAAGGCTTTTCATTTATTTCATCTTAACTTTATGAATGCTTTTGTAAACCTGAAAGAATATGTTTGAATTCTATTCTTTATAACGGAACTGGTATTCTTTAATTCTAATAATACATTACAAAAATAATATTATTTTATAATATCAAGCAGACTCATATATTCAATAAATTTTATTTCACTTAAATTACATTTCCTATTTATTAATTATGATTATAAGGATGTTTCTATGATCTATTTTATATTATTTTGTTGCATTAGTTATGAATTTACGATTTCATTTGTTCTTTATAAAAATTGAGGTATCTATCCTTATTCCATTAAAAAAACAGTCAACTATCAGAAATTATAATTAATGAGATTGTATTGATCTCTTTCTTATCATTGTTATTACTAACATATAGTATCTATTATTGGAATTTCAAATATAAAATCTGCATTATTTTACAGAAAAATAGAATAATTATATCTTAATATTTATATATTGATTTAATAAATAAGTAAGAATTATTAGAATAATAATATTACGTCTGAATATCATTTATATAAAGCTAGCAATATTTTACAAGCTATAAGCTTAGTTTTAATAATTTTAATTTTTGATATGTTATTCATAGATTAGAATAATGAAAATAAAAAATGAAAATGAATTATAGAACAATGTCGTTCCAAAGAATGCTTTTTTATAATTTAAATTAGTTTGGGAACATATTCATTAAAAAATAGTGTTAATATTACTTAATTTTATATGATCACATGACTTCTTTGGAAATACAATAAATTTAATTTATATACAATATTTTATTGATTAATGTTCAATATAGTTTTATTAGTGGTTCTAGCGTTGATGGTTTAAGCTGATAAATTGGTATAAATCCAAGCATTATGGAGACATGGTGCAAGAACGCCAATCTTTTGTAATTGGAATTGCATGTATTTCAGAAAACAGGAAATGCTCGAAGGCTATTTAACACCTACAGGAATGAGGTAGCATTATGTCTTAGGACAATGGATGAGAGATAGATACATTGTTAAAAACAAATTATTGAGTGATACCTTCAATGCATAAGAAATTACAATTTATGCCACAGATGTCAATCGTACAATAATGAGTGCAATGAGCAACTTCTAAGGAATGTATTCAAATAATGGTCCGAATGTTCCTAATGTCGAGGAGTCTTTCCTTAAACCCCCTAATCCTGATGCTAAACCAGATGAAGATATTGGAAAATCAGCCATTAAGTATAATATCTAAGTTCTTCCAGTTCATATGAGAGCAGCTATGACTGATATTTAATTAAGAGCCTACGGAGCACCACAATGTGCATAGGCTGCCAAATTTTAGATTGAGAATCAACATACACAACTTGTTAAGAATGTAAGTGAAAAGGCTCACGATACTATAATTTAATTCTGTAATGAAATGAATATAGATCCACACAATTTTACAATCTTCAACTTATCTGAATACATGGACACTTTCTATTCAAGTATCTATAATGATTACCCAATGCCTGAGAATTTAAAGAAGGAAACCTATGAAAAAGCTGATGCAGCTTATTCAATGACAATTGCTTTAAAACTATATTAGACATGGAAGTAAATAAATAATAGTTATTCTTAGATAAATTACAACTTAATCAGCTCCATTTTTTGATCAATTATTCGCTTACACAGAACAGGCCTTAAGCAAAGAAGAAAATGTTAAATCATTCAAGTACGTAGTATACTCAGCTCATGATGTCACAGTTTAATTGGTTGCTTCTGCTTTGAATATTACATCAGCTGAATGCATGGCTCAAGTGTATCTTGGTTAGGAAGTACAGAATAAGAATTGTATCTACACATATCCAGGATTTGCTTCAAATATCATTTGGGAATTATGGTAAGAGGAAACTACTAACGAGCCTTATTTCAAGATCCTCTACAATGGTACAGAGATGAATTTGTGCAATAAGAATTCAACCAAGTGCATGTATAAGGAATTCAAGGAATTGATCTTGGCTCAAAAGGGAGATTTTGAAAAAGATTGTGATATTGAAATAGAACCAATTGTATAATTTTAGCATATACTTTTAGATTGAATATAGAGTTCCTGTTTGGATGACAACACTTACGATTATATTTATTGTTATCATTGTTGGATTTTGTTTCTATGGCGTTTACTTGTACAAGTAAATAAGATAGGATAAAACTTTATTAAGTTAAAACCTGTGAGATTTGAGATTTAATATATAAAATAATAAAAATGAGAATATCCAATTTATGAAGCATTTCCATTTTCCCTCTTAAAATTAACAATATATTAAATTATTTATGATAAAAACTACGCAAACTCCACTCAATAAAGAAGAACAAAGGCGTTTAAATTAGATAGTTTAATAATTACTAGACTCTAATGACAGTGTAGAATTTAGACAACCAGTGGATTACAAAGCATTAAATTTACATGATTATATTACTATTGTCAAAAAGCCAATGGATCTTGGCACTGTCTAAAGAAAATTAAATAGCAACACATACAAAACAGTGGAGGAATGCTTGGATGATATTCAACTTATTTGGGATAATTGCAAATTGTATAATGGTTCATAAAGCGTAAATATTAATAAAAATAATAAAGTGGATTACTAAGATAGCAGAAAAATTAGAGAGATTATTTAAGAAAAATGTTAGAAACTATTTACCTCTTGTGAATCTCCCACAATTTGTGCCTAAATAAAAAGATGCAGGAGCAGATGTATTCTAGGAAGAACCTTAAGATTAAGTGAGTTACAATGACAAAGTTGAGTTTTCCAATAATCTAAAGCAATTGGCTCCTGAATAAATTGGACTTATAGTCCATATGATTTAGAATACTTCTCCAAATGCATTTGTTGAGATTGAAGGAGAGAAATATTAAATCATAGTCGACTACATTGAATACGAAGCATTTGTAAAATGTTAAAAGTAAATACAAACTTGGATTGCCGGAGACACAATCAATAAAAAAGTGAAAATTTGACATATCTATAATTAAATATTTAGAATTAAAATACATTAAAACATAGAATATCATTTCCAAATTACTAAGTTTAAAAGAGTATCTGCTGAATACATGTGACTGAAAACTTAACGAAAAGTTATGAGAAAAACACTTTGATGTTTACATTCAAAGAATGGTTAGGTTATATAGAATTGACGACAATGCAATTTTCAGAAACCAAATGTTTCTCATATAATACAAATGTAATTATCACGTATATTCATGTATTATTGAATTTAAATATTGTTTAATTACCAAAAGATTGACCAATATGAGTAGTTGAATTGGAAATTAAAAATATGCAACTTTTATATTATATTCACTTTTATTACTCATTTTCTATGATTATCTTCTATAATTTCTATTCCTACATTGTTTCTAATCTCATAATAATTCTGATAAAAATATCAAAATTTTTTTATTTAACAATTCTTATTGTTTTTAGAATGATTCAATGATTAAGCCATCCTAAATATACATCTCTATTTTATTCTCAAACTCTTCATTTCTCATTTATGAATTAATCATCTCTTTGATTAAATAACTCCAAACACTGCCATACAATTAACTGTTAAGAAGATGCAAATCTGTTCTTAAAAAAATTCTATAACTTTCTCATTCTGTCTATAATATTGTCCATGAGCTCCGACTTATTGCATTAATTAACAACTATGATAATCGCTTATTAATATGCATCCTATGCTTACTCAATTAGGTCAATCATTTATTTAAAGTTAATAATATAAATTTATACTTTATATTTTAATAATAAGCAAAATCATTACTTTCTAGTCGTATTATACCTTGTTGGTTGTGTTTATTTGGATCCATTTTACTCCAAAAGATACTTTTCTTATTATAATTTTTTCCCCTCTTCCTCTTTTTCTAATTTCAAATTTTTTTATTCTATTAATGCCTTTATTTGTTAATTTAAAAAATCATTTCTTTGTTGAATTTGTTCAAGACTTTTTACTTCTTCTTTTAGTTTTTCAATATCTCTATTATAATTTTCTAATCTTTATTTCTCATTTGGTAATTCTCTTAATTTAGCTTTTATCTGAAGGAATTCTTCTCTTTTTTTTTAAACATCAGCCTCAATACATTCTAGTTATTGTAAACTTTATTTTTGTTCTTAAATATCTAATTATTATTATTCAAACTCAGCTTTATAGCAGTTTAACCTTGTAATTTCTTCTTTTAGTTAATTTATATATATTTCATTTTTCTCTTTTTCAGACCTAATAGAATCTAAAATTTAGAGATTAACTTTTAAATCCAGTATTTCATCTTTCTATTTTCCTACCTCTGATTCTAAAATAGATAAAGTATTGGTTTATTATTTTAAATCATTAATAGTCTATTCTTATTTTGCTTTCAGATCTTAATAATAATTTAATGTAATCATTTATTGTTCTAATTTGTTAATCGATACTTAAAGACTTTCTATTTCTTTTTTAAGATAGGTTTCATTATTAGAGTTAACTTTTTCTTGTAATTATTTCCTAGTTTCTTCTAAAATTTCTTTTTATATAAGTATTTTTTATATTTATTTCAAATCATCAACTTTTTATTAAACTTATTAATACTCTAATTATTTATTCTCAAAATTCTAAGTAGTTTTTTTTAAGATTTCAATTTCACTCATGATCTTTTATAAATTTTCATTTAAATCAGCTTCTTATTAACTTGAAATGGATTTCTCCTCAATCTCTTGCATCATTTTCTTTATTTCATTTAATTTCTATGCAATAATAGGGGGAAGCTCCTTCTTGAAAACTGCTTAATTTTACTTTTGATTTTCTTGAATAGAGTCAGAACCATTTGTTGATAATACTTGAATAGGATTATTTTCTAATTAATTTAGTGTTTTTATTATTTAATCTTTTAAATTATGAAGTTACTTGATGGATTATTCTTTTTATTATTATTAATTGATGTTAAAATTAGAAGCTTAAAAAGGATATAGTAATGCATTTAATTATTATGTTATCAATTATTATAATGATTATTATTAGATGGCTTGACCGTTGTTTGGATTCACTGGCTGTTTTATAAAATTTGCTGTTATTGGAGGAGGTTAATTTGAAAACTTCACTATATTAAACTTAGATAATTTTTCATAGGCTTCCTTTGCAGTTATTCTTTAAGAGGGATCTGGGTGAAGCATTCTTTTGATTGTCTGCTTCCATTCATCAGAAATTTGCAATTCATCTATTTTATTGTATATGTAAGTTTGATTACTCATATGTTTTTTTACTAACTCTTCTAAATCTTTAGCTGTTGAAACTAGGATTATAATAAATAATTGCTGTACCCTCCAAAAGTTGAGTTCCTTTAATAATTTCATAAAAAACAAAACCCATTGCCCAAACATCAATAGCCTAGGTGTAGTCCGATTTCCCTTAAATTAGCTCTGGTGCTTGAAAAAGTTTTGTGCCAACAGCTAATGTCATACGATTTTAATCAATATTATAGAACTTTATTAATCCAAAATCAATTAACTTGACCTAATTATCAACCATCATATAATTTTCAGGCTTGATGTCTCTGTGGATGAGGTTCTATGAGTGTATAAAGACGATTGATGTTAATATCTATTTAAATTGAATTTAGTACTTATTAGCAAATAGATGACTTATTTTAAATAGTCAATTTATTTTTATTCTACTCTATATATTTAAAGAGATCAGTTTATCCTAATTCCATTACTAGAGCATAATAATTATTCCATTGAAAAGCATCATAAATTCTTATAATATTTGAAGGAGAATAATTAGAGCTATTGGGTTTTTCGTATTTATTCTAATAATCTATGATTTAACGATAAAACCACATTACGTTTTCCTTAATATAAGCTGAAAATTTGATAGCAACTTCAGTTTAAGTTGACCCTAAATTAATTTGCTTTGCTCTATAAACAGCCCCTTCTTGTCCCATTCCTAGTTGTTCAAATATTTTATACGATCTAGAAGGCTGGTTGGGTGTAGTTATATCGATTGTGATGCCTTCACTTATTTCTTGATACTAATTCTATTAAATCATTTGTTTAATTTATTGATAAATTATTTTCTATAAAAAATATTTTATTTTCAAAAAGTAATTTAATGAAAAAAATAAATAATATTAAAATATGAAGTATTTAATTGGCTCCCTATTAATTTCCTTACTATTGTTTGCTAATTATTTTAATAACAATTAGTTTTAATCGTCTGATTTTGAGAATTGGCAAAAACAATATGGATATTATAATACAGAATTCGAGAGATAATATAGAGAAATGATATACAATCAAAATAAAAAGCTTATAGCTGAACACAATAGCAAATAGAACATTACATACCGAATGGAGGAGAACTAATTTATGACTTTAACTCATGAAGAATTTGTAGGAATATACCTATAAGAAACAGAGGTGTCTATGCCAGAAATAACAATTCTTAATTAAGATTTATATCAACCATTGTAAGCGGTTGACTGGAGAAATTACACGACCATTTATAATCAAGGCTCTTGTGCTGCAGGATGGGCATTTTCCGTGGGTAGTTCTATTGAAGCCTGGTTTTATATTAGAGGTGGTGGATAGAATATTTCCGTATCAGTTTAGCAACTAATCGACTGTGAGAAAAATTCATCAGGATGTAGTGGAGGCATAAACACATAAGCTATGTTATACGCTTTGTAAGATGGACTATACAATTCTCAAAATTATCCTTATGTTGGCACTCAATTAGCTTGCAAAGCAACAAAGAGCGGTACTTATTTTATAAACAATTACACATTTGTGGGAGGCTCTACATAATCATTGCAAAGTTCCTTATAGAATTATCCAGCTTCTGTTGGTTTGGATGCAACAAATTGGTAATTCTATAGTTCTGGATTGTTTTCAAATTGCTCTGAAAATGTCGTTAATCACTATGCCCTTGCCATAGGATTTGATTCAAATAACAATTGGGTTGTTTAAAATTCATTCGGATCAGCTTGGGGTGAGAATGGAATTATCAAACTAACACCTAATAATACCTGTGGAATATTAAATCAAGCCTATCAAATATATTGAAAATATTCATCAAAACAAATAAGCCATTATTTTTAAATATTTTATAGACTGAGCAATACTCTATAAATTTTTATTTAACGTATTATTAAATTTAGATTTATTCTTCCCCTTGGTCATTATTGTTTAAATATATGTGTAAATCTAATATAGATTTATCAAAGAAATTATTTTTTTAGAAAGTATTCTCTACAAAAAATTTGGATATACGTGATCAAAGGAAAGGTTCGAGTCCCCAAATTCCCTGATTTTTATTTTGGATATTTTTGCCACATTACAGAAATATCCATTATGACATTTAAAGGCCATTTTTACACATCAAATTTGAAGCAAAGGAAATGAAATGATATTTGGTCATAATAATGCTTAATTAAATGTATAGGTAGTATGGAGACCATAAATGTGGTTATATAATGCTCTAAATTGTTTAAAATAATAAAAGATTCTGGACTATGGATTTTCTCAAGAATTCTCTTTGGTTTGCATTCCTCCTGGAGTATTAAAAAATGGGCATAGGATTGCTTGAAAATTTAACATAATTGATATTGAAAAATGGGAAACTTAGGGAGGTTAACAATAATAGGGGAGATAATTTAGTAAATTGCGCTGTGGTTATTTAGTGCAGTAGGATTTGAGAATAAGGGGATATGTAATAGGATTAGAGGTTTTAGGAAAGTATTTTGAAAGGAAGAAATAATTTTAGGATTATTGGGACTAATTAAATATATAATATGTTAAATTCGCAAACGTAATCATAATCGGCAATGTCAATCTTGGGATATGTGCCTGCATTAATAGTTTAACATTTGTTGAATCTGAAGATGAACAAACTGCCAAGAAGTTTACCAGAGAAATAAAATATAAAGAGTGTAGTGATGTTTGCAGACATTTCAGGATTCACAAAATTAACAGAGAAATTGAGTCAATTGGGAACAGAGGGGGCTGAGAGAATTGCATTTGCAATAAATAGATATATGGAATTGTTAGTTCAGGGAATAGGAAGAAGTGGAGGAGATATTTTCAAATTTGCAGGGGGTAATAATGTTAATAAGGTCAGATGCAATGATAGTGATTTGGCCTCCACCTCCAGAGGGGAATAATTTTGTTCAATAGATAGAGACATTGCTCAAACAGGCAATCCAATCGGCTCTGCTAATTTAGGAGAAGCTAACCAAGACCACCATAGAGCAAGGCATCTAATTGAGTGTGAAAATAGGTAATAACTAATGTAGTAAACAATAGGTTTTGGAGTAGGTGAAATGAGTATAATCCATGTGGGTGGTGTCTTTAATAGGATTGAATATTTAGCAACTGGTGATCCTTTGTTGCAAGCATTTGCATCTGAGCATTGTCTTACCGAGGGTGGCAAAATAATAATCTCATAATAAGTGTATAATTTGGTGAATAACTTTTTCGAATGCAAAGAAGTGGAACATCATGAAAATCATTATGAAGTCATTCAGATAAAAAGCACTTAGGCTAAGGTTAAAATGAAAGCAGATGCATTGCTAATTAAGAATAACATTACAATAGCCAAGTTCTAAGCAATTAGGAATGAAATTTAATCGTACATTCCAGCAGCATTATTGCCGTATATAGAAATTAATGAGGAACCATGGAGTGCAGAATTGAGAAGACTTTCAGTGATGTTTGTGAATTTGGGAATCGATTTGAATGATGCTAAATCAGACAAAGGATTGCAGTAGATATAGAGAGTGATAATGACAGTCTAGAAATGTATTTATATGCATGAAGGATCATTGAATAAATTGTTGATGGATGATAAGGGCTCCACATTGATAATTGTATTTGGATTGCCTCCATTATCACATCAGAATGATGCAGTGAGAGCAATTTTGACTGCTTAGTTGATGAGAGTAGAATTACCTAAAATAAATTGTGGTTGTGCAATTGGTATAGTAACTGGTACAGTATTTGCCGGAGTTGTTGGGACGAGTGGATCAAGAAGAGAATATTCTGTTTTGGGAGACTCAGTCAATTTGGCAGCTCGATTGATGTAAGCAGCATGTGAAGAAAAAGAAAATAAAATATTAGTATGTTCTGAAACAGCCAAGAGTGCTGAACAGAATCTTAGTTTCTAATTCTTGAGATCTCAAATTGTCAAAGGCAAAAATTAACCTGTTGAAATATATGTCCCATTAGTTAATTCTTAGCCAAGTTCTCCTGGTAATTTCTTCCCCACTTTGAGAACTAACAATTATGCATTTGGTTTTAAGAGGAAAATAGAGTTTGCCAATCAATAGATTTTCGGTAGAGAAGAACCTTATAAGAAAATACTAAATTAAGTTGATAAAATTATGAGAGGAAGTGATAAAAAAGGTTAATTAATATTATACTATTTTTAGGATTATTCATAATTAAGGGTTCTTTTGGAGTTGGTAAATCTATGTTAGTAAAGAAGGTACTTCATCGGGTTCAAGAGAAGTTGAACAGTAATTAATACAATCCTTGGAAATACGGAGAAATGCCACAGATTCTTACTTCATAATTGACTCCTGTGACTAGAGCATATAAATTGAATGGTATTGAATTTAATCTGATTAGTGAGGACTGCGTTAGATTTTGAAATAAATTTTTATTCTTTATTCCAAAAGATTGGAACGTGAACCAGATTTATCCTTATTCCAATTGATGGTAGATGAATAATTGTACTCTCAAAATACAATCAACCTCATGAAAGAGATATTAGATTTGAAATGTATATCTAGAGTTGACAATTTCCCTCCTAAAGGAAATGATGACGAGAATCAATAAGAATTAAAAAAAATCGTAATATTTGAATTCATATTATAAGACTCTCTAATTCCTAAGTAACTTTTTTGAATAGGTGCCTGAAAAATATTAAAATCTTTACGTTGGTAGGTCTCCTGAGGAATTAGGATGGGATATTAAGCAATCCAATATCAGGTAAGTCATCAAATATTCCATTAAATACAGTAATATCATATGTCCAGTTATTCTATGTTTGGATGACATGCAAAATTATGATAATCTTACCTTCAAAATTATCAGTTTAATGATCAAAGCATATGATCGGATCTAAGTGTTAGGATTGTATCGTGATAACTTTCATGAAATGACACTCCAAGTGAAAACAGCTGAAAAGAAGAAGTCATAAGAGGAAATAGCTATGGATGGGATAAGCAGATTGGAAGATGCCATTGAATAGAATTTTTACAGTATTATTCAGTTGAAGGGAATTGAGAGGAAGGGAAAAGACGACGAATTTGCTAAAATGATCAGATACTCATTCAATATATCTAAGTTAGACATTGAGAATTTGAAACCTGCATAGGAAGAGATAAGAAAGAGAGAGCCATCTGTAACAAATGATGTATGTGTACAAGAGACATTAAATAAGGAGATGAATCATTAATTCTTATTCTTTTAAAATAAGTAATAGTTAATAGGACAAGATATTGAATTACTCCTACTATCATATATTTATTTAAAAACCTCTGGTATTCCTCTGATGGTATTGAACTTTGTGTAAAACCTAATTGATCAAGGATACATTAAGATGGGCAATAAAAGTGCAACAATAACAAAGGAATTAATTAATTTAATCAATTATGAGGAGAGTATCATCATTGATGCTCCATGCGATCGCATAGCAGTCAATGGTCCAATCATAGACAAGTAATAGATAATTTAAATAACTAAGGTTGCCTTGTTTGGAGCAATTGATCTTAAAAGTGGCAAGTATAATTGGTGATATTTTTGATATCCAAATGTTGAGTAGAATAAATCCATTTAAAGCCGCAGTAAATAATAGATTGCAGAAAATGATGGATGAATTAGAACAGAAAGATTTTATTGAGACCATGGAAGTCTAGGAATAAAACATCTATTATAGATTTACCTGTCCATTTATGAGGGATTGCTTATATCAAAGAATCACATTTAAATAGCGTAGATAATTACACAAAGCAGCTGCAGAGGCAATTTAATTACTACCTTTAGCATTTGAAATAGATGAAAGAATAGAGAGCAAGAAGTTGCAATTTCATTGGGTGATGGCTGAACAAAATAATTAGTTAGTATAGCAATCAACCCAAAATTTCAAGGCGAGATAATCCAGTGGTTCAGTTAGAAACTTAGTTTTGAGAGCTACTTTTGGGATAGGAGCGTCAAAGCAGAAACAAGAGGACAATAGCAATAATCAAGTAGCTTAGGTCAATTAATATAAATTTGAAAATCTATCATCAAAGGCTATGAGATCAATTATATTAAAGTAGATTTCAAATAAGTTAACGAAGAATAATAACAACATAAATACTATTTTGAAGGAGGGGATATTGGAGAAGAAATCGAAATAGAATGTATCGTGGGCACCTCGATATTGGGTGTTAGATGGAAAGGAGATGAGGTGTTATTATACTAAGTAGGATATGTTAAAAAAGGAATTGCCTCTATGCACAATTCCGCTGAAGGGAATATATTCAGTGATTCCATTGGATGTCAGAGAACAGGGAGATAACAACTTTCCATTATCTATAAGTTCCACTTTATGGTATAAGAAAAACAAGGAAATGGGAGAGAGGAGATTCCTTTTGAATAGTAAGAATGTGGAGGATTTGGAAATGTGGATAATCTATCTGGAATTTGCTAAAGCCAAAGCGATTTATGATGACTTCACCAATAACTATGGCAAGATCAGTTTCCCATTAGGCAACAATAATGATTATTATGATCCTGAGTTCAAATATGATGTGAATATCGAAGTATTAATTTGTATTTAAAATTAAAGAAGTAGAAATTGTAATTAGGATTGCAATATGATAAGAGTTAATAAGCTAAGATGAGCAAGAACTCAGTGCTCTCACGGAATTCAAGAGCCTCTCGGATGACAATTGCAACTAAGCAATTTAAATTTATGGAGAAAGCATCCTAAGAAGATAATATACTCCAGACTTCTCAAATTATTGATAGTTAATTGCTGAAGGACAGAATCAATTGTTTTTTGTAGAAAAGGTATGACATTATTATTTATTTAAGTATGCTGTTATTGTTTTCTCATTTGTTTGATATGTCATTACAGAAGTAAGATGATTACAATCTGCTTGGTCAACCAAATATGGTAATGAAGAAGATGACCAACATCTTCAAGATAGATAAACAATTGACATCTGAGAATAAAAAATAATCCAATGCGTTTATCAACAACTAATCTTAGTCTTAATCAATATCAATAACTAATTCGAGCGATATAAATCCTAATGCAATTTAATAGTCATAGCAGTTACAATAACGGAAAGCCATAACATTGGATGGCAATCCATTGGTGGCTAAGAAGATCGACACTAGTATAGATGAGGATTCAGGGTGCAGCAGCAATGAAGGAGGTGAAGGACTCTTGTAGACAAAGACTTTATAATAGATTATGGAAGAGGAATGTGATAATGAAATGAGTGGTATATTAATTTGATTGATATTTGTAGAGAGTACAAATCAATAACAATAATAATTGAAACAATAGAGAAATTAAAAATATTTCGAAGAAATTCGAATGAAATAAAGTTCAAAATTTTAGTAGGAGGATAGAAAGCGATCTGATAGTCAGGAAAGTTTTGAATAAAATATTGCCATTTCAAGAAGACATACAGATAGATAGGATTAGGTGGTTAAGTAAATGAATTATTTTAAACTACCAAATTAATAATAAGAGGTTAGAAACATCACTGAATTTAAATTAGATATGGCTGTCTAAGTTGATTTACAAAAAGTGAATAATTCAATTAGTAAATCCATAAGTAAATCATCCATTGATCCAAAATCTGAACTCTCGTATCAACAAAATGACAACCAAGAATTCTTGAAATTATTTGAAAATAGTACCAATCAAGGATAATCATAATAGAATAATCAATTCAGTAACAAAATTCTAGATGACAATAAGAGAGACACCATTTAAACACACATTTCATCCTCCAATTTCTTATCTACCCAATATCCATTTTTACATCACCAATCAACTCTACTATCCTCTAATACTAATTAGAAAATAAGATAGCCTCAATAATATGCAAGTAGGTAGAGTCAAATATCTCAAAAAACCATTGCAAATTCAATCTCATCATAATAGCATCAATATGGAACAGCATTAAATACTTGTAAATCTTTGAGTGGGGATATCTTCACTTTAAGACCAGGCTATAGAGTGGTTGTCACAAGGATAGATCAATAGAAGAAGTTGATTTATTGTAATTATTAGAATATGCAAGGGTTATTTTATTTGAGAGATATTGCAGTCATTGAAGGTATCATTTCATCTAATTCATCTATAGATAATCAAGAGGAATCCTAGATTAAAATGAAATCCAGAACACCCACTATGTTCGAAGTCAAATACAAAGAATTATTGAATGACAGATTCAACACAAGAAGCAAGTCTCCAAATTATCGCTCTGCTTAATGTAAAACTCCTCCCAAGAAACCATTTATGAGATTTTGAATTTTACTATATTCTTATATTAATAGATACATCTTAACAGAATATTAATTAAAAATTCAAATTTATGATCCCATATCCTCCCATTATTCAACCAACACTCAGGTCAGCAAATCAAAGCAGTGGATTCAAAGACTCTGAAGACAAATTTCAACATTCCACACCTAAATACGTGTTAAAAGTTCCGATTCCATCACTAGCTACATTGCAATAAGCACCTTAATCAGATAACAAAAGTAAATCAGGACATAAGGAGAACAATTTCAGTGCAATGACATTCGATTAGAAGTATTAATTGACAATTCAAAAAGAAAATGGAATCCAGATAGCCAAGGCTCTGATAATAAATGTGTGCTATCTTAATCAGCCAAGAAGGTCAACACTGAAAATGATGATGGCTCAAGTATTGTAGAGAAGTCTTTTACAGAAGCAGCCTAAAAGATATTGAAGATAAAAAATCTCGAATTGGAAAACAAAGTTTCATTGCTTGTTATTGAAAATGAGCGTCTTACAACATTTCTAAATGATTAATTTCAAGAAAATGAAAAACTAACCAACGACCTTCAAAACTATCAAGCAAGTCTCTAGGATTTATCTAAAAACTATGAAGATAAATTGAATATAGTCTTATTGGAAAATGAGAAGATTGTAGCTATTAATCAAACTTTGACTATGAAAAATGAGTAGATGCAAAATCAAATAAGAAGATTATAGAGTGAGAAAGATGAAGAAATCAATAAAACTAGGAAAGAATGGGCAGGGAAATACCAATAGTAAATTAATTAAATTGATGAGATGAGAAAAAGTGAAATACATTAAGTTGATAATAGAATTGATAAGTTGCAATTTGAAAAGTCAGAATTACAAGCATTAATTTAAGAGTAACAATAAAAATTGATGGAATTCTAAATTGAACTCAAAGTAAGAGATCAGACCTTGATTGATTATGAAAATGTTAAGGCTGATTTGGCATCTAAAATTCATAGAATTGAAATGATGAGTTAAACCATATTGGCTTAAGAGAAGAGAATAAATGATTTAGAAACTAGATTAGATATAATGGTGGCAGATAATAAATAATTGCATGATGTTAATGAATAGTTAAATTAAACCTAAAGAATTTTATAAGGAACAATGGAGGATAGACAAATTGAATTTGATAGGGAATAACATAAATTAAAAGACTTCTATGAATTAGAATTAAGAAATTTGAGCAATAAAAATAAATAATAAATTGAGGAGATCAAACTTAAACATCAAGAATAATTGTAAGCATAAAGAGTGTAAATAGAAAATGAATTGATTAAAGAACTAGAATAATACAAGATGGAATTGGAGACTAAACAAAATGAACTAAACAATAATTTATTGATTTGGTAGGAGAAGGAGAAAAATATCACTTAGGAAAATAGGAAGGAATTAGAAATAAAAGATCAAATGATATCTACATTAAAATTCTCGAATTAAAGTTTATAAGATTAGATGAATCAATTATAAACGTTAATCAACAAGTAAGATATTCATACTTATAAGAATGCAAGAAGACTTTGATAGTCAATATAGTTAAAAGGAGACAGAGTGTGTTAAGATGGCTAAGAACATTCATCTTAAGGAGTAGGCATTGAAATAGATGAGTTTAAGATTGGATGAAATTTGTAAGTAATTGAAGATCTTGGAAGAATAGAGAGATGAATTGAGTTAAGAAATGAAGGATAAGAATAATAAGGTCAAGGATCTTGAAATGAAATTAGATATTGTCGTCAAAGATAATGATACAATGGAAAATCAATTGAAGAATAATAAAACTTAGGTAAGAATTTCAAATCGATTTAGTTATAATTATTGGAACAGAGATATGCCAATTTAGAGTAGTCTAGTGAATAGAAGATAGAGGATATGAAAATATAATATTCATTAGAAGTTTAAGCATAAATTGAACAATGCATAACTTAATATTAATAAACTATTAAATATGAGTAGGATCACTCTGAATAATTAATGAAGAATTTAAAGAAATAGTAAGAAAAAGCTAAACATTTTGAGTTGTTGAGTGAGTAATAATTAAATGATATGGAGAAATTGAATAAAAGAATAGAAGAATTGATAGATGTTTGTGAATAGAATGGATCCAAAATGATGACACTAGAGAATCTACTTAAAGAAAGAGATAATGACTATGATGTCTTAAATCAAAAATTTTAGTCTATAACTGAAAATTATGAATTGTAATTAATAAATTAAATCTTAGGTAAATAGATGTTTTGAAGAGATAGATGTATGATATGGGTATCCAAAATGAGGATTTAGCTTAAAATTTGAATTAAACATAAGAAACTTTCATAAGTAATATTGACTATTAATTGTTAGAGTAAGATGAATAGAAAAAGAAAATCATGAATGATTTGGCAGAAGTTACTAAGTAGAAGATTGATTAAGATTAATTAATGAAGAAGATGAGAATTCAAGTCTAGGGATTAGATGAAGAGAATAGAAGGAATTCGGAAGATTCCATCAAATTCAAGAATTAGGTTTATTAGTTGTAGCAGGAAATCGAAGAGATTACTAGAAGTATGCAATTAAATTTTGCAGAGAAAGAGTAGGAATTACAAAATAAATATGAGAATACAATCATGGATTTAAATTAATAGTTGAACACGTTAACAATGAGATTCAATGATTTAGTAAGAAAAGAGAAAGACAATAGATTCAGATTGAAACTATTGAAAAGCAATCCTTAGATGAAATTACCATCAGAATTAGAAGACGAGAATTGTTATGAGACTATGAAGAGGAAGATGGAAGATCAATCACAATATCTTTAGAGACTAATTTTGGAAAATGATGAATTAAAACAATAACAATATTCTCATATTAGTAAGGGCTCATTAAATGATTAATAAAAGTAGAAATCTTAAAAATAAAGCATGAATATCATCAAAGACTACACTACTTAAGATTCAGATCGTACTATTCGATAAAATGAATATCAAAAGACCATGAATCCTTTTAAATAATAGCCAGTAAAAGCAGTGCCAGTATTATATTTTAACTATTATCAAGGTAATGAACAATTCTCAGAATATTCTTGATTAAAGGTTCGGTAGTAACAGGCCCATTGAAAGAGAAGTCTATCTAGGCTAAACACAAAATACTAGAACGGAGCCCCATTTGTACAGAAAATAATCATTATAACGATTTTGAATAAGAATATAATAAATAATGTAAAGAACCTCTTTTTTTTGGTAAATATGAGGTTTAGTACTGTAAAGTATAAATAATTCATAGTCATTCAACTCTTTCATCTAAATGAAATCGTACTCTCTTATGCCCTTCATATAATTTAAAAGTGTAATCTGAAGCAAATTCATAATTGCTTTTTGTTGGAGAAAGACTTTTTGTTGATTGTTCAATCAAATCAAAGACGGTTCTTCTATTTGAGTTCTGTTCGTTTTAAAGTATATTAGAAGATTGAACTACTTAAATTGGTTATTATGAGGAATTGTAATTAGTCTATTTATTGGCTTCTTTCGATGTATTTGATTCTTGAATAAGTTGAAATGGGATTAGTTTGAGAGTCTTCAGATTTTTCTTCTAATTGATTTCACTTTTTGTTTTTGGGGAAAACGTAACAAGTCCTAAGTATTTATGATTAAGAGTTGGGCCGTCTTCCTCATCTTGTAAGACATTTAAGTTCGAATCCATAGAACAGGAGATCTGAGCTATATTCTTTATTATTTATAATCAAATGATATTCAACGAATATAAATCTGGTATTTGTAATTTTAGTCAAATTCATTGAATATTAATTTAGATTTTCTATAATATAACAAAGAAATTCAAATAATGATAATTGAATAAAATATTATTAATTAATTAATTAATACAAATGGTTGATGCTAAACAATTGATACCCATGAAGCGATTTTTGGAGACCTAGCAAGATAAAATCAAATTATTTTCTCTTGATTAACCTGAACAAATTCATATGTAAAACTAAATCACTATTCAAGTTACCATAATATAGGTCGTGTAACAAAGATTGAAACAAAATCCATATAAGAATAAAAGTCAAACACGTCGATAGGATTCTTCGCAATTTATGGTATAATGTAACTAAAGAATTGGTCATATTTGCTATTGGTTACAGAGGCCAATATGGTTGGATAAATCGTGCAAAGAACAATATTATAAGTAGAGTAGATAAGTTTCTTGCCCTTGGTTTCCAATGGAAGATTAAATGAGTAATTCTATTAACCTTAACTTTTTAGTATCCACGCAGATGATTAGACTTATTGCAAAATGCTAAAGGAAGTATTTTCTACAAGGACATTATATTTCAGCTATGAGTATGATTTGTCTAATCCCTTCGATAAAGTGATGGGGAATAATTCTCAATTTGGTACTCAACAAAAGACAAGCGAAGGACTTCATTATTATAAGATTCCAAATCATCGATTTGTATACAATTGGGAACACATAAAATTCTTGAATCAATTTCAAAGTACAAATCTCCCAGCCTTGCAATATTGGTAAACCATATTCATAAGTGGATGTGTTATGATTAGATATTGTAAACTGAATCAACAATCTGATTGCTTTTTAATTTTGGTGAGTAGAAGAGAAACTCTAAGATCAGGAAGAAGATTTGTATAAAGGGGATGTGATTAAGATGGAAATTGTACGAATTTTGCAGAAACTGAATAAATACTAATACTAAATAGATAGGAGTCCAGAGATATATACTCCTTTGTTTAGACTAGAGGATCAATGCCATTTAATTGGTAACAATAACCAACATTGAAATGGGCACCTAAAGCATCAATCATAGGAGATAGAAGTTACAATGCTGAATTATGCAAAAAACATTTTGAAAAATGTGCCGAATCCTATTAACAATTATAAATAATTCTTAATTTAATTGATAAAAAGGGAACATAAAAAATGTTAGGAGAATACTTTACAAGTATGATTAGTAGTGTTAAAACAGTAAAAACTAAATATGTTTGGTTTGATTTCCATCATGAATGCAGAAATATGAAGTACGAGAATCTCTCTAAATTATTAAATGAAATCAAGGAAGATCTCAAAAAATCTGGATATTTTCATGCTGAAATTGACAAAAACAATTATAATCATTTATCTAACATACATTAATAATAGTCAGGTGTTGTAAGAACTAATTGCATGGATTGCTTAGATAGAACTAATGTGGTTCAATCAGTTGTCAGTAGAAATTTCTTATTACATGTCTTGAATTAATCAAACATCATTCATACATTAACTGGTGAAGCATTATAAGTATTACCTAATGATCTTGAACAAATATTTAGAGATCAATGGACCAAGAATGCAGACATTATGAGTGTCTTGTATTCAGGAACTGGGGCATTGAAGACTGATTTTACCAGAACTGGTAAAAGAACATTCTGGGGCTCATTATAGGATGGTAAGAATTCATTACATAGATATTACATCAATAATTTTGTTGACGCTCATAATTAAGTAATATAATCATATATTAATTAGAATTGTATTGATTTGGCATTAGGAAAATTGGAGGCAGATAAAGTTAATTATAAAAAACCTAAATTCAATGGTGTCTTGCAGCTATTCATTTTTGTAATTATTATTGCTTATCTATAGATCATTATACTGATGTACATAATGACAAGCTTCTTACCTGGATTAGTTCTAAATGAATAATCTGCATATGGAAATTCTTGTTTAATGAAACTATTTATTTTTGGAATAAGTCTGTTCATTACAAGTAAGATTCTACTGAAAACCCATTATTTGTTTATATCCAAACCAATAAGAGATCAAATTTGATTATCTAATATATAAGCATATATCAATAAAATAATCATGCTTTGCAAGGCATATCTAATCTCTAATAATAGGCATTCAAAGATCCAACATAAGTGAATAAGATTGCAATCACCACACTAATGTGCCAAATTTGATGACTCTACCCGCAATTATCGAACTTACCTGGAATTTACTTCTCAGGAAATCTTATATTATAAATATATAATCCAGATCTAGATATAAATGAATTCAATACAAATACGAGACGGCCATAGCGGCATAATAAGGCAATTATGATTAAAAACTATATCCTTCTAAACAAGTATCACCGATTGCAAAATGGATGAGTGGAATAGCACTTGTAAATCCAAGGCCTGCAAATAATTTATTTTTTAAGGATCTCCATTCTGCAGTATAGAAGAAATCAAACAGACAAAAGCTAAAGAGAATGATGGCAAAAAAGCCTTATAAACTGGCATATATAATTGCATATGTTAGATTGCATTGGAATCCATAAAATAATGGAGCAAATGTCGAACCTGAAACAAGAAAACATATGCCAGCATAATCTAATCGAATGAGTATTTTGTTCACATTTTCTGAGAGACAGTAGAAAAGATGGTAAGTAGTACTACATCCTAAGCATATAATGGCTGAAACTAGAAATGCAATCAAGGGCCATCTGGATATCATCTTATGTAATTTCTCTTCATCTATGGTTTGTCTCCCTGTGAGATGTTGAAATTCTAAATATAAATCAATCCAATCAAAATCTTTAGATTCAACAATTTCTGTGGCTTTTTATTTGTAATCTTGAATGATTTCTGAAATATTGTAATTCCATTTCAGGTTTTCCCAATCAAAGGCTTCTGCTATATTTTTTTGGATTTTTGAAAATTCTTAATCGTATTGGTGTGCTACTTCATTTATATACTTATTAACGGTGTAAATCTTTTCATGCAGTTGTTGCTACATCAATTAAACATCATCCTAAAGATTGTGCAGCCCATTCTCCAATTATTCTTAGATTTATTATTCCAGAGTGAAAGCATGCTCATAAATGTTGTGTAATGATTCTACATAAAAGGTGGTTTCACGTACCATTGAATGTCTGAATAGCTCTATGGCGAAAGAGTTCATCATAATTTAACCAAAGGTAAAATATTAGTGAGACAATAATGATAGCACCTATCAGATGTGTCCAAATATTGACCAATTCATTATGCCACATGAACATGCTTTTTATGACATCCTTCTTGTTTTTGAAGTTAATTCTGTATCCATGTTTAATGTATTGATCTTTTAAGTAACCGGGGGCTTTGCAAATAGGACCACTTTTTTTAGATCTGAAATAAATACATAATTCTGTCATGGATTATATTCTCTTTAATCTCCTTCATCTCTTGCTTGTTTTCTGTGGGAACTCTTTGTGTTATATTGCTTTGACTCATTATAATTATTAGATGATATTTTATAATTTTTAGTCATCAATAAATTAATGAGAATAACTGAGAAATCTTATATATAATTTGTATTTGGGATATTAATCACCACCTGAAGGTGAAGTTTGAGAATTATGTTAATTTATTTAATAGGATGATGAAATTTATGAGTATTAATAATTATTAAATCAATACTCTAATAATGAAAGTACTATGACGTAATCGTATACAGTATTTAATCAAATCTACATAACTATTGAAATATTAATATACATATGGAAAAGCAATTATTGGCTTTACTCACAGTGACTCTGTTGACATCAGCAGCCTATTACATGAATGGCAAAGATGAAAGTCTTACACTTGAAGGATAATTCTCATCATGGAAATAATTACATGGAAAGAGATACTCTGACTTTGAAGAAGTTCATAGATTCTCAGTGTTCGCCCAAAACTTAGCCGTTGTTATGGAACACAACTCCAAATTTGAACTTGGTTAAGAAACATTCACATTAGCAATGAACTAATATGCTGATCTTACCCCTGAAGAATTCCAAGCCTCATTCCTTACACTTAAACCAAAAGTTTAAGAGAGAAAGAATGTCAAGAGTTATTCTGGATTAAGTTTCCCAGATACAGTTGACTGGAAAGATGGTTTGACAGTCAAGAATCAAGGTAGCTGTGGATCATGCTGGGCCTTCGCAGCTGCTGCTGCCATTGAAGCTGGTTTCCAACATCACAAAAAGAATAAGGTTAACATTTCTGAATAAGAATTTGTTGATTGCACCACAGCCAAACTCGGATATGAAAGTGAAGGATGTAACGGTGGTTGGATGGATGATGCCTTTGATTACACTGTTAACTATGGTGTTACCACAGAAGAAGAATATCCATACAAGGGAGTCGATTAACCATGCCCATCAGGATTCAAAAACAAGCACTTCATTGATTCATTTGTTGATGTTGAACCATTGAGCTCAGATGCTCTTCATGAGGCCATTGCCAAGACCCCAGTCTCGTAATATATATTTCTATATTTTTAGTGTCGCCATCAAAGCCGACGGTATCTTATTCCAACTCTACAGTGGTGGTATCTATTCCAGAACTTGCACAGTCAAGAAGCTTGAAGATTTGAACCACGGTGTTTTGGCTGTTGGTTATGCCAAAGATTCTTATACTATCAAAAACTCTTGGGGAGCCAGTTGGGGTGAGAAGGGTTACATGAGATTAGCTCTTATCGCTGCCAAAGAAGGACAATGTGGTATTCAGTTTGTTCCATCATATCCAGTCCTTTGACATTATTCATAATACATAATACACACTCAAAATATTTAGTTTAATTTTATTCAAAATGCCACCTAAAAATAAAGGATTGAGTGCAAACTAAAAAAGGGATAGAATTATGAAGATCTTCACAGAACGCAAAGAAGTTTTTAGTTATCCCTAACTAGAAAAAGAGGCTGACAAAGTAGGCATAAGAAGAGATAATCTAAAAGAAATATTAGAAAGTCTTTTATCAGACAATCTTGTTGAAACTGAAAATTTAGGTACTAGTAAATGCTATTGGTCATTGCCAAGCCAAGCATTGATACGCCTCCAATAAAAATGTGCAGAATACACAGAAAAAATCGATTAGGAAAGACAAAAGGAAATTGAAATTGAAGCACAATTTGAGTCCATGAAAGAAGGCAGAGAAAATTGTTAATAAAGAACTGATCTTGAAAATGAAATCAATTAATATAGATAACAGTATTAGGTTCTCCTTAAGAATTTTGAACTTAAACAAAAAAATGATCCTGAAAGACTATAAAAGCTAAGTAATCTATTATCAATATAATTAACTCTAGAAAAGGATACTATCAATTTAAGATATGATGCCAATTCATGGACAGATGATATCATTTAGTTATCATTCTATCTTAAGTCCCAAGCAGGAATGAGTTCAGAATAATTAGATCAATTGGGAATACCTGCTGATATTGATAACATTTGAATGTGTTTTGTTATTTTTATGAAGTTCTATTAAAATACAATTGATTTTCTAAATACAACCATTATTGCAATTATAAGAATGCTAATTTATGTGTATATTTTTCTTATAATTTATGTATAAATTTTGCTCTAGTCCAGATAATAAAACATCAGAATCTAAAAATGTTAATTAAGTTCTCGCTATTAAAAAATAGAATTTTGAGACAAATTTAGATAATCTCATTACTTTATTTGACATCATCGATGATTAGTTGGATGCAAATTTTCTATAAAAATAACAGCAGAATCAAGAAATTGCACAAAATCAAACAAATTAAAATGAATTATAATACTAGCAAGAATTGGAAGGAATCAATACTAAATTATCGAGGATTGTATTGGACTTAAAAGCAGCAGAATAAAATAAAATTTTTGAAAAACAAGAAGAGATGCTCAAAAAATTTGAAGAATTAAAGAAATTTGCAAAAGAACAATATTTAAAAATATTGCTAAAAACACCCAAAATTTTGAAGGACAATAATTTTGTATTAACAAGGGAAATTCTTGAGAAGGTACCTACAGATGCTTTAATTGAATTGCAAGAGCAGTTAATTTAACTTGAGAAATGGTAAGAAATTGTTAATTTTTATCAAAATAATTAAATTATGTGAATATAGATATATAAATTTATCTAAATGAAAATAGTATTCAAAATTTAGGCATTGATAATTTTATTTTGTAACAATAGCATCAATATCTCTCTTAAAATTCTCTGGCTTGATATTTCTACAGTTAGATTTTTTTACACTCCAATAGATCCCTTAAATTAAATAATTAAGGATACTTAGCACAATAAGTTTATTTCCTCTCAACTAGCTTTTGTGATTAATATCAAATAATTCGTTTACGTTATAAGCTACAGGGCCAACTAAATCAGAAGAAATAAACCTTGAAATGATTTAGAAATAAGCCTTCTGGGAATTATTGTATATTCAGATCTTTTTGATTTAATTAAATTGTCATAATGATTGCCAGACACTTTATTTTTATAATCTGTTTTAAAATGTTAAGCAAGCCAAAATTTTAAAAATGGTTTAAAAAAAACTTTAAATTTTTTTTGTTAAATATACAACTTTTTCATAACAATACTTTAATTTTACTATTTTTTAATGAAATTAAGTTTATAAAATAACACTAAATTTAACAACTTTTAAAATAGAAAAATTGCAGTTTAATCTATTTAAAATGCTGAAAATTTTTCAAACTTAAATGTTATTCTAACAAAATATCTATAAAGTTTGTATACAAACTATCTTGAAGATAGACCTACATATCAAATTATAAAATCACTCAACATTAATAATTAGAAATCTCAATGGCAAAGGATAAATTTAATTATTACAGTCATTATAATATTATCAAATTTCAATAATAATAGAATAGATATGAAAAATCAAAAAAATGAGAGGATTATGTAAATTTAAAAAACTTCATTTCAGCTGGATACTTAAATTGCTAAGTCTCAGATACCCTTCTAACATAGACTAGCATTGCAATCCTTTAGAGAAATATTATAAGTTATCTGAAAAAAACTCAAAAAAACAGAACAAAGAACTACTTCTGTCAAAAATCAACTCATACCTATAAAAACTAGACAACCACAAAATATCTTCTTTTTGGAATTAAATGTAAACCAAACAATTAGAAATGATTCTAAGATATAATGTTGCAAACTTAATGAGAAAATCACCTATTGCCTGTCTGGCCAATTTAGTTATTTTCACTTAATTTTTTGAACCTATAATAGACTTTCCCAAGTTATTACTAAGAATTAAAGAAAGTTTAATTTAAATTAAAATATGCTGCTAATTTTTGGATACTCAAAGTAAGCAAAAAAATTCTAGTATTGTGAAATAGTATGTCTATCAAGAATTATGGGTTTCAATTTATCTTCGATCAAGACCAATATATAAAAAATTGAACAATAGAAAAGCAAAGAATCTAAGTTGAAATGGGTTGCAAGAAATACGACATTATATAAATACATTCGATTGTTTAAAGCGTATCTTAATTCTGCTCTTCTCTAAATAGTAGAGCACGATAAGTATGTATTTAGAAGACTTAAAAGCAATCCATTCAAAGCTAAGAAAGCTATTAAAAATTGATAGCCAACATCAAATGATATTATAATTCTTATAGTAAAATACCTTCTTAAATAAATTGTAATTGGAAGTTATTCATTTTAAAAGCAACTGTTAACATTTGCTGAATGAGGTCTTATAAATAAATTGAAGATAATATGGCTATTTAGGGGAAGTAATTAATTAAAAAGGCTATGGAATGAAGTAATAATGTGAACAAATGATTACTATTATAATTTACTTGTTTACTTTTTTATTAAGAATACTTTCCAAATTGTTACATTTTTAGATTAACTCCTAAATGAAAAAAGATATCTAAAATATTAAATAAATGAAGTAAATAGATTAATACAATAAAATATATTCGTCATATTAACATACTATATGTATTTGTCAATAAAAAATTTAAAAGCATTGGCATATTTTATAAATAATTTATAATTTGAAAACATTTTTGATTAAATTATAATCTTTTTTCAATTTCATACTAAATTTCTATTTAAAACCCTGCAACTTGCAGTTTTTAAAATAAACAATGTAGTTGATCTCTATTTGTGAGCAGATAATTTAAAAATAGCATATATATAAATTTGTTGTGCAAGTAATATAAGCATATAATGTGGCTTATTTCAATAATAAATTAATAGATTTATTAGCTGTATAGTCTATTTTTATGATTATAATCGAATTTTATGATGTTATCCTATAATTTGGATAATACATTTATTTGTAAAATTCGACTTTAATTCTATAAGATTAGTATATATGTACATAACCATTAAACTACAAAAATTTCTGATTATTAATGAAATTGGTATTTTATTTGTGTTTATATTTGGTGTTAAGTAAAGAGAATTAGCGAAAAAAGGGAGTAGAAGTGTTAATTGATGAGATAATAAAGAGCATGAGTTTAGAATAAAAAATTGGTTAAACTACTCAAGTTGATTTTATATATTTGAATGATGCCTAAGGAAATACTTAATATAATAAAATAAAGGAATGGAATTTAGGATCTTTGCTAGTAGGAGGAAATGGATGTCCTGATGATGATGGTAACATTTCCTCAACAGGAACATGTATGAATGCGAATAATTAATTATGGAAAAAAGTGGCAGATTAAGCATTAGCTCAAGGAATTCCTGTCACAGTAGATATAAGTGAAGTAGAATCAACTACAGTGATTATAAAGCCATTACTAGGTACAGATGCTATCCGTGGAAATCAGCATTCTGTTGGGGAAATATTATTTCCTCATAATATTGGTTTAGCAGCATCTAACAATGTTGAAAATTTCAAGAATTCAGCAAAATGGATGAGAGATAGCGTGATCGAGAGTGGATTTAATTTTGTATTTTCACCCACAGTAGCAGTGTCTCATAATCCTTAATGGGGAAGGTTTTATGAGACTTTGGGATCAAACAGCGATAAAGTAAAATAATATTCTAAAGCATTTGTTAAAGAAGCCTAAAATATTGACATTGAGACTGAACATATACTAGGAGTGCTCACATCTGTCAAGCATTTCTTAGGAGATGGAGCTACAATAAATGGATATGAAGAAGGAGATTCTATTGTAGATGAGAAATTTATGGATCTTTTTATTTAAGATAACATCAAAGGATATGAAGGAGCTATAGAAGCATTAACTGGCAATATTATGGTCAGCTATGATGCAATCAACGGGGTAGCTATGAGTGTACATCCTTTTGTTAATAGCATATTAAAAGCATCCTAGAGAGAAGGGGGATTTGGGTTTGAAGGATTTGTTATTAGTGATTATAATTCAGTCATCAAAACAGCTTCATTTGATTTGCCAAGAGAATCTTAGAAAATGCCATTGGAGAAAGCATATGCTGACTCATTTAACGTAGGAGTTGATATGTAAATGATTTCTGAAAATGTTGAAGATTATTAGACCATGATAGAGAAACTGATCAATGAAACGGAACTTGATAAACCAAAAATTGATTCAAAACGTCTAGACGATGCTGTAAAGAGAATATTAACGATCAAAGATAAAATGGGATTGATTGAATACGATGATAATTTGATAAAGAAGTATAATTTATAATAAAGAAAGAAAATAGAAATAATTAAGAACAAAGAATAAGAGTATCAAGATGCTTTGCAAGCAGCACTTTAATCATTGGTCTTGTTGAAAAATTCAGGTAATGCACTTCCTATTAAAAAAACTACAATTGAACACATAATTTTATTGGGTGATAGATATATTCCTATTGGAAATGAATAATATTAATTATTTTCGGATTTTGACAATATTGGTGCTCAAAATGGAGGATGGACTATTAGATGGTAAGGATATAATGGTAATGATTATTGGTCTGGGGATAACAAGATTCAATCTAAAGCTTCATCCATCCTGGATGCTTTAAAAAAAAGATTCTAAGATGCTCAAATTTATTATCCAAAATATTCTGATACAACAAATTTAGTTGCTATTCTTGAAGATAGAAATAATTTCAGAAACGAATTAATCGCAAATCAGGATTAATTTTCTTAAGCAAACACTATAGTCATACATGTTTTAGCAGAAAATCCTTATGCTGAGTATATGGGTGATGTTAATTGCAAATACTGTTAATCTTAAAATTAAAAAGGCTGTTTATACAACTAACGTGATAACGTATACTAAACTGAATCCCAAGCTACTAGATTAGAAATTAAAGCAGGAGCATATGAAAAATAAGTATTATTATTTAAAATATTTAGTTAATTAACAATATCCTAAAAGGTTACAGTAAGGTTATTTCTATCTTAATAAGTGGTAGACCAATGCTAATAGAAGATTCATTAACCTTTAGTGATGCTTTTATAGCAGCTTGGCTCCCAGGAACCACAGGCGGGGAAGCTATTGTAATGTCAATATTTGGGGAATATGGATTTGGAGGAACAAATAAGACTTTCAATAAATTGCCGTCTCCTTGGATTTCTACTTTAGATTCTATTAAAGATTATCCAAAATATGATTCTGCTACTTTACCTAAAATAGAAGACCCAAGATTTGATACAGGGTATGGACTATAGACAGATATAATAAATTATTCAATTTAAGAATGAAATAAGTTTATAAATATTATTCATTAATTAATATAAAAAATAAAATTTATAATTTTGACCTATTGAATTTAATATTATTTATTAAAAGTTCTTTATTCGTCTCTCTCCAATCAAATTAATTGTATCCAAATTTCTCCTATATTGTACCATTAGATGAAAGCAAGAGAAAATTATCAATAAATTTGCTTACACCTAGATCTTCAGCCTAGACCAGGAATTCTTAATATTATGAATTTAATTAATTCGTTTAAGAAATAGCACAAAATGAATTACAATTTATTGATTTCTCATATGCTTTCAATTGTATACTCTCTTCCAGATTAATTAGAATATTCTAAATTCCAAAATGTTTTACCATTATTTTGGGAAGAAAAATTTGTTTTATTCAAGATTTCTAATATTCTCAAAAGTGGAACATTCAGGGATTATAACCACTACAAATAAGACCCCTTCGTTGAATTAAGGGAACGAGAGTAGGTAGAATGCATTGAAGCCTAGAGAATGAAGGAAATAAAAGGGGAGGAAGGTGAGATTTAATAATATAGAGGAGGTGCCCCATTAACTTGCTTAGTTAAGCTACTCAGGAGATGATGTTGAATTATTGAATATATATTTACGGAAGATAGTAATTATATTTAAACCATTATTCACAATTTATTGAGGAATTCTGTTCGTTGGATTTAATTAGAAGTATCATGATAGAGTTAAAAAATTAAAAAGGATGACAATATTAATCAGCCATATTAAAGTCGAGAGTTTAGAAATTTAATACTTATCAACAATTATACAAAATAATTTGAAAATATTAAAAATTCAAAAAGAGGATCATTTAGAAAATCATAAAAAAAATTTTGAAACAAGAGGGTTGAAGAATATGACAATCAGAGCCAAAGAGATGTTGAAAAACTGTAAAAAAATAGAATAAATTGAACTAAATTGAAAAAAGGATTGTGATGGTATTTATTGTAAAGGATTAACTTTTGTTGAGGCCTTTTCAAAATCCATATCTTTAATTTTCAAAGGAATTTTAAACTACCTCTCATGCCAATTCTCAAGCTCTTCATAATCTAAACATGACTCATTATAAATTCAACCCTTCTCTAAGATCTGTTAAAAATCTTATTTTAGATAATCTAATATTGATAAGAAATACTCATTACAATTTGATTTCTTTATAGCTTCTTTTTGATACTCAATCTGCATTTTTCAAGTGCATTATTAATTAAAAATATGATAATAAATTCAAGATTTAGTTTGAAAATGAATTTCTTTAA